GTATAGTCTTCAGTATAGGGCCTCGAATATAACTTAAGGTCTCAATGGCCAGTATCGTTGTAGAATGTGTCGTACCATGCTTTAGCGGTATGATGAAGGGTATAGAAAACAAAATATATGACTAGAAAAAGAGAACAGATCAATAAATAAGACTAATACGTTATATTAAAGTTTGTGCATAATGGACAAGAACATAAATTAAAAACTTGCTTTATCAGTCTTTCAGCCTATTCCCTTATCCTGTCTCGCTCTTTTCAGCGTTTCCTTTTTTCATGATTTTCATTATTATTTTTAGCACCTAATCGACGTTCTCTCTGTTCTGTATTGCTAAATTAAGTATATTATTTGGCGTAACCTCTCCTAGCTTAATTTGCAGCTTTTATGTTCTTGTATGAAGACATTACATTCGAAAATGCAATGTTCCGCATTATCAGTCACACCACATTCCATGCAGATTTCGTCGTTTGTTTTTTTAATTCTGTATGTGTACGAGTATGATCAAAAAGAACCGTGTCCGGTCAGGAGACCGGACGCCGTTGTGCAAAGAAATAATTTATTCTTTTGAACCTACATTAACACTATGCTATTACATCGGGTATTAGCATTTTTGTTAGATTTGTTAGATTATCTTTTCTCTTTATGCTTCCGATTTAGATAGCCATTCATCAAGCATTTGGTTTCTAATTTCATTTCTTACGTGTGTCAGGTGACCGTTGCCACAATTTTGTAGGATGGCTCTTTCTTTCTTTTAAAACTAAAGCTCGTTTAATCAGATCTTCATACCTGGTAAACCTTAACCATACGGGAGCACCATACAAAAGGGTCGAATGTTCTATTTGCAGTCACATTTTTCGCTAACGATGACTTGGCCGGCCTATATTAAGCACAATTTTGTCTGGACTATATTTATCAGGTATTTGGTAAATCGTAGACCTGTATCAAGGTGTATGCCTAGATATTTAGCACAATTGGTTGGTACGATCGTCGTACTTGCAAATTGAAAAGTCAAGTTGGGTATCGCTTTTAGTCCTTTTAGTATAATTATCTTTGTTTTATTAGATGCCACCTCTTATTTTCAGCATATTAACTTTATTTATTACCTCGGAGTTTGTGCCACTTTCTATTACTATTGTTGTAATCTATGTCTAACACTCCATTATACAAGACGTTCCACAACGTTGGACCTAATACAGATCCCTGGGTCCTCTAGCCGACAGTTTGGTTTTTTTCTTTACTTGTCACTTTAATATATCTGTCGGTAAGGTGATTTTCAACTATATTTATTAGATTAATTACTATTTGACTGGGAATAAGTCACAATTAAAGGTAAAAATACGTTTATTGACGTCTCAATTTCCAATTCGGAAATCGTTCTCAAAATACAAACAGTAAATTAAACAAATTTTGTTTATTTTTTGTTACTTAGTCAAAAAATTCTTCTAATACTTTAATTTTATCTGACTCATTTATATTGATAATTCAGACATACATTATGCATTTTAAAGTAGACGACTTTAAAATGATATTGCCAATATTGTTGAGTTGCGCTCCTGGGACGACTTTACATATAAGATAGTTCATTCGATTACATGAAATCAACTTTAACTTAAGAATATCCGTCACAAAAAAATCATAGCATGTAATTCATCTTTAAAAAGACAAACACATGACATGATGACAGTAAAATTCTCCTGTTAGTGATTCCATAGTAAATTATGAGGGAAAAACCAGGAAAAAAACCTCACAATACTATCCCGACATGGTAAGTATTTGGTTGTGCATTTAGTTTAACTCATGGTCTTTATTTATACGTCCATGATTTACCTTCAATAAACACCAAACTTTGATTTTATATGTTTCATGTGTTTGTCTTTTTAAAGACGAATTACATGCTATGATTTCTTCTGACGGATATTCTCAAGTTAAAGTTGATTTTATGTAATCGAATGAACTATCTTTTAAGTAAAGTCGTCCCAGGAGCGCAACTCAACAATATTGGCAATATCATTTTAAAGTCGTCTACTTCAAAATGCATAATGTATGTCTGAATTGTCAATATAAATGAGTCAGATAAAATTAAATTATTAGAAGAATTTTTTGACTAAGTAACAAAAAATAAACAAAATTTGTTTAATTTACTGTTTGTATTTTGAGAACGATTGGAAATTGAAAGTGGAAATTGAAATGTCAATAAACGTATTTTTACCTTTAATTGTGGCTTATTTCCAGTCAAATAGTAATTAATTTAAAATGCCACAAGAAAATAGCTTCAGAACAATATATTTATTAGGTAATGTCACTCCAGCAGTTTCGAGTTTCCTTATGATTTATGCCCAGTTGACAGAATTAAAAGCATTCTTTACATCGAACATAACAAGAATTGCCCATTTATTTCTTGTTCTTTTTACTGTGTCAGATATGAATTTCACCGCGTCTATAGCTGATCTGGTTTTACTAAAACCGCATTGCTGGTCAGAAATGGTTCTTGTGTTTATAAACCAGAGTTTTATGAAGCTTTTATATAATTTCTTAATACAATCTAATAAACATATAGGCCTGTATCCCCGTCTGGTGGTTTTTCAGGATTTAAGATTAAAGCTAAATTTGCAATATTCAGTTGGTCTGGGAATTCTTGGTTATGAAGGAGATCATTCAATACCTTTCTGGTGACTTCAGTATTTTGCTCTACTAAGTACAATTATGGCTTCTGGTGGCACACCATCGGGGCCAGCAGATCTACCGATTTTTATATTTTCGACAGCTAATCTGATTTCTTTGGTGAACTCGTCAGGACTATTATCTATATTATATGATGGAACATTCGGGCTTATTAGGAAAAAGGATTGTGGCAATTTTTTTTCTTTTTTCTTTACAAAGGTTATATGGGACCTCGGACTTCAGAGTCTTAGTGGCAATTTTGTAGGCTTCACCCCATATATCATTCTTCAGAGCATCACACAGGTTATGCCAGCATGTGCGTTCAGTCCGCTTTATTTCTTTAATTTTCTTTTACGCGCTTATATTCTTCGAAGTTTTCTTGGGTTCTGACGGTTTGTGCTATTCGCCTGTCTTTGAAGCATTTTGTTCTTTTGAGCTATATTTCCTCGTTCCACCAATAGGGTACGGTATAGGTAATACATCTCTCTTGCTGCTGCTTTTGTGTGCCTGCATTAAGATTGTGATATTAAATATTTCTGTTGAAACGTATTTTTTTCCTGTCGCTTGACCTTGACGGCAATTTCGTATAAAATATATCTATGCAAAGTAAAAATAGTTTGTTTCTTCAAGAACATCCCAGTTAGATATTTGATTGGCATAACTTTCGTTTACAAAAGTAATGTCTATGTGACTTCGGCTCTCACCCCGAACAAAGGTAGGTTTTCCATTATTTAACGCTATTAGATTCACCGTAGAGACCTTACAGCCATTACCCTATACCAGCAAGTTCTTCCACTACCTCAGTCTGGAAAAATAAATGCATGTTATTACAGGTATATGATAAATCATAAGGTGGGGGGAATAGTTAGAGGAAAGTCGCCCAATGTGGAGTACTTTTTTAAAAATATAGTCCGTCTAGAAAGTATCCGGAATTTTATATTTTTCCTAATTTTAATAGATTTCCTTTTTATAACATTTTAAGACAAAAGTAATGCATCAAGTAGGTTGTGCCGATAGTAGGTTATGGACAAAATCGCATGAAAACACCATCTGTCAAATATTGTTGTTTGTAAAGAGACTTAAGATTTGTGAAATAATGTCGCAAGTAGAAAAAAGAAGTGGTGGAATATTTGTATAGAAAGGGTATCTGAAACGTTAAAAAATTAGTGCAGTTGACTGAACTCCTGAACTGAGTATGAGACAATAAAAAGGATAAAAAATGGGATAGATATGAGACAGACCAGTTTCAGGTAAACCACATAAGATTCGCGTAAACAATTTAAATGCTTTAGTGGCTTTAATCTAAAAAAAATCACCACAATGACACCTCTGCAAAGGCAACGAACGAAGAATAGATTTTTGTCAACGTTTTCGGGAAGATAATTTTAATAATCTTATAGTCTTTATATCTGATGAAAGTTGTTTCCAGCTTGGTGCAAATCATTTAAAAGTCCTATCAAGAGAAAATGTTACCGTTCAAATTTACAAATTTCCTACTGAAATAATGGTTTGGGGAACAATGTATCAGTGTGGTGCTACACCTTTCTTTATATTTATGGTACTGTTGATAGTGCGAAATATTGTGACATCCTGAATGTTTTTCTTTTCGAAACGGCTCATGTTTTCTATCTAGAGGGGTGGCGTTTTCAGCAAGATCATGCAAGATGTCATACTTCTGGTTATATTCAAGCTTGGATGCAAAAACACGAATTGGAAACAATTCCGTGGCCAGCAGCTCCTCCAGATCCATTGAAAACATATGGGTACTGATGAAAATTTAGTGGGACGAGCAGCGCCACGAAATAAGAAGGTTTGATTCGGTCAGTTTTACAGGCCTGTAACACCATTACCGAAAATTATGGCCTTGACCTAGTTTCGGGTGTACCAGGAGGTTTAGTTAAGTGTTTATATTTAAATGGAGGTTATAGAAGTAAATGGGATGAATTATTTGTTGAAATTTTATATTTCAAATGATTGAAATAAATACCGTAAAATTATAACTCTGCTTTCTTTTTTCCGGATACTTTCTAGGCGGACTATACTATTAAACAATAACGAAAATTTGGAAAATTCCAGAAGAGTCTCATTTGCATCAGAAATTTTTTTTGAATAATTATGGCCCAAATTTTACAATAAGCATGTCACGCAAAGTAGAAGGAAAACAGTCACAAAGGACTTTTATCATTGACTAAGGCTTCCATTTATTAAACATTATAAAAATAATTCCGTTCACAAAAACATTTATTGAAATCAATATATACAATTAATATAACTTCTTTATCTATACAATGACTTTTATAAAATTTATTTCTTATAACTTGCTACATCTTATTCAGATGTTTGTTGTTCCAATTATTACTTATATATAAAGTACATTCATACACAATTTTTACATACTATCTTATATACATTTTCCACAACCTTAGAATCAAACAAATTATCATTCAATAAATATTGAAACGCACATACTGACACACTCATGCAAAAATTCATTTACAATCATCTCTGCATTCTCTTCATTTTTCTTTCCATCTTCTTTTGCTTCTTTTCATTTGCTTCTGGTTCAGCGGCAGTTGGTTGGGTAATATATGGCTGTATAATGTTCTTCCAAGCTATCCAACCTCCATAAACAGGTGCTAGCAACCAAAGATACCAGAAGTAATTGGAAATCAAAGCCAGGAGCTGACAGCCTGATGTAAGAATTATGATGTCTTTGATATGTCTAAAAAAAAAAATGGCCAGTAAGAGCAACAATGTAAATTTAAAAGTCATTTCATTTTAACCAAATTTATATATGTGTATGCAAAATCTCCTCAAAACTATTTTCTGAACTATTTTCCTAGATTTTTGTATGATTCTATCACAATGTTTTAAAATAGCAGCCATTCTGTGTTCAATGAATTTTAAAACAGTTCAAGAGAAGAAACTTAATGTAAGGGCAGGCATTGAGGGATAAAGCATTAAGATGCTTATTCCAAAGAAGATTTACCTATGATAAAAGAAGCTGATAAAAAGAAACAAATGAATTGGATTCCTTCATGAACAGTAAAATCATGTGCCTTTTGGAGATAGTAAATTACTCCAGTTCACATATTGCAGCTCAATACTCTTTGCAAACTTTGAGTTTTTTTTACCAGTCTATTTTATAATGAAATAGTTTGACAGGCATGTATATATAGTGCTCAAGCTAATCCACAATAACTTATTATAACCTCTTCCTGCAGAAATTGAATAGTTTTTGGCAATATTGTTGTGGATGTCTTTAATATGACAATCAACAACAAGGGGCTACTGGAATTCATCAACTAGAATTTCAGAAGTTGCTGATGTTATGCCTATCAATTGGTTTGAAATAATTAAGAGGTTTTTACATTTTAGTAACAATTTGGAAAATACAAGGACAATTGATAAGGGACTATCACTTATTGAACAAATAAAGAGCATTTATGCAGATAATGTTAGATCTCATCTTGTGATGAGAAAGTAATATCGTTTAACGATTTTTTAAGTATCAAAGCGCACAATCCTAAAAAGCTTCACAAGTGAGGCTACAATATGTGAGTTCTCTCAGGAATCTCCTGCTTCTCATACAACTTTAAAATTTTTGCTGAAAAAGATGGTTATAAAGAAGTGACAATAGAAGCAAATTAGGGTGCTTCTAGTAATGTTGCAGGACTGAGCAGAAAAATTCCAGCCAATAAAAATTATAATTCCGATTATGACAATTACTTCTTATGTATTCCATTGGCTTTCTATTTGTCTAAAAAAGGCATAAAGACTCTTACAAAGATTAGCAAACGAAACAAATGAAGGCCTTGTAAAGGGGAACAATTGGGAAAATCTGATGTTATACCACTATTCAGTTTCAAAACAATTCTTGCAGAACAAGTTACATATATATTAAAGGAAAACCAAGAGCTAGTATGACAAATACAATATTCATTACCAAAGCATTTGTTTTAGACTTATTCATAATTGACTATAGGTTGTTTGTCTACAAGGATTTTATAACAATCCAAATTTTGAACATACTGTTCCGAAATAGGCAGACACTTTTTTGTTAAAAAAAATACAGTGTTTTTTCATGAAATATGTTTTATCTAATTTTATAAAATTTTATAAAGAGTTATTAAGTGAATAATAATTGTACATTGATAAAATTCATGATGAAAACCTCATGCAACAAAGGGATAAGAATATAACAAGAACTGAGGTTGAGTTTACCGAAAGTACAAGCTGAAATAGCCACAAATGTCAAAAATATTTCGGTTTGGCCGTGTTGACATGTTTTTATAATGCATAGGTATGTTTTATGCTTCAAACATAAAGAGATAAAGCTTTGAAAAAGTACATATTGATTATATTATTTTATGCATTTCGCAATTTTTAATTTATATGAAGCAATAACAGGTAAATATTTGTCTCTTTCGAGATTAATTGCAAACATCATCAACTATCAACTACTGATTTGACGATTGCCAAATCTATCCCCTAATCTATCAAATGGTAATTGCTAAAAAAATTTCTAATAATTAACTGCAATTAATCTCCAAAGAAACAAATATTTACCCATTCTTGTTTTATATAAATCAAAAATTGCAGAATTCATAACATAATATAAACAAAATGTACTTTTCTAAAGCTTTATCTTTTTATGTTTGAAGCATACAGCATCTACATTATAAAAACATGAATACACTGCTATACTTACATGTTTTTTGTTCCATGTTTAACATTTGCGGCTATGATCAGCTTATACTTTTGGTAAACTCTGGTAACCAGAACTGATATTCAAAATAGAGTAATATGGGCACTAAAACAATTATAAAGATATGATTTAAGAAATAATGTATAGTCATAAAAATTAGGATATATGGTAAAATATGTCATAATGAGGAAAGAGTGTAAACTTTTAGACAGAATGGTGAAAGTGTTAATGCATTGGTTTCTAAGTGCATAATATTCCACTCTCTATAAATCAAGATATAGATTTATTTTAAATAATTTGATTTTTGTGGTGAGCTTTTAATTTGTATAAATTTTATACATCAATGATAATCAAATAAGGCTAACTAAAAAAAGATATCAACATACTCTGCAATTCCTCCTTCCATGTTTAGGTCTACTCCACTATCTAACAGCTGTCCTGTCTCTGAATACTTTGCTTTGGCCATATATGACATAAATTGATAGCATCCAATAAATACAGCACAGGCAAACATATATAGTAACTAAAAAAGATTTTATTTTACATAAAAGTTGTGAACAAATGGTGCAAAATCAAAATACTTACTATACTTATTGGAGAACTAAGTAAATATAATATTATTAGGGAAACTGCATTAGATGTAATTGCCATATATTTATAAAACTTTAATGTGGCAACATTTTCCTCAACAATTTGTTTAGCACCTTTGGTACCTTGCTTGCCCTTCTGTGGAGGCTAAAAATGAGACACACAGTTAAACTACAAACCAGCAACAATTGGGCAATGGATAGGGCTGACTGCCGAAATAGATTTGAGAACAGCAAGGCTCTACTATAGCATATAGTAGAGGGCTCATCAATAGGGCTATAGCTGTAGCACTATTGATGATGAAGACATTATTTATATATAACATTATAATAAATATAATTAGAAATGGATAACTTTGTATGAAAGGCAATGAATAGCATTTGTTTCTACTCCAACAATGTAACAATAAATCTAAAACTTCAAATAAGTCTCAAATTAAAATCAGCACTGAAATTAATCTAAAATCTAGTAGAAAATTATACCAAAAGTAATTAAAATAGTTGAAAAATGGTGTATAAATACAATATCAGTGTTATAAATAAAAAAAGGAATGGTTAATAAACTTAGATATTAACAGTATTCAGAGAATCATGAGGAATATCTCTGATTTTATATAAAGAGGAGAAATAAAAGGAAAATACTAGACAAAAAACCAAAATTCCTTTAAACACAAAATTATAAGGAAGACATAAAGTTGATACAATGGGGTGATATGTCATGGTTGAGAATGAAACATAACATCAAAATTATTTTCTCTAATCAAGCCAACCAACAACATTACAAACGAAATTAAAAGTAGAAGTTTTGCAAGATATGTACAATATACTAATTACTATTAAACTGGGAATAAGCCACAATTTAATAGTAAGTTAATTACAAGTTTAATAGTAATTAATTTACAATGCCACAAGAAAATAGCTTCAGAAAAATATGTTCAATAAGTATACATTTGAAAATAGTTGGTAAAAGATCAAAAAAAAGAACTATAAATGTGAAATATATGGAAGGTTTAAGTTGACTTATTGGAAAAGGGGGCCGAAAACAATGAAAATAGTAAGCATAGCAAAATAGGCTGATACCCAGATTGAGGCAGAACTCTTCAAAGGACTGTTAAGTCACAAAGTAATAGTGCATTAGTAGTAATAGTATTAATTATTCATAATATATTACTCACAGCCATTTTCAATTATTTAGATTCCAACTAACTTAAAACAACTATTGGTTTAATTCATAATATCCACAAAACCTTAATTATTCAACTTTTTGATTCCACGTTGGAGCTCATTTGGAGTTTACTCAAATTTTTGACAATTGTCTGTTCTTTTCGTATTTGGCTGTCAAATATTATATCATGTTAGAATAAATGAAATCATTGAAAGTACAATAGTTATCTTTGTCGTACTTAGTACTAAAATAAACCCATTGCGTGCTTTCTGTCTATGATACCATTTTCGAAAAATTATGAACTCTTAGAATACATTATTTTAAGAGTTAAGTTAAGTCTATTATGAGAAAATAATGTTTTATCTTCTAGAAACTTTAACCAGGGAATAAGAAAATAATTGTTATATAAATAATTTGTCTATTCTGTCAAAACCGTTCATTATCACGCAATCGATCACGCATCATCGTCAAAAATATTACAACTGTCACTGTCACTGTCAGTGTCATCGATGTCATCTTTTCTATGTTGATTTTTTTAGGAAAAATTTGTTAAAAACATTTATAAATGTATCGGTTTTTGTGAAGTTAAATAATTCATTCACAAATTACTTTAAGAACAATGGCTGAACCTCTAAAAATCGGTCAAAGGGTGGAAGTTTCTGCAAAAGGGGTACAGGGTACAGTTGCCTTCATCGGCAAAACAGGATTTGCCCAAGGAACATGGATTGGTTTAATACTGGATGTACCGAAAGGAAAAAATAATGGATCTGTGAAAGGACAAGAATATTTCAAGGTAACTCAAATTATATATACAAAATCCTCAACATGAATCTTACATTTTTCTTCCTGATGTGAATTCAAATATAATTATTTTTTAGAAGTTTACCACTAGCTAGTTCTTGTTCTTGTTTGTTACCACAGCAGGCATTTTACTCCATTCCTTTTATATCATTAGTTTTCACCTGATGTCTGCTTGTATTGTTTACCATGTTCATTTTGTCAGCTCTTTTAGATTTATTGGTAGCTTCTGGAATCTTTTTGTTGTCTCAATGTGATGTAGGGTCCTATTTTTCTATTAAGTTTATGTATCTATGCAGCTTTTACATGATCCCTCTATAGCTGCGATTTTCTAACTAGATTCAATGGTACATTATGACAGTTAGATAATTATACTCAAAGGCATTTCAGTTGCATTATACATTTATTATTATATAGAAATATATTTATTTACAAGTGAATGATATTAAATAAAAAATCATTCACTCACTTATCTTGTGAAAACCAAAACTTTCTGGGGAATGTTTGCAAACATATCAATTTGTAATGATATTTATTAGAAAATTCAACTCATCTAATTAAGTTTTTATCCATAGTCTTTATAAACAGATAACAGATAAAGCAAGTACATGCAGGATATTATGGTTAATTATTTTTTCTTTAAGTTGACATGAGATATACAGTTATTTTTGAGTGCTTTTACATCCTTTACTGCTTTTGAACTTAGCTTCACTTTAAATTAAGTAAGGTGTCTTATCCATCTATGGTTTTGTAGATCAGTTTTCTAATTATTTCTTGTTGGTCACTTGAAGCAAAGTAGGTATTTGTTAACAATTATACTTTATGGTTTCTTTAACTTCAATTCATTGTTACTTTTAGTGTGAAGAAAATCATGGAATGTTTGTTAAAGAAAATCAGGTGGTAGCATTAGATGAACATGGAAAACCTTTGCCTATAAGAGAGCCCCCACCATCTAAAATTGCTAGAAGTAGACAAAGCATGTAAGATTTATTTTTAACTCTTAAATAATTTCAGCACTATTGAATTTGCTTCAATCACTTTCTGTTTATTCACAATTTTATAAACTAAAACTAGATAATTATTGTGTTATGTGTTTAGATATAATGGTCAATATTTAAACCAGGTAGACCAAATATATAAAAAAAGATCTGAACAATAATGAAATGTCAAGAAAGGAATTCCTGTCTTCAAACATAAACTGCTGTGTAAGTACACATGGGAACAACAAAGTGTGCATTATATGTAATTACAAGACAGTCAATACACCTAAAAATACCAAATGTTAATGTACAAAGAGGATCAATCTGTGGAACTGACCACTATTTGTTACTAGTTAAAAAATTTATTCCAAGATAGAAAACTACCACAAAAAAAGAAGCAATCAGTGTGAAATCGGATATAATTGCATAAATTACCCAACATACAACCTGGAAAGTCTTAAAGCGTTAAGTACTTATAGTAAAGATACCTAGATGAGTACTTAAACTGGTCTGAAAATGTGTCATTTGAAGAAAGTTATAATAACAGAACAAAAAGTATACACAAAGCAGTGTAGGAATCGTTAGGCATTAAAAAACAGCAAAAAAGCAATAAATTGAATAAATAACTACATCATACCTCAAAATAAACTTATTTTAATATAAAATTGTGGATTATTCCCAGTAAGAATAGTAAATTGGAAAAAAGCTATAAGTTATGGTGGTCAAATGAAGTTGAAGAACTAATAAACAGAAAGAAAGGACTCTATCTGAAATGGTTAAATATAAAATTAATTGAAGACAAAGAAGCATATAATAGGGCTAACTAGGAAGCAGGAAATAAAATACATCACCTAAAAAATCATTGCCATGAAAATGACCACCAAGTTCAGCCAAGTAGATTAAGATATCAGAAAAGCTTTCTGAAAAAAATCATGATCTCTTCCTGAAGAGCCAAACGGGTACACCTACAGCAAGTGTCAGCTACAACACATTTTGCTCCCTCAGAGGAAATGGCCATTGTACACAATTTACCTTATCCCACATAGAAAACGCTAAACAGGCTAAGAACTAGTGGTTCACACTATTAACCTGAAGAAATGAGGATACCAGGAGGGCGTTACGTGCGACTGTGACAGGGCCATCTATGTGGCCAACTGTTGGAAACACAAAATTTAAAGCTGTTGGCGTTCTGGACACGCCACGGAAGTACTAAAAAAAGTCAGATTTGGGATACAAAATATCAGGAAATAGACAGATATATTTTTAGAAAAAGGTGCACAGAAGCATGATGATTGATTAAGATTTAAATCAAGTTCAAAAAGAACTTGGAGTGGGGGAATTTGTAAAGCGATGAGTGTGAACATGATATTAGACCATTAAGTTTTTGAGTTTTTGTACACACAAACAATATATCATACATAGACCACATAGATATGCAGCTTCTTTATTATTAAAGTTGTTTTTCAATCAAGAGTTGGAAGTAGTGAATCCATAAGTATAGGACTGAAGCTTAATTGTAATAAAACCAAAGGACAGACAACCCAAACACCAGATTTTACATTTATAGTAGTTCAAATAAACTTAAACCAAGTAGAAGAACATGTACATATTGGAATTTTTGCTATTTTCATTTTGACAGAAGCATTTGATTTAAAATCATAAAATATTAGTGGTAATAATCTTAGTTTGGCAATGACCTTTTTTTATTACTGAACAAGATATTTTAAACAGTAGGATTCCTATCAGTATACATGGACTGATTAACTAAAAACATGAAAACAATAAATCTATGAGCAACAACAATAATGTCAAGACACAAAGTATTACAATGTTTGAACTGTTACAAAGTTGAGTTAACAAGATATCGAAAGAATTTTACTTTATCAGAAAACTGTGACAACAAAAACCAAAGGAGTATATATGGGCAGTCATTTTCAAAATTAAGATATTCTCATAAAATATCTTACTGTATGGTAATGGTATATAATATTTATGTTACATATTTTCAGTTTCTCCATGCATGATTTACATTTTTTTTTTGTTTACATAAACATTTTTTTTATTCCATTCACCCTGTTTATATCTTTTTCATGCATCTCAACGCTAACACACAGGCCAAACATGAAACCAAAAATTACTACGTAAGTACCATTTAAAGGGATTAACAAAAGGTCACTAACAATTGTCCAAGTTCATGTACAAACTGTTTAGCACTTATTTATAGTAACATTAGTATTGACTTTGTGTTTACATTAAATTATTTTAAGAAGTTAACACATCATTTAGTGCTTTCAATAATTATATTTCATTTATTTTTAATTGCTATCTACTATGTATATAGAATTTTTTTATTTCCTAAGTTTTTCTTTAGATGCTTTAAGAATAGGAATGAGACTTATTGTAATTGCTTATTTGTAAATGGTTTTACTAGCAATAGGTTATGATGATTGGACAATATATTGTTAATGATAGACACTTATAATCTGTTCCTGAGCAATATTATTATATTTACACTAATATTAAACCAATTCTCCAACTTTTTAAGGATAGTTTATCGGCCTGTGTTCCATCATAACAATCATTGTTTATTGTAGAACCTTATAGATCTTTTTGCAAAAACTATTTTATTTATTTAGGGTAACTATTATTTAAGAGAGATTTTCTTCTTTTTAATAATAGTTATCCTTTATCCCAAGTAAAGTTTAGGAAACAAATTCTTTTTGCATAGTGAAAAAACGAAATTATAATATTTATGACATATAAGAACTGACATTATATATATATATTGTATATTACATTGCTAAATGTAATATACAAAATTATTTCTGGTATAATCTACAATAGATTATTAGAATACTCCGAAAATATAATTGGTGATTATCAAAATGGATTCAGACCAAATAGAGCCACTACAGATAACATATTCATACTAAGAACGATACAAGAAAAAGCTTATGAATACGACATAGACCTATATAATATGTATATAGACTTTAAACAAGCTTTTGATAGTGTGAAAAGAGACAGAATGCTGGAAGACCTTTGTAATCTAGGTATACCTAAGAAATACATCAGCCTCATAAAAATGACGTTGCAGGGTTCAAAAGCCGCAGTCAGATTAGATGGAGAACTGACTCCCCTGTTTATCATCAACATGGGAGTAAGACAGGGAGATGCCCTATCAACCATGCTATTCAACCTAGTTCTTGAGGCAGTCATCAGAAAAACCAATATAACCGGCCATATAAACACCAAATCAAATTACTGCATATAAACACCAAAACAAATTACTGCATATGCAGATGATGTAGCCATCATTAGTAGGAATAAGCCACAACTAATGGAAGTGTTCAAACAAATTGATCCTGAAGCAAGAAAAAGAGGTCTCAAAATAAACGAAGCAAAAACGAAGTATATGACAGTCAAAAGAGTAACTGACAATGAAAGTAATATCACAATAGACAACTATACTATCGAACGAGTGGATGCCTTTACATATCTCGGCACAGAAATCAATCAGAAGAACTCCGTAAGTAGCGAAATTAATGCACATATTTTCAACGGGAATCGTACATACTATGCTAATAAAAGATTGATGGCATCGAAATTATTAGACAAAAGAACCAAATTGACTATCTACAGAACACTGATTAGACCCGTAGTAACCTATGGATGTGAAACTTGGGTAATGACGAAAAAAGATGAAGCCCAACTCAGGACATTCGAGAGAAAAATACTGAGGAAAGTATATGGCCCGGTACAAGAGGAAGATGGCACATGGAGAATCAGGAGAAACGACGAATTTAATGAGTTAAATGAAGGTTATGACATTGTAAGATTTGTGAAAAGTCAAAGACTGTCATGGCTGTGACATGTGCAGAGACAAAACGATGCAAAAACAACAAAGAAAATGTTACAATGGAAGCCCATAGGAAGGCGAAAAAAAGGAAGGCCCAGAACGAGATGGTTGGATGACGTGGAAGACGACCTGAAAACAATGAACATAAGACAATGGTGAAGAAGGGCACAAGAGAGATCTGAATGGAAGGACATAGCCAGACAGGCAAAAACCCATCCAAGGAAAGACCCATCTAGGGTTATGATGCCAAAAGAAGAAGAAGAACTGACATTTAACACATTGTATAATGAGTCTAATCAGATGGACAAATGCAGGTCAATGCGACACCCCAAACGGTACCATATATTTTTCAGGACGAAATGACAATCATCATAGTAATGGAGTGGCAATAATGGTCACCAATGGTTATAAGTAAGTCGATTATAAACTTTTAACCATTGTCAGATAAGTTATATTTCTACAGCTGTCAACCATTCAGGGAAACTAAATATAGTTCAAATATATGCTCCTACAGCAGAGAGTAGTGAAGAAGACACAGAAGAATTTTATAAAACCATTGAACAAACACTGAAAGTTGTGAACTCGATTTGCTCTTGAAGACTTGAGGCGTATGCTGTTTTATACAATCGTGGGTCTTCCATCTCTAGTGCGCTGACGGGACTAGGGCGATGCACATCGTTAAAACAATGATATTGACCATCTAGGAGCGCTTTAAGAAAGCTTTTAAATACTCCTCATATTTCATTTACTTCGTCGCACATTGTAATTTCTTAAATCAGTTCTCTTCCGGACAAAATGTACATACTGTTCCTTGGCTGAATTCGATCTTTATAGAAACTTTCTAGATTTTTAGATTTCAAATGGGTCATTGGTCTTGTAGACTATTCCACACCGAGACCTTATATAGAAACCTTGTGATATAGACATTCTTTAAGATAACAGTTTTTGTTTAAATATATTTTGAGATCAATAAATGAGGTCTGCTTGTAGGGATCCAGAATGATTTTTGATTATCTTGTTCCTTATAGAACATTTTAGTACATTTTTTGACTTACTTCATTCTCATTTCTTTCATTTTGTTTCTGCTAATTCCATAAAAATTCCATAAAAAAAAAGTATTGACCAGCAGTATGTTACAATTATTTAATATATGAGTCAGGATATCAGATTGTTCTGAAAAGAGATGTCAAAATACTATTGTTTGAGGTTTTAATGGAACAGCAATTTACTCACTTTAGAAATCGTATTTTTATGTGGACTTACTAATTTTTACATTTTTTTGTATTGTTTGTAATTGTTGCTTTTTTTCAATATTTACATTTTTTATATATTTTCTATTGGTGTGTTAATTTATGATAGCAGAACTTAATTTATTTATTTCTTTTAAAGCTTTACCAATATGTAGGTCTATTTTTTGTGATATGTAATTTTCAATAACTACAACAAATTCGAAACATTTATCCTAATAATTGTTTACTTTTTATTGCAAATAAATACATATATTGTATCATCAAAAAGTCAATATTTATGTTTATGTTGTAACTGAATATCTTTTCATGCTTTCTAATAAAGGGTACGTAGAAAAACTTCACCTCAGGGATCTACTCTTTCAGCTTCCAGGTATTGTAACCAGTAATTGTAAGTGCTTGTGTAGATATATTATCTTATATGTGTTTTGCTTGAATTGTTCTTATACGAATTATCTTTTTATTACCTTTTTGTATTTATGTAATAGTTTTTATTATGTCTTTTGTGTACATTATACTAAAAGTAATCACAACATAAATAGAAAACAACTAACGGTGCATTGGTTGCAATGCATATATTTATGCTTGTTCAATTTTTCACATGCGAAGAATCATGTAATCTTTTCGATGTATTAATTACTATCATTCTACTACAATTTTACAATCATTACCCTACTCCCACTTCAGCCCTACTCCGTTAGAAATACAGACAGTTTGAAAATAGCAAACGAAAAATACTCTCTCTTGCCCGTTGACTATCGCTAGCAACAGACGTATTCTCTCTACTGTTGACTGCCGCTAGAAACATACATTCTCTCTCTCTCTCTCTCTCTCTCTCGCTTATAGTTACGCGAAAAATACCGCGAATTCTCTTTTAAATTATATACAGATGCAAGTGTGCTCTATCTCGTGATCTCAGTGTTAGTACCGCGAGACACGTGTTGGAAACCGATAAAGACAGCTCTCCCGTACGAAGAACGACCGCAATTGAAAGCCTGTAAATACCGCGAATGTGTGCGCAGTAGCAGTATTGATAATGCTTTTTATAAACTTGATTTGCTATTATCTGTATATATCCTTTACTACATACCCTTTACATACATAGCCTTTACTACATATCCTAATTTATTTGAACCAGCCCTATGTAATACTCAGTCCTCATACACTGAAATTATATTCATAATTTCACATATGTACACCTTTTTTGTACAATGCTATATTGAATTCTTTCAAATTATGTGAATAAAACATTTATTATTTTTCTTTATTTGAGAAAAATAAACTTTTTTCTAGTTTAAATTTATTCAATATTTATTTTTGACAATTTGTATCTATAGTCTAGTTTCAAAATTATAGTCACTAATTTTGAGATTAGATAATTAAGTTAGTTTTAAGGTAGTTGCGTTCAGTCAAATAGTCATAGAATAATGGACTTGTTAAGGTATCTAATAAAACATGACAACGCTGATCGGTAGAAAAGAGCATCAGATGATCGAAACCGCAGACATATAGTCTTTGCGTTTACTGCATACCCAATAGGCGTATCGTTTACGCCGTTGAAGTGAATTTTAAAAATTTATATATATATATATATATATATATATATATATATATATATATATATATATATATATAAGAAATACTGGAAATACTTTTTAACATCCCGGCCAATAATTCTGACTGCAACCCTAATAAACTGTGTTTTTTGTATATATATATATATATATATATATATATATATATATATATATTAAAAAAAAGTGTTGTATCTTTTTTAAACATAATTATGTGAAACTATTAACATACATATAATTTATTTGAGGCAATTTTCACAAAGTAGTTCGACCTCCACAAAAAAGGTCAAAGTTTCATTTGAAGAAAACTCATTGGATGATGAAGAACTATCGAAACATCCATTATAAGATCCCACATGCTGCCTTCTTACTCATACTTGTCTAGTATGTGTAATACAATGTTTCCATAAGTTGGCGTGATATTTTCTATTACAGTAGCTAGCAAGGAAATATTACCTACTTGCGTGCATAGCCACACGCTGTGTAGGAAATATTACCTACTTGAAAAAGCCACAGCCGCCTTCTATAAATTAAATAAAATTCTAATTAATAGAGATATTACGTTAAACCTTAAAATCAGATTAATACGCTGCTACATATTCTCCACATTGCTGTATGGTATGGAGAGCTGGACCCTTACAGAGACATTAATGAAAAAATTAGAGGCCTTTGAGATGTGGATTTATCGACGAGTATTGCGGATAAGTTGGGTTGATCGAATAAGAACTGAAATAGTTTTACATCGAATAAAAAAGAGCACAGAAATAAGAAAAACGATAAAAATTCGAAAGTTACAATATTTCGGTCATGTAATGAGTCATCCAGAGACACTGTATAACCTTCTACACCTCATAATACAGAGTAAGATCGCCGGGAGGGGAGACCTAGGCTGACGCATCCTGGCTCCGAAATCTCCGAGAATGGTATCAAGAGACCACTGCTAATTTATTTAGAGCAGCCGTAAACAAAGTTATTATTGCCAATATGATCGCCAACGTTCGATAATCGGATAGGGTACTAAAAGAAAAAGAAGAGCTAGCAAGAATTTCACACCATACATTTTAAAAGTTAAGATACTTGATTTTTATTTGAGCTCATAAGCTTGATAGGGTTCAGCTCACAATGATAAGGAGAGAGGCACAGAACAATTATGTTCTTTTCACGTGCCATCTCATCGACAACATAGTTCTTCTATTTGGGTATATGTCTCATGGCAAAATTTAATAATGCTACTTTCAACACTTGGTCATCGAATGATATATTTGTTTGAGACAGCCAGTTCATGATGTCAGTTTTCTGTCAGGCAATTGTTAATGATGGCTATAATTGTCGACTACGTTAAGACGCAAGAATTTAGTTCAAGGCTTAATAAAATCCTCATGTAACAAATAAGATTTTTATGCTGTTGGACGCCAATGTAATAAAATATGCTTATTAGCGAATAAAAATATGCTTAATAAAAACGGGTAGGATAATGGCAAGGATAACGTATAATTTAAGCTGGCTAGCAGAAGGTGTCGGAGAGTGAATACTTGGCACTCAAAGGAGAATTCGGCCAATTTGCATGCCCTACAAAGACCGTAGAATTAGAAAATGAATGACAAGGTAATAAAAATCTATAGGTATATAACTAAGATAAATCAAAGTGATTGTAGAAGTTGCTCCAAAATGTGAGTGGGTGCCAGGAAAGTATTTACATAAACTTTCCAAGGTATCTTGTAAAGCTGTTTGCTGAAATAAAGAAAGGATATAGGTATGAATTGAAATATTTAGTTTTCACCAAAACTTTAATCCCTAGCCAAATATATACAATCTAAATTTAATATACCCACCACCAATTATGTACAGCTAATCTAGTTATATACAAAAAAATAAATGTCCTGGTTATACAACTGATCCTGGATGATCTAAATTTACAAATAATAAATATGGAAAAAAAATGGTAATAATTGACCTAAAAAGGTAATTTATTTGCCTCAGAGATGCAACTCTGTATTCTGGCTTTATTGAATATAACAGTAACAAGTAATAAGGACACTATCTTGACGAGATAAGTGTCCAAACGTTTAAATATATATTGATAATAAAATCTAAAAAAAAATAACTCTCTGATTAAATGTGTACACAAGAAACCATACAAGTGAGTTAGAAGGGAGGACTTAAAAACCTGTACCTGTAGTTGACAATTTGTATTTAAATATTATTCAGTAAATTATTAAAAAAATGACGACTCTTATTATTAGATGAAATACTAGAAGTTAAATATACAAAAAAATTATACAAAAAATATTATAGGTAAAAAAAAATAAATCTAAGAAATAAACTTAATCCAGATTTACTATATTTTAAGGGAGATAATTCCCGCTGGTTTCCTAAAATTTGTTTCGTAATCAGAAGGTCAGATCTGGACCTCTGGGGAGCAGCTATGGCAAGGAAAAAAAACAGGCCTGGAACCAGGTATAACCGGACTAGGTTTCAACTTAATAGGTACTTCTTATTCCAAAATTATTAAAAAAAAACCCAAAAGCAAATTCTTCTTACGACTTCTGTTTGAATCCAAAAGGTAGGCTAAAAAAACATTTCTTTTAGAGTTCTTTCTTATACTTTACAGAGTAGGAAAAAAAACAAGGTTTATGAACCTTGAAAGGTTTTATAAATGTTACTTATGAATTGGGAGAGCAAAAAACTTAATGGTTTGATAGATAATTTGACCGTCGTCTGGTTTGACAATTTAAATGGATTAATTATATCGACAATTTTAATGAAAAGCATATGATACGAATATATTTTATAATATAAAGAGCGATATAAGACAGAATATTTTAACGATACTCTTAATAGCAATTTTACCGATAGATTATTATGTTTTACGGCCGGGAATAAAATTAAAATACATATGATTTTAAATAAATTAACACTTTCTATTTAGATGTTGAATATTTCTTAATGACGGATGGAAAAAAGTTCAGATAAGTATATCGAATTGAAACGTGACAATACAGGATCTCAAAATGGCTGATGACTTTTTTTTTATTTTCGTTTTATTTATAACTTGGATACTTACGGCTCACAGTGGCTATAAACCAAACAGGACACTACAAACAAAAAAACCCCAAACTAAAACTTCCTATTACTTCTTCATAAAAAAACTCTTAAATTCCAAAAGCCATTCCACGTGTGGCCCCTACCTTGGACTCAAGTTTCTGCCACCAAAGTTCAAACAGAAGTGCGCTTCGGGTACTCAATTTGAGCCAGATAAACTATGATTTCAAACTTATACGCTTGGTGTCGCTGTTTTATACCAACTTAAATTTTTAAGATTCAGATAATCATTAAGAGGATTGAGATTTTTAAATTTATTTAAAAAATGTTTACGGAATGTTATAGTAACGTTCTCGTTACACTCAGTCATTGGTTTTTTTGGTTTCGAAGAATAACAGGATGCTATCCAAAAAACCGAATCACTGCCTATTTGTGTTAAAATGAGTCTCCCTCCGAAAGACCAAGAATAACGCTGGTTATCACTATTTCTTAAAATTTAGCGCCTACAATTTTAAAAAACAATATTATACAAAGTTGTATCCATAAAAGTGAGATATATAAAATAACGAAACTAAAAAAAAACAAGTATTTGCCTATAAAAGTTTTGATTACTTTTTGTACTTTTCCATTGTTTTTGTAATTATTTTTTGTATATACGATATGATGTGATATTATAATAATAATATAAATGAAAGTTTCCGATATAATTTAGTCAGCCGCTCACTATCTGTGTTGAAAATGTAAGACCTGATCTTCAACTGGAACTGTGTGATTTGCAGTCAGATCCTTTTTACCAGGGAAAACTTGAAAGAGGATTGTACTTTTTTAAATTACTACCAGAGGACCGTTCTTTCAATTTAAGGCTGTTTTATCGGTGCACCAAAACCTAGGGACAGTGTTTTCTCTGTTATTTACGGGCAAAATATCTCAAAATTTGGACATGTCGAAATTATGTTGTATTTAAAATGATGGTTTTACTTTTTTTTATTTTTTTGAAACTTCTGTTGAAAAATTGCGTGTTCTAACTTTGAAGAAAATTACTAAAAAATACTAAAATCTAATAGTGAAACGTGTTACTCATCATTGGCGCTTAGTTTCACCGTTATCGCCTTCGTGACGTCAAATCTCATGAACGTACTGCCAGTTAGTTCGTGTTAAAACTTATTTGAATGGAGCATAATGCACTTGTTGTCATTAAACTACCTGTCGGCCGGCGCCACTGAGTAAAAAATGGTCTGGCGTAAGCAGTGTAGAAAAGTAAGTGATACGCCCATTTCAAATTGCAGTGTGCTTGAACTGCTAAAACAGCCTTAAGAAAATTTGGTCTTAGAATGGGTTTCATGCTTGGAATCACATACCTTTGTGAAAGCAGCTTTTCAAACATGAAATTTATAAAATCCAAAAACAGATGTTCGCTTTCTGATATATTATAAAGAACTGTTAAAATATGTCCACGTATTTAAAAAATTTAGCTGTATTATAGCACATTTATTATGTATGTTATTTATAATTTTTTGAATTTCATCGTACATTTTCAAAACAGAATGTTTTATGAGTTTAATTTTATTTGAATTTACACTTCTATGTCAATTCATATAATTATTTTTATGGTAAGTATAGCTTGCCTCAAAATATATCGTCTTGTTTTCCACTCGTTAAAGAATTGTGTTATTGCCATTGTCATGAATGGAATAACTAAAGTTATTGGTTCTTAGTGAAAAAACATCAGAGGCGGAGTCCAGGTAAAAATAATAATACAACGATTTTATTCTCAGATCTCCATTTTATTGTAAAAAAAGTTTTATTTAACAATAAAACACTGAAAACTTTGTTTTCAAACTTCCACAAAATTTATTTTAAATCTTATCACTACAGCTGTTTCGGCTGATTGCCTTTCTCAAATGATCTATTTTTGGCTTGGGTTTACAAATTTATAGTCTCTAATGAAATAGGTTGAGGAGGGGAGAACTGTTTGTCTCAAGTTGGTCATTCAGAATTATATCTGTGTTTTTTAATTTGTTGATTTCCATAGATTCTAACAAAGATAGCTTAAGGCCTTTATTTTGAATGTGAAGAATTTTAAATTTGCCAATAAAAGAATGATTATGACCTAGAAGGTGAAGTGCGTATCTCGAATCTGTTTTTCTATTCTTGAAAGCCCTTTTATGTTCTGCTATTCGTTTATCAAAGTTTCTACCAGTTTGACCGATGTAAGTTTTTGAGCAGTCGCCACATTGAAGTTTGTACACACCACTATTCAAGTGTTTTTTATTTTGGCTCTTATTTTTAATATAAAAATAACAAGAGCCAAAATAAAAAACACTTGAATAGTGGTGTGTACAAACTTCAATGTGGCGACTGCCCAAAAACTTACATTTAATTAACTGTATAACAGTGGCACTCAGGGAGGAAGACCATTTTCCGCACTTACTTTTACTTTGATTTGATGCCACAAATGCTCAATAGGGTTAAATACACTAGTAGTTGTTCTTTGTTATAATTATTTTAAAATAAGTATCATTTTTTAAGAAAAACTCACGAATTTCAGTTTTAGTGCTTGGTCTGTTTGGCGCTTTTTGTATCTGAAGACTGTGGTAGCTTTCGTTATCCATGACGATTACACTATTTTCAGGAATATTGTTTAAGACAATTTTTAAACCAATTTTTAAAAAGTCTGCACTTGTATCTTCATGATAGTCTAAGCTAGAGTCTTTGATATTCTTCGCAGATAAGAGCAAGCAATTTGGAACAAACCAGTCTTTCGAACCGGCCTGAATGATTGTTATGCCTTTTCATTCATGAAATTGTTTTCATAGGCGAGCGGTTTACCCCTATAAGCAGAGCATCAACCTACTAAAATTCTTTTTGCATTTCTAATGCACCAAACCTTTTTCATTCAATTCTATATATTTTTCCAAGATGAAATGTATTTTTTTAAATTTATACAAGTGGGCCGGCAATTGTTATTAACAAATAACTTATACAAAAAAGCAATTTCAACGAATTGTTTCGGAATCAATTTTTTTAGGTGTATCTCGTCAAAATAAACACTTTTTCTTTCCTGATAATTTTTCGAAAAATGCTTCCTTTTCAAGTTATTTGCATTTTTTTGTTGAAAAAAATGCCTTAATTAGTGATTTTTGGGATTTTTTTCTAAAAAACTACTAAATGAATTCCAATTTTACAAATAGCTTTATAATCTTTAAACCGTCGAGTATAAGTTGGAATATTTTGACAAGGATAAATGGTTTCTATCTCGCTAAAAACGTGGACCCAAATATTTCGAATATGCCTTTCGAGAGTATCCCGCTAAGCGTGTACAACGGTTGAGATGCTGTAGGTGCTCGAATCTTTTCGACTTTTTTAATAATGTAATATATATATATATATATATATATATATATATATATATATATATATATATATATATATATATATATATATATATATATATACAAATATCTGATAATTGATTAAATGAAATTTTAATTTTATTTAATACTACGTGGGTAAGTAAATACTGGGTTACTTACTAAATATTCTACATTTCACTACAAATTTCTTAGATAATTCTAAAATAGCGCCAACGATATTTGCTCCGTGCGTGACTATGATAAGGGTACATTGAAAATACATGTAAGGGTGTGCAAATACATGTTGCGTAATTTTTACCTTTAGATGAAGGACATACAGTTTTGACTCTATTTTTATCTAAACTGTATGACCCTCAAAATAAGTTTAAAAAATATCATGAATCTATAAATAAATCAAGATATAATATTGCATTAAAAAAAATGCATCTAATGAAAAATTACCACCTTCGAAAACTGCATTATTACAACATTACTTAAGAGCAAAGTGGCAATTAAATGAATGGATTCAAGCAAAAAACAATATTATTTCATCTCTTGATCCATTAACCCATGGTTGGACAATAGAAAATAATTGTTTCGATTTTAATTATTTTGAAGGCGAAACTAGTTTAGATATTTTAGTATTTCTGCTCATGTACCGGAAAATGTTCTACGAAAAATTGTATTTGTATTTCCTATAATTTAGAATGCTGCGCAGTATGTACATGTACACCAGAGAATTGTAAAAATGTTAAAGACGACTTTATTGAAGACAATGAAATCAGCTTATTAGATGGAAATCCTGTTGCTTTTGACGAAAATTTTCAAATTATTGACAATGAAAACGATGTATAAATAATATTATATTTTTATTTTATTATACTTTTCAATGAAAATTGATTATAAATTGCTGAATGTATTTCACTGTAATAAAACATTCAATAATAGAGTCACAACGTATATTAAAAGAAAAATTACATTATTATAGCATTGTAAAAAATTAATTTTAATTGTTTTAATTATAATATGTCTATATAAAAATAATTATAAATATCTTTTTTTTTTAATAAACTGTACGTAATATTTGTATTAAATTAATTTTTTAAATCTAAACAAATATTTCTACGCGCTGCACGCCTGTATCGCCGCAAGCGCTGTACACACTTAGCGGTAGACTGCTCGAAAGGCATATTCGAAATATTTGGGTCCACGTTTTTAGCAAGATAGAAAAAAATTATCCTTGTCAAAATATTCTAACTTGTACTCGATGGTTTAAAGATTATAAAGCTATTAGTAGAATTGCAATTCATTTAGTAGTTTTTTAGAAAAAAAAAATCCGAAAAATCACTAATTAAGGCATTTTTTACAACAAAAAAAAATGCAAATAACTCGAAAAGGAAGCATTTTTCGAAAAATTATCAAGAGGAAAAAAGTGTTTATTTTGATGAGATACACCTAAAAAAATTGATTCCGAAGCAATTAGGTGAAATTGCTTTTGTATATAAGTTATTTGTTAATAACAATTGCCGGCCCACTTGTAAAAATTAAAAAAAAATACATTTCATCTTGGAAAAATATATAGAATCGAATAAAAAAGGTTTGGTGCATTAGAAATGCAAAAAAAAAATTTAGTAGGTATATTCTGTTTCTAAGCATCTTTTGAGGGGTAAACTCGCCTATCATCTGGTAGTTTTTACTAGAATCGACTTGAGGTCGATTGAGACACATCAGTCACGTCTCGTCACAGTCCTGGCGCCGAACCGAACAATCCGTCATACAAAATATTCTTTAATAGAAATATGGCGCCGGCATTCACATTCATCAGTTGACGAACAGTTTGCCAGCTGTCAGATAGTTGATAGTTCTGTGACCAAACAGGACCGGTTCGGCGCCGAGACTGTGACGGGACTGATGTGTCTGAATCGACCTTTATCCGTTGCATACTGTATCATAAGTATTAAATCATGTTTTATCCAGACATATGACAGATTTGTTTTCTAACCTATACTTCCTAATCTCATAGAAATACTCATTTCTGCAAGAGCGCAGTCTGTGCGATTCCATTATTACTGCTTTTTTTTGTTTATCTATTAATACACAATAATACCACTAATTGTTTAACGACGGGAAAGCAAGACGATATATTTTGAGACAAGCTATATACAAAAGTGAATCAGATGGAAGCAATTTTAAAATATTTTGATCAAATACAAGAAGGAAACTTTTCATTATATTCTTAACTATAATTACAACTAACTGCTCCAATTAATGGTTTTGTACTATGACATAAAGTCAATCACTTATTTTTTAGTTCAAGAATGTCATTGGCAAGCAGTAGGCATTCCTTAGCAGGAAGCCGGCAGTCATTGTCTGGTAGTCGGCAGTCTTTGAGCGGTAGTAGGACGCACTTGGAATCGCCGACAGTTGATAAACAGCCAGACCCGAATGAATCTCAAAGTCAAGTTCCGAAAAGAGCGTCGTTTGTCGAGGTAAGATGTTTGATTATGTAATTGTCGAAACATGCAACTTCAATCGAATAACATCTTTTCCAAGCTCTTGTAAAACATTTTTAATTTTTCACTACTTTAGTGAAATACATTACCGAGCATAAAATTGGGGTCACCTCTAAATTTGAATTTATTTTAGAAATTATCATTCTTTTTTTAACTACTTTCGGTTGTAGTATAGTTTACTAATGGATTGCTTGAAAACAATTGTTGTTGCTGTTTTGATAAGCGTTTGAGATTAAAAGAGCCCCTTTCCCTAAATCCTATAAACCATTATCAGCATAGTTTTTGTTTCTGTGGTTTTAACGCTAATGGTAAATTATTTGTGTATTGTTTCACTGTCAATATATTGCAGTGAGCATAAGTTCTGCTATGGCGGTGAGAATTGTGACGGCAGTAGAAGAGGGTTACCGTCAGCGCGAAACGTTGGTGTAAGTCTCTCGAGTGTGCAACGAATATGGCGACGGTACGAAGAGACCGGTCTACTATAGTGTATTTTTATGTATGAGAGAGTAATAAAACAATAAATTATGTATGCAAATCCCTAAACTGTTGATACGGGTGACTCAATGAAAAACAGATATTTGTCAACAAGTTTACCGAAGTATATAGGAAAACAATTTTAAATTGAGTATGACCACCAGGTATAAAGGTTGGAGCAGAATAGAATACAATAGTTGTGAGGGTTACTAATCCCTAAATAAGGTTGCCAGTGTCGGAGTGATGGAGGTTAACAGGTACTAATGAATTTGCAAGAAATGTAAGATGTTTATTTTATTGGTTATATATAACCAATAAAAGTCTAATAAGTACCTACCTATTTGCAAAATAAAGTTTAATTCTTTAGATAAAATAAAACGTTTTATTTTATCTGAAATGAGTGCATTCCACGAAGTAAGGGTTTCAACAATCAAACATTTTATTCTTTAATTCCAGGAATCTACGACAGTAATTGACTAGATAATTACCTTCTAAACTTATTCCACAGAAAATGTGATAGTGGGTTTTTCCATTTTGTAGGAAGGTCCAAGTGGCGTATTCAAAATTCTTAACAGTTCACTAAAAGTAGGTACTTCAGTTGCAAGGTGCAGTTTATTGTGTATACTAGTGTTATGGAAAATTTGGAAGTGCCGTGTAAACGCCGAAAAATTGGTCCTTTAACAGTTAATGAAAAAACATTAATATTTAATTGTTTTAAATCATTTACAGACAAACGTTTCTGTGAAAGTGTTGATGAGACCGTTGAGTTAGTTAGCAGTACACTTGGTGTTGGGAAATCTACGATTTACAGAGTTATTAAAGAAGAGAAATGTGGTAGTTTTCAAATGCCACCTAATGCTCCAGGGAAACCAAAATTTCAAATAGAATATCATTTTAAAGAAGGACTTCGACGGAAAGTGCATGAATTCTTCTTTAGACAAGAATTTCCAACATTGGATAAAGTTCTTGTCTCAGTTCGAGATGATAAGGATTACCCAGAAATGAGTCGAAGTACGTTATGGAAACTTTTAAAATAAATAGGCTTCCGCTGGAAAAAGAATCCCAGAAAGTCTATTTTATTAGAAAGAAGCGATATTGTCATATGGAGAAGACATTTTCTAAGAACCATAAAGGAAATGCGAAACCAAAAAAGAAAAATATTTTATCTTGATGAAACATGGATCAACGAGGGTCATACACCAAATAAATTTTGGCAGGATGAAACTGTTACAAGTCAAAGGCACGCTTTTGTAAATAACTTATCTACTGGTTTAAACCCACCATCAGGAAAGGGACGCAGGCTGATAATAGTACACATTGGCAGTTCAGACGGTTTTGTTGAAGGTGGTTTATTAACTTTTGAATCAACTCGTACCGGTGACTACCATGAAGACATGAACGCTGATGTCTTTCAAGAATGGTTCGAACAAATGATAGATCTTCTTCCTAAGAACTGTGTAATAGTAATGGATAATGCAAGTTATCACTCCAGACTTATAGAAGGACTGCCCACAACCAAGTGGTTAAAAAAAGACTTGCAGAATTGGCTGAGTTCAAAAAATATTACGTACAATCCCGGATCTATAAGAAAGAAACTTTATTCGTTGTGTGCCCTTCATAAAGAAAAATTTTAAAAATACGAAATTGATGAAATTGCCAAAAATTGTGGAATGACAGTACTTAGATCCCCACCATATCATTGTGAATTAAACCCGATTGAACTGGTATGGGCACAGATAAAGAGTGAAGTTTCAAGAAAAAATACCACTTTTAAAATTCATGATGTTAAACAGTTGTTTTTGGAGGCCGTAAATAATGTAAAACCTGAAAACTGGGAAAAGGCAGTAAATCACACTATTAAAGAAGAGGAAAAAATGTGGAAGCTGGACAATATTACTGATAAAATGATCGAGCCAGTTATTATAAATCTTGGTTCTGAAAGTTCATCTTCTGAATCTGATTTGGATTTGTAACAAGTAGCTGTAAGTTTTATATTAATATTTTTATTCATCTATTTAACATACCTTAGACGGTTTTAAAAACTCTTTTTCTCTTTTGTAATTTTTAAAAATTAAAAAATATGTGAATTTTTTAAAACCCTTTTTAATGTAGGCCAGTCAGTTTTAATATAGTGTGTGATAAAAGAGGTCACTTTTGTTTACATACACATAACACTTTATAACACTGAAATAATTCATTTATTTTTTACAATTATTCAAAGTAATTTTTCAATTAATCTTGAGCACGCCCATGGAGTGGTCGAAGATACCAGTTAAAATTATGCTAATTACTCTCTCGTTCATAAAAATAAACTATAACTTGAAGACCTGGTTCAGGTCGAGGCAGAATTACAACAGGCTAGAGATGACCGCTTTGTCGTTTGTAGTGTTTGGGCAACCGAACGGTCACAGCAGTTTACCTTCGAAATCATCTGCAAGAAGTGAGAAATATAAACTTAAGTAAATGGACAGATAGGAGGAGACTTCATGCTGCTGGTTTATCTTCTCGAACTTGAGTAACTGGACCGCCACTTTTCCGTAAACACCGAATTGCCAGATTGAATTTTGCCGGAGAACACTTGACTTGGACAATACAGAATTGGAGTCGTATATTGTTTTTCGATGAATCGAGATTCTGTCTTAAGGCTGTTTTATCGGTGCGCCAAAACCGAGGAACTGTTATTTACCGACAAAATGTCTCGAAATTTGGACACAATATTCGAAACTATGTTGCTTTTAAAATGATGGTTTTACTTTTTTTATTTTTTTGTTACGTCTGTTGAAAAATTGGATTATACTATTTAACGTTCTATTATAACCAAACTTTTTACGCCCGTCGCTTGAAAGAGTTTTTTTTCTGTAATCGTTGATTTTTTTTTCACCTTTCTGTGTCCAGTAATAATCGAGAAAACCGTGTTCAAACTTTGAAGAAAATTGTTAAAAAATACTGAAATCTAATAGTGAAACGTGTTACTCATCATTGTCGGTCAGGTTCATCGTTATCGCCTTCGTGACTTCAAATCTCATGAGCGTACGGTCAGTTAGTTCGTGTTAAAACTAATTTATATGGAGAGTAATGCATTTGTTGCCTGTTGGCCGACGCCACTGAATAAAGATAGTCTCGCGTAAGTAGTGTAGAAATGTAAGTGATACGCCCATTTCAAATCGCAGTGTGCTTGAACTGCTAAAACAGCCTTAAGGATCAACTCGTAAGAGTTTGACGACGTCCAGGCGAGAAATATGTTCAAGCATGTGTTACCGAGCTACTTTCATTTGGTGGAGGGTTAGTTATGGCATCAGGAGGCATATCATTTGACGCTCGCACGGAGTTAGTCTTTATCGAAAATAAAATCCACAAGGAAAATAATTCCTGCAGCTGGCTGTATACCGCGTATCACAAAAAAGAGGTTAAATCTTTGTAAATGGGTATATTTAAAAAAACCCTTAAAAGGGCTACCTCAAATTAACACGAACGTTTTCGGAATAATAATTCCATCATCAGGTTAAAAATGCAGGTTAACATGCCTGAGCCACCAAAATATTAGGGTAAAAACCCTTTAAAATACATAAGCTATAGAGATAGCTACTGAGTATCTTGACGAGGTTCAAATCACGGAATTTGTTTGGCCTGCTCGCAGTCCAGATACCAATCCTTTTGAACATGTTTGGCATGAGATGAAGAGACGTTTAAAGAGTGATGCGCCGGCCCCCAGAAATTCAAGAGTGCTTCACGACATATTGTTGCATAAATGGAAAAATATTCCACATCCACATGTGATCCAAAATCTGACACAATGCCTACCTCGTCGTTTGCAAGCTATTATCACTGCCAGAAGAGGGAATACTCGCTACTGAAGCTCTTAAATTTCTTTTATTTCAACAAAAAGCAAATCAAATTGAAATTGTTAATTTTCATTACTTTCAATTAACTTTGAAGGACAAAAACGTTGTTTTCTTTAAGCAATCCGTCAGTAAACTATGTTATAACTGGAAATAGTTAAAAAAGAATGATAATAATTTTCGTCTTTCGTAATAATTCGTCTCAGGACCATTTTACCTATGTAGGGTCAAACGTCGCCATGTTACCAATTCCAACGGTAACTTAAACATCATAATCTTTAACCATGTATAATGTAAAACAACTGTAAATTTATAACATTTAAAAAGGGTTTTGACCCATATATTTTGGTGGCTCATAGCATGTATACCTCGTTTACACTGATGATGGATTTAACAATCCGAAAACGTTTTGTAATGTAATTGTGATAGCCCGTTTGGGCATTTTATTATATACCTTTTATAAAGGCTTTGAAATAAATTTTTTGTGATATATGGTATAAAGCCAGCTACAGGAACTTAGTTTCCTAGTGAATTTTTTTTAAGAGATTGAAATTACTGAGTGACCCTAATTTTATGGTCGGCAGTGTAAAAGATTACTCAGTAAATTTGGACTTATTCACACAAATGTGATCAAACCTTGGTATATAATTTTTTTTTTATTTTTCAGACTGGTTTTGTGGAAACGTTAAAACCGCAGTTTACACCCGGACAGGCAATGACTACTGCTCCTACTCCAGTGACATCAATGGATGAAAAAATAAGTAACCTTCAGCTCCAGCAAGAGTTAGAAAATAGAAGTCAACAAATAGTTGATTTAGGAGAGAAATTAGAAACGCTAAAGATCAAGAGGCAAGAGGATAAAGAGAGACTCAAGAACTATGAGAAATTAACTATACAGGTAAGAGGTAATTTAATAATGCAGGATCATGTTTTACGACTTGTATGCATTTTTGTGACCATATTTTATTTAACAATTTCGACTTTAAAGAAGAATGGGCAGATCTTCTTCAGGACAAACAATTGAACTAGATTTTAAGACTCAATGTTCTATATTTATTATGTATAATTATAGGTGATGGTCTATGTATCAAAGCTTGTTACATTGTGCTGATGGGTTTACTATAAATTTTCTTTTTTTCATGTCTGTTTCTTTCATGACTCTTAATGCATCTTGTCATTGTATTCTGTGCTCATTGTCTCAGGCATGTTTACATGTATGTGATTTGTCGGAATGTATGTTTCGATGCTTGTTTGTCCTGCGATAGAATTGTTTAGCGCCAACTATTTTTAGAAGAAAAATAGTAAAACAAAAGAGAAAGTTAACAAACGAATAAAATCAAAAGAAATTTAAATAAAAATAATTATTTATAGAAAAATAACAAACTATCTATCTACGGGTTAACTCTTGGAAGAAAAATTCTCCTGAAACTTGGTACACATATTGCTCATGTTCTAAGAACGAAAGAAATCTAGTGAATTTGGGGTCAATAAGTCACAGGTCCCTAAAGGTACAGATAATTTCAGATATAGAGGACGTATATTCTTCTTCTTCTTATAGTGCCATATCCCTACGGAACGTCGGCGACTACCATGCTTATAATATTGTTATACTGATCTCGGTCTTGCGCTACGTGTAGCAATTGGTCCGCTGTAAAACCTGTCTACTGCCGCAAATTCCTCAACCAAGAGAGTTTCTTCCGTCCTATCCATTTCTTTCCTTCGATTTTACCGTTGAGATTTAGCCGAAGGAACTCATATCTTGGTCCTCTGATTATATGTCCAAGATATTCTAGTTTACGCCTCTTAATAATATTTAATAGAGTTCGTTGATGTCCCATTCTTCGAAGAACTTCTTCGTTTCTGGTTCTGCTAGTCCATGGAATTTTTAGTATCCTTCGATACAACCACATCTCAAACGCCTCGATTTTATTCATGATTACGGCGTTTAAAGTCCAAGTTTCACATCCATACAAAAGTACAGACCACACGTAACATCTTGTAAACTTTTCACGGATTTCCAAATTTAATAAGTTATATATGAGTATATTCTTGAAACTTCTTATATAGTATTTTTTTGGGAATAAATATACGATCAAGGTGATGAACTTTGTGGTCAAAAGATATAGAATTTACAAAAATACAACTCGAGTATCGCTGAATGGCATCAGATCCACAGACGTATAAACCGCTAGTATTCTGCAGTTTAAACAAATTGGTTCGCTCCTGATTGAATCAAATGCAATAATATTGTGCTTTTTTTACGTTCATGAATTCTTAACAGTCCTTCGATACCCTGTTGTATCGGTTGCTTGTGGAAAAATTATGTTTTCATATGTAGTTTTACGAGTTTTATCAAAGCTTCATTTTTATGCTCCTGTATCACATTAGCTGGATCTACTGGATCAGTTAAAGTACTTGACACACTTTCGAACGAGTTTCATCCAGAACGGGGTGTCAGACAAGGATGTATACTATCTCCACAATTATTCAACATATATGGGGAGTATATTATGCGAAGAGCACTTGAAGGATGGGAAAGGGCATCTCAATAAATGGTCATAAACTAAACAACCTACGTTTCGCAGATGACACAGCCCTTCTTGCAAATAGTCAAGCAGAGCTGATGGAACTTATACGACTGATCGAAAACGAAAGTCAAATATTTGGTCTGCAATTAAACATATCAAAGACAAAGATCATGATAGTGGATAGACCACACAACAATCATCCACACATAACCACAATTGACCGGTTCGAGGTTGTGAGCTCATACTTATATCTGGGATCATTAATCACAAACACAGGGTCATTACAAGAGGAGATTAAACGTAGATGTGATCTAGCAAAAGTTGCCACAGCAAAAATGACCAAAATATGGAAGGACTGTCAAATTTCAAGAGCGATAAAGATGAGGTTGATCAACTGCTTAATATTCCCAATACTGACCTACGGATGTGAATCTTGGACTCTGAGACAATCGGAGAAAAGAAAGATAGACGCCACTGAAATGTTCTGTTGGAGACGAATGTTACGAATTCCTTGGACCGACCGTAGAACAAATAATTCAATTTTAAGAGAGCTAAAAGTTAGCCAACGACTCTCTAGTTAAGTCCATCTCCAACAATTAAAATATTTTGGGCATGTTATGAGAGCAAACACAGAAAACATGGAAAGACTCATAATACAAGGAAAGGTAGAAGGCCGAAGATCACGAGGAAGATCCCCAACAAGATGGGTAGATCAAATTACAGGAATATGCCAAAGACCTATGCATGAATTAAAAGAAATGACCAGAGACAGAGATCTCTGGAGACGGACAATACACGACATCACGTCGACCACTACACTCCCCCTGGGGGGTCAGGATTGAAGAGAGAGAGAGATCACATTAGCTTTCTCTCATTCATAAAATCAAGAACTTGTCGAGTGTTATCTAAATGAATTTTATTCCGATCTTCATTTTAAGGCATATTTTGAAATTAATAGATTCTTGCAGTGATATCATATTTTCGTGTAGGTATTTTTTGTCATTATATCGTTATTGGTATTAAAACTTTAGCCATTAACTTTTTTAGAATATTTTTAATAATTTTTAATAAAACATACTCCGAGTTTTTGTCACTTCACGAACGAGTTCGAAAATATAAAAGACTATGCCCAGACGCAAATATATATAAATATTTTTTCAATTTGACGTAAATATTTAGAAACGGCTTAGTACGTGTTCATTAATTACGCTTTTTTTAATTATTTTTGTTGTTTGCTTTTATATTTTTAATAGGAAATTAATAATACGATATGACGGTGTGGCTAGTGATCGATATATCTAATGGTTAATAATAAATATTACATTCATGTTTCGCAAATATGGGTGCATTCTTTTCTTGTTTTACAGTGAACTTTGTTATAATCGACTCTATTTTCAAGTTATTTTCTTTCGTAAAAACTATATTTTGGATTCTAAACAGTTTTCGGATTCCCGTAAGTAACAAATGGCAGAATATAAATACATTAAAAATTATATTTTACATTAGTTTTCAAATAACTTCACTTGTCTAGTGCCTCCCACCGTATTAACAGTACGAGCAATTCTAGTTGATAATGAACTATTGTATTCGATGTTTAGATCTTCGTCCGAAAGTATTTATATCTTCGTGATTTATTTTTATTTATCGTATGGCACATTTACATTTAAATTTACTTATATTTTGTAAAAAACATGATACATATGTTTATAAACAAACATCTAACTTATTTATATAGTCTGTCGACTCTGGAGTCGCTATTAGGAAATCCTGTGGCCTGCCATGATAGGATCTTGCACTTTTCTGTGATGTGACAGATGGTTTGTTAATTGGATGTTTGGATATGTTAATAATCTGCGGGTGAGAAAACAAGGCCCAGGGCAGATGATCGCAAGGTGGAAGCCGATGCTCCCCATATTGTGCCGCACAGCTTCTGGATGATGTTGTTCCTGAATTTAAGTTTTTCCGCTGTTTTTGGCAGATGTTCCTTGAAAGATGGGGTTCTGTCAAGAGTCACCCCAAGGTACTTTGGTGTTTTATTGTAGACGAGTGTGGTGTTTTCGAATTGCATGTTGAGTGTTCTTCCTGCAAGCTTGTTATTTAGGTGAACACTGGAGACCTTTGTTTTAATAGCGTGTGGTTGGTGCCTCCCTTTACGGAAATACTTTCCCATTGTGTGTCCGCGATGAGGATTTCTTCTGTTTCAGGCTAAAGAGAAGAGGAGCTAGGACAGATCCCTGAGGCAGTTCATTCTTCAGTTTTCTTGGGATGCTGATGTCGGTTCCCATGACTAGTTAAAACATAAAACGAAATAAAACAGGCAACTTGTTAAGTACACTTATAGTGTGCTCACTGCAGTTGACAGGTTTTTCATGCAAAAAACAATATTTAAAAAAACAGTTAACAGATTTTGACGATGTGAGGTAGTGACATCTATGAGTCAAATACCCAATTTGGAAAATTGAAATCTGTAATATGGTTACTTAACAACTTTTTCATGCAAAATCATTTAAATCTCGGATATGTTATTTAACATGTTTTACGACCGAACCCTTTAATTATCTTTCTTACTGTTAAGTTACTTTCTTACTTATCAAGTTGATATGTACGAATTTGTTCTTATATAAGTTTACTCTTAATCCAGGTGACAATTTGATAAATGCACGTCAAAATTTGAAAATATTGCTGAAGCACTAACGCTTCCAATTTGTGGAATAGTCCTTCATGCTAAACTTTGTCGAAGGACTGTGTCACATCCCAGGAAACAGTGGAACAAACTTTTTTCTCTTATAAAGATATCAGTATTTTGATGAACTTGCTCTATTGTCGAATGACTCTTCCTAAAACCAAACTGATGGGTAAGGATCAAATTCTTATCCTCTATGTTTGGTTTCAACGTCTTAAGGAGCAGTTTCTTGTAAAGTTTAGAAATGACAGGAGGTAATGAAATAGATGTATAGAAGTGATTGAGAAGATCTATAGTGATTTTCCTGGTTTAAAGATCGTATTTTTCCTTTGCTACTTTCCACGTCTTAGTACATACGTCAACAGAAATTATTGTTTTAGTACTTCTCCAATGATAAGGTTAAAGTCATGTGCTTTCTGTGTATTTATGTTTGTTTTAATTTCTTGAGACACATATTTTGCTGAAGTGAGCAATTATAACATTTTTTGGTTCTGGTTCATTCCAATACTCAAGATCTTCCCCATCACTCGGTTGAAGAGTCACCTATATTCTTTAAATATTTTCGATTTTTAAATGTTGTTTCGAGCCCAGGTCCTATCTGCATTTCTGATTGGTGGATTTTGTATAGTAGACCTTTTCAGTCGCTTTGTGGTTTTCCAAAGCGAACAGTCTGTTCTGTTGTCAGTAGTGAGTTCAGTCAAATAATCATCAGTTGATTTATTTTTAATGCGCTGAATTTCACGCTTCATAGGCTGTGTTTCGCTTGGTAAGGCTGTTTTATCCAGTAGGCTCTAGTATGTTGCCATTTTCTTAGTTTTCGTTTATCACAAGTAAGGTCTCTAATTTCTTTTGAGTAATTATTACCTTATGTCCTAGGATTAGTTTTAGGAGTATTACAGATCTCCAACGTATGGCACTGAGTTGATAAATTAAAGATATTTCCCTTCTTGTATAATTGGCCGTCTCTTCCAGGATTCGTCAGAGCTATATTGAAAAAAGACATACCAGAGTGTCTTCCTATGTATGCAAACATTGTCCATATCCCGTCTAACACCATTTTGGTTTTCACTAAGGAGTTCTTCCACGCATGCACCTACACGCATAAGGTTTTGGAGAATATCTTACACGCTGTGTTCTAGGGAATTATAATACCTATGTAATTTTTACTTTTCAATAGATATCATTTTTTGTGTAATGAGTAAACAATTCATCACATCGCTCTTCCACAATTCGTTCTTCCTTCAAGACTTTAACATGAACATAATAATAAAAATTCAAATTCTTACAAATTTTTACGAATCTTAATAGAAAATACTAACTAAACATTTTCTTGTAGCTTGAGCAACTGGTGGAGTTTAAGTCGAAGATAATGAGCAGTCAAGCTATGTTGCAGCGAGAGCTACAAAAAGCCAAACAGGATGCCAAAGAAGCAATCGAAGCGAAGGAAACACACGCAGAAGAAGTGGCTGATCTTGCAGAGGCTGTAGAAATGGCAACTTTGGACAAAGAAATGGCCGAAGAGAAAGCAGAAACTTTGCAGTTGGAATTGGATGTATGCAGAGAAAAACTCGAGGAGGTTACATTGGATTTAGAAATTTTGAAGGCTGAGATGCAAGAAAAGGGTAAGCTTTTAAGAATAAATGTTCTAATATTCGTAATTTTTATCAAGTTCTCTTAAAAAACGTACTGTAGACTTAGATCTTTTACCTTTTATTAGCAGATAAGACACAGCATTTCTAATTCATCTGAAATATAAACTATCTTCTCTGAAGCTAAATTCTCTTTGCTTTTATTTATATGCGGAGATGACTTTCTGAACCAAGTCTTTAATATTCCTCTCCTTCCTTTGGTCTTCAGCTTTCTTTTATATATATCTCTTATTACTTTCAGGCATCTGCAATTTAGCATTTCTTTATATTCGATAATTATCATTTCTATGTTCAACAAGCCCCAACTATCTTGATGTATGATCTCTCATTTTGGCATTAATTGGTGCCTCCCCTAGGTTTCTCCTAATATATCCATTTTTAATGTTATGCTTTCCACAAGTCCCCATTATTTTCTAATAGGGATTCTAAATGTTCAATCTTTATCCTTTCTATATTTGCTACTGATACTACATCATCAGCATACATTAAACGCCTGCAAATGTTATTCCTTTTATCTGATGTAACACTAATTAGAATGAATAAGGACTAAGCGCTGAGCCATGAGGCAATCCTAGAATCACATAAAAGTTATCAGTTTCTGTCACACTTTCCCTAAAAGTAGTGGTAACTCCCTCTTACGTATCTCTCACAATCTTCACATACCGGACAGTCCTTTTTCTTATTTGAGTACACACCATAGAAACTCTCAAGGAATTATATTATCATATGCTTTCCTTAACATCAGTGAATACCATGTGGACGTTTGTTTCTTTATTCTATGCATCATTTGTTGATCTGTCTGTCTAGCATAAATCGAAACTGATATTCAAATATGTCAGTGTCTTCCCATATTCCTCTATTAATTACTCTCTCACATATTTTCTAATTAATTTTATGGCCTTACTAATGTACTATTCCATTCGTTTGATCAACTTTCATAATTCTTTTTGTAACGAATATTTTGCCTACCACATGGGGTAATAATACAAGGGGGTAGAAAATTGGCGGAAGAAACTAAAGGGGTTGAGATAAGGCAAGCAAAATAATCGCTACTTGTGCGAACGGCACTCAGGGTTTCGTAGGAGAGCTGGGGTCGTGGATAAGTAAAAGATAAGGGCATTGGAATGGGGGAACTACAAAAAAAAGAAATAAAGGGCTCTTGGGACAAACAAAATAAAAATAAACAAGAAACACCTCAAGGAATTTAATATAGGGCGCCACTTGAGGTGCCTAATTATGCCTATTACAACCACTAGTTGTAACTAGGGAAATAATTAGAAAACAAAATCAAAACATAAAAAACATATCTTTTTCAAATAAACTCAAAAAGGGTTACTCAAAAAAAATAAACAAAAAGTTAAGACAACAAAATTTTACCTTTAATTATGTGTACCACAAACAGTTACAAAACAAATGATAATTACAAAAAACAAAATTGAAATCATATAGATCTTTCAATGCAGTTTAGATTAAGGTCAACTTAAAAAAAACAAAACAAATTCAAAACTTATGGTTAGTTATGTGTATAAGAATAATTATTATGACAGCCAAATCCTAATTATTATAATTTTACTTATTATAAATTTTTCAACTTGTCATGAAAGCAATTATTAATGATAAATGTCTATTTTTCACTTTAAAAAAAAATTTAACAAAAAAAGTACCTGACTTCACTAAATATTAGTTTTGGGGCTGGAACTGGATTTCTAAACGCTGCAAATAACACAAATGCGTCTCCAAGCTTCAGAATGGTCTGGAATGACCAGGGACAAACAAATAGACGAAGGAAGTTGAAGTTCGGCTGGATCATCGGGCTTCGGGTCAAAAAAAATTGCAAACTTCTAAGCTTGGATTTTCAAAACTTCATTGAAAATACGATGGCCTCTTATATCGTTGTAACACCTTACAAATCTTCCATTTATGGAAGACAATTATACAAATGACAAAAAAAAAACGAAAAAACATTACGAATTTGAAGAAAAATTCGGACTCCAATAAAACTACTAACGCTCTTGACAGCGGTTTCACCGAGAGTAAAGCAGAGATTTTCTCCGCAAAAATTGGACGCAAATCTTAACAAACACTTATAAGAATGCGACGTAGTTTCCTTTGGGACGCATTTACATGAAAAGAAATCGCCGCAGTAAAATAAACAACAATTAAATGGATTTATTACTCTACGACGTTAGAATGATTGAAAACACTTTTCGAAAGATACGAACTAAAAAACAGAAAACATTCTTCGTTTTATTAAGACGATTTCATATACGAGGCGACTTTAAATATACGAGGCGACTTTAAATATACTTCAAAGAATCAATCAAATTTAAAATGCTACATTTTAAGCAAGGATATTCTAGTTCATTACATTATACATGTTTTCTAATCTTCTTCTTCTTCATGTACCATGTCCTTTCAGAACGTTAGTTACCATCATAGCTATTTTAATCTTATTCACTGCCACCCTAAATAGCATGCTTGTATCAACACCATACTAATCTCGCAAGTTCTTTAACCATGAGGTTCTTCTTCGTCCTGGACTGCGTTTGCATGCTATTTTTCCTTGCGTGATATTTTGTAGCAACCTATATTTGGGACCTCTCATTACATATCCGAAATACTCCAGCTTTCTCTGCTTGATGCTTTTTATGATCTCAGTAGTTCTGCCGAGATCTAGTATTGTGGAGTTTCGAATCTTCTCCACCCAGGAAACTTTTAAAATTCTTCTATAGCTCCACATTTCGAAAGCCTCAAGGCGATTTAGATCGATTTTATTCACATTCCAGGACTCGACGCCATAAAGTAAGACCGAGAACACGTAGCAGCCAAGTAGGCGGATCCTCAATGCCAATTTTAGGTCTGTGTTACATAACACCTTGGACATCCTTCTAAAAGAATCTCTAGCCTGCTCTATCCTAGATCTAATGTCGCCGTGACTTTCTGCGTTACAATTTAATTGCTGTCCAAGGTAAACGATTTTATCAACTTGCTTAAGTCGATGGGCCCCAAAAGTATACACAATTTGCTTAAGTCGACATCCAGATGGAATTTCATTTGTTGGCATGACATTTTGCTCCGCTTATCGAGTATATCTGCATAAAACAATACTAATCAATAAACTAATTTTTCAGGAACAAGTATATCTTCAGCCCAAGAGCAGTTGTCGGCTTACGAGCTGAAGCAACTTCATCAGCAGAATGCTAGGTTAAGAGAAACGGTGGTGAGGTTAAGAGATCTTTCTGCCCACGAAAAACACGAGTATCAAAAGCTATTGAAAGATATCGATCAGAAGAAATCTGAAATTACGGAATTGGGCAAAACTAAAGAAAAGTTAAGCACAAGGGTCGAAGAAATGGAGCAAATGATTAGTGATCTTCAAGAACAGGTTAGTTTTATCTGTATATACCGCATATATTTTGGGCCCTTTATGGTAATATCTAATAATAGAATAGTGATTTTTCTCATTTATGATTTTAAATAGGAAAATATAAAGAAAAGAAATAGTTTGTATTATTTTGGACAGTACCTTTTCACTTACGGTTCACAAGTTTTGAGACTTACAGAGATAAATACTTGAAATTTGTTGATTGATTAATTGCAGGATTGTACATTGTAAAATTATGTACTCAAGTTTTTGTTTATAATAAAGCGTTGAAGCGTACATTCTGGGACATAGTTGAACAGATTGAAGGTCCATAGTTACAAGTTGACAATTTTCGTTGACAGTTTCTACCTTGTCAGTTTGCTTCTCAAGCCTTGCTCGGTCTTTAGATACAATGTGCGATTCGTACTCTTTTTGATTTGTATTATCAGTTTTAAATTGGCTGCATAAATCTCACTGATCTTTTCGAGGCTAGAAGATCGCTAAATTTTTTCTCTCAAATATCTTATCAAAAATAAATTAAAATCTTCGATGTAGTGTTTTTAGTACCTGCCCTTGCATAATGTGAAGGTAGTTTTGGCAGCTTGTCAAACCAGTTTTTAAGAAACTTTCTTTTCTCATATAACTTAGGTCCTCTTATACTTCTGTCCACTATTTCCACCGTCTATTTCCACTATGTCTATTTATTTCCACCGAAGATCGTATCATTTCATTCTCTTCAGTATTACACCAGCTTCTTACTTTCCACTCTCCAACACAAATGGTATTTAGGAATATCTTTTGACAGACTGAGTGGTTGACCGTCAATTCTGAAATAATATTTAAAGCTATTCGATTTTTGCGTCTCTTTATTGTATCTACATTATTCACAACAAAAAATGTTTTCTAATCCCATGTTAAATCTTTCCAAAAATTTTGAAATATTGGGTTTCTTTTTTCGTCCGTAATCTTATTGCAAAAATAAACTTTTGTTTTTTCACAATGTTTACCATTGCACCTTTCTTTAATTTTCCTTTCTTTCCTGATTTTGTTGTTTTTCCATTTTTTATTTCGTCTAGTGAATCCAATGTATTCTTCTCCTTTCATTCGCTTAATTTTATTTGCGTTTCTTCTCCATTTATTTTTGTCCGAATCTATTTTCTTTGTTCTGTTTTTTGATGGTCCTTTAGGTATAACTTCCGAATCTGAGTCCTCATTACAACTGATATTACTATTGCTCAAACATAATCTGGATCGTTGTTTTGAAGGTTTTTTTCTTCAATATTGCATTTAAAACTCAAACTTATAGCTGAATCATGTCTTGTACTGATTGTTTTGTCGGGTTGATTGACTAACACTTCATTTTCTTTATTATTTTCCATCTGATCTGAAAAGTTGAGATCGATAATGCCGCTCTGATTACAGTTGATGTTAACAGGGGAGTTATTTGGCATTGTACCCATTGAATGGTTTCCTAGTATAAATCCATCTTCAAATTTCAGAGCACGTCATTTAATGAATAACTAGGAGGATAAATATGTAATTCTGACTTTGGTAGATATCTGACTTCTGGTTCTGGTACATCTCTAACTTCTGGTTCTGGTATGTTCTGACTAGAAGGAGATTGCTCAATTTGTTGAAGAAGAACCAATATTTTCTTGGCTCGTTTTATTCTAAAAAATATTCTGTTTTGTAATTCCAAAGTTTATGAGCCCCAAAATATTTTTTTATAGCATTACAATATTAGATTTATTAAATAAAACGCTGTAAGAAATGAAGATTTTGAAATGAATAGAAAAAAAATGAAAGAGTGTTAAGTGGTTATTAAAATTATTCGTCTTAGTTTAGGTGACATAATTGTTTTAACAAATTGCTAAATAGTTAATAATAATCATTATTTTATCCAATATTGAAAAAGACAATACCACGTATGTGCACATATAATTGACATTCCTATATTCTGAGTACTGTGTAATACTCCGTACGTACACAAGAAAATATTACATAACATAATTAATTAAAATCTAATACAGTGGTCGCCAACCTGTCGATCGCGAGCTACCGGTAGCTCGCGGAGGCAATTCTGGTAGCTCTCACAACGATTTTAACTTACAAAAATACAAACTGAAAAAATCAGAGAAGCTTCCGAAAATTTCACAAAAAAATCGAATTGTCATAATATTAAACATAAACAGCGGCAACGTTGCGGAGAGCGATCTGCCTCTGACGCCGTCTAGCTAAAATCGGCAATTTTTGTAGAACAGACCAGCTGGACCAGCGCGTTTGTGTTCGAGAACGATCTGGATTGCTTTGAACGGGATAAATACGTACGGCGCGGCGACATTGCGCTTAGTTTAAAACTGAACGCGTAACCAACGTCCAGCGGTTGGGTTAGTAGAGAACAACAAAAATAATATTATGGCAAGCAGTTGCAAGAAGGTAAAGACATACCACTTTCATTCGGAATGGGAAGAACAATACTTTTTTACAGAAGTTAAAGATAAAAATGTGTGTTTGTTATGTAATACTTCGGTCTCCGTTGCTAAAAAAGGAAATATTGAGAGACATCATAAAACTGTACATTTTAATTTTGAAAAATCATTCTCACTACATTCTGCCGCCAGAAAGGAGAAACTGAAACAGTTAATTGGACAGCAATCAATATTTTTAAGAACAGTCGACAAAAATAAGGCTGCAACTGAAGCATCTTACCGTGTGTCCCAGATAATTGCACAAAAAAAGAAACCTTATGAAGACGGGGAAATGATAAAACTGTCGTTTTTCGAAGCTGCTGATTCGTTATTTGTCAAATTTAGAAATAAAGACGAGGTAGTTTCAGCTATAAAATCAGTTTCAGCTTATGAAACTGGTGGTAAAAATTATGGACAAGATTAGAGCTCAAGCGTTACAAAGAAGATTATTCAGAACCTTGGCCGATGAAGTTGACTGTCAATATGGGGACCTACTCCTTCACTCTGAAATCCGATGGTTAAGTAGAGGACGGGTGCTGAAACGTTTTAATAATGTCCTATCTGGCATAGTTCAATTTTTCAAACAACGCGATGAACCGACTCCGGAACTAGAATATTCAATCTGGCTTAGAGATTTTTCACTCTTTATGGAAATTGATATCCAGCAGTTTGCAGCTTGTGTTATGCAGAACTTTGGTGAAGACATCGCTGCAATAGAAATGGAAGTCATTGAGTTTCAAAATGATTTAGCCTTAAAATCGTTAGTCTCAAGTACTGAATGTATCTGGCCTATTTTAAGTAGACAAATATTCAGTTCTATGCCGTGTTGCCTTGAAAGTGAAAGCATTATTCGGTTCAACCTATTTGTGTGAATCTTCTTTTTCCAATATGAAGTTTATTAAGAACAAATATCGCAATCGACTTACAGATGAACATTTGCTGCATCGAATGCTTGTATTCGAATTGCTGCATCAAATTATACTGCAAACATTAAAAAAATTATCGATGAGTCTGAGTGTCAGCCTTCTCATTGAACGTGCTTTTTTATTTTTCAATGTTTATGTTTATGATAGTTCGTTACTTTTTTGTTGTTATTATTAACTATTTTTAAATCATACGTGACATGCCGTTGTGGCTGGATAAAAGCTTGTGTTTATTTTTCAAATACCTTCGTTTGATAGGTAGGAATGTAGCTATGAACAAGTACGTACTAGTAATATTAGTTATTTTGTTATTAGTTTATTATTGGTACCTATGTATTATGTATTACCAGTTAAACAGTAAAATAAATACACATAATGATAGATTAACTGTGGATTATTTCATTTACGTTGCTTTACGTGGCTTCCGTGTGGGTAGCTTGCTGCTTATTCCAAAATTAACAAAGTAGCTCAACACATTATAGAGGTTGGCGACCACTGATCTAATATAAAACAACAGCATATAAACTTGAAGCTACTTGATCAAAGTACTAAAGAGATTTTAGCCAAAAAATACAACGTACCTTAGAAACATAAGCAAAAACGTGCAACACAAACTTTGACGTTATAACGGCCATTAACTACCATAGCAAACTAAACACTCACGCTCACGAAGTATTGCACTCAAAATATTTAGGCGAGGTATTGGCACGTGGTCAAAAGCGCGATATTCATTGCTTTGCACGTCTGCAATTTTGGTGATTGGTAGAAATGGTTTATATAAGTATTGCGGCGCCAAAACCTGATTTTTGAATTTTTGGTACTTACAAGGTATTGCCTCTAGGCCATCGATGTAATAATCTTCAGAATATTTGGCATATACTGAATTTCATACTAAATTTAATGAAAATTTAAAACAAAGTTGACTAGATCCACTAAGCTTTTAAAAATGATCAAAAATGTATGGCAATTTACTTTGACATAACTAAAGCATTTGATACGGTATGGAAACACCGCATATTGAATATTCTAAAAAAAACTTCGACATATGATTTGGGCTATATAAACAATTTTTTAAGAACATTTGAGCTTAAGAACATTTGAGCTTAAGAACATTAAGAACCTGGTAATGTTCGATTGAAAAATATTTTGAAGATAATTGGCATCGCCGCGCTAAAAACTCCCATAAGAATTGCATTGCCGTATGATCGTGTATTGTAAAGTCAAGGAGGGACAGGCATGTGAATTAATTAAAAACTTCCGTATTGAATATTATCTATTTACCGATGAAAGTAGATGCAGTTGCCTAGGTGGTGCTGAATTAAAAAAACATACGTCTGCGTTTAAAATTTTAACTTGCCTGTATCTGAAAGAGATCTGATACCGAGTGTACCTTGCGTATGATTACACCGGACAAAATCCGCGAAATGAACTATAGTAAATATTTTTCTGTATGTATTGCCACTCGTATCTATATATTTAATATAATAGTACAAGTTTTTATTGTTTTTTTGTTTAGGTTGATGCAGCTTTAGGTGCGGAAGAAATGGTTGTGATATTGAGTGACCAGAAATTAACATTGGAAGAAAAAGTAGCAAAGCTGCAGGAAGAGGTTTCAGATTTGGAAGTATTGCAAGATATGAACGATCAGTTGGTTGACAGTAACGCAGAGCTGGAAGCTGATTTAAGGGAGGAACTCGATATGGCGCAGGCAGCTACTAGAGAAGTAAGCTTATTATTACCCGTTTGTATTTATTTACGGTATTTTTTAGCGTTTTTGATTTGTTAACTATCACTACAAAAATTAATAACTACTATATTCAATGAGAATAATCCACAATTTTAATTAAAAGTACTTATAAAAATTCTTGTAAATGTAACTTTTTTAGTTAAAATTGTTTTATTCCTATCAAATATAGCAGTTAATATAAATGAGACAAGAAAATGTCTGAGAACTACAAAAATTACTTTCAGAATATCATCTTCCTCACACTTACAGAAATTTTACATTTTTCTGCATAGATTCTGCATCTCTTTCAATTAAATAAATCTAGTATTCTCTAACAGGTACATCTATAACAAAAAGTGAGATTACATGAGCAATACAAATGGCAAAAAATGGAAAAGAACTTGTTCCCGATGAAGTGAGAGCTGAAATACTAAAGGTTTTAGGAGAAAATGGGATTAAAGCGTCGCTTGGTGGTCTCTTTAACAGAATTTATTACACTGGGATATTACCTACTGATCGGCTAAAGTCGACATTTGTCACAACATCAAAGAAACATCGTGGAAATATATGCAGTAATTATCGGAATATAATTCTGATAAGTCACGTTTTAAATACTTAGCAGGATATACACGATATTAGAGGAGAGAATTAGCAATACTCAGTTCGTGGCTAGAAGTGGGTACGAGAGAAGCCTTGTTTAGTATCCAAGTACTCATACTGAAGTATGTTCAATTTATCTCACAATTATTTCGTTCCAAAAAATTTTTTTCGCTACGCCCATGGCTAACAAATCAGCGGGACGTGCGATATGCCCCCGTTGCTAATTACCGTATATTGGCATCGTTTTGTGTCCATAAGATTCTTCTCAGAAAAACTTATTTTCTTGCGTGCGTTGGTTACTCGCAAACCCTTATCTTCCAAGAACCTATAAAATGAATTCTCTACTCCTTTTCAAACTATGAAACACACATTTACTAAAGCTATTCATATTGCCACCGCTGTATTTTCTCTAGCAGATCTTTATAAAAAAGAAAGTCTCTTTGATTTAAAACGGTTCTCTGTCCTAATTCATAATTAGGGGTATAATCTTACATGAGCATCTGAATTCCCCTTCTTTAGATAACAATTTAAGCCCTAATGAATCTATGTAGTATAGGTCGACTACTTTAGATCATTGATACAGTTGGAATGTATCAATGATACTGTTGGAATTATATCCCTTTCTGCCAAAACATCTTGAATTTTCTTGGTAGCAATCTTTTAAACTTTTCATCATCGATAGAGAAGGCAATCTATTCTATTTTTTGCTTTTCCTCATTGTATTGTTATAACAGTACGCAGATCTTTCTATAATCTCCTATGCTTTTCGTCTATATAAAAATAGATGATGGAATTTCTGACCATTTTGTTTCCCGTTTTGATTTTCTGTTTCATAGCTGCCTCGAAAATTGCCTGGCTTTTACTGTTTTAAGTTCTATTCTCGGTGGACTTCCTACTGTCGTTTTGACCTCTTCTGTTGCTGATATTGGCCTTTTTCTCATCTTATTTATTTGGAGCTCTCTGTGGATTTTCTTGGGTTTCTTTGATATTCTTATTTTTCTTCCTTTTCAATACTACTTTAAATTCAGATTCATATTTTTCTTCTTCATTCTCTACAGTGTCTATTTCAGCTTCTGCCTCAGTTACTTCCTTACTGTTTTCTTTATCTGAGACATCTTCTTGTTCTTTCCTGTAAGTGGTACTTTCTTTTGTATTAGTTTTTTTTATTTTCTCTGCTTATTATTGCAATTTTTTCTGTTTGGTCATCAATTGTTGCTTGTAATTTGTTCATTTGCTTTTTCCTAGCTGTCATGTTTTAATCCATGAGGGCGATCGACTTCTCCATTTTGATTTTTTCTACAATGGTACCTACCATGTTGCCTACCCTGTAAAAATACCTGGTACCCTGGTACCGACCGGGGTACCAGGTATTTTTACAGGGTTTTTCTATCTCTGGTTTTTTCTTTTTTACTTCACTGTGTGAATCGTTGATTTGTTTCTTGCTTTCGGTCTTATTTCTTTTTCTCTTCTCCTGATCTTACTCGCTACCTTTTCTCTACGAGACTCTCAAAGGCGGCTTTGTTTAAGTTAGGAATTAGTTAAACTTAATTTCATTGTCATTACTGCTCCTTTTTTCTGCTCGTCAGCTTAATTTTTTGGCATTTTCTTCTTAGGGTGCCTGTCCGTTCCGAACGTTGGCGATCATTCTGGCTATGATGATTTTGTTGGTTGCTATACGAAATAGCTATGTTGAGGTCTTTCTATACCATGCTCTCAGGTTAGCAAGCCGGGATATTCTTCTTCGTCCTGGGGGTCTTTTTCCTTCAATTTTACCCTGCAAAATGCATTGGAGTAGCTCGTATCTACCTTGATTTCTCATAATATGTCCCAAGTACTCCAGCTTACGGCTCTTCACAATGTTGACCAAATCCGCGGTTGTGTTTTGGCATTTTACAGCTCTAAAATTCATTAAAAACTGTTGTTTAGTAGTCAGAATTCTCAAATTTTTGCAGTCCTGGGATCCCACGGTGCTTATTCGGATGAATCAACAATATAGTAAAACCGAACTTCCATCCAAACACCAAAGTCCACACTCCATGATTTTTGCACTCAACCCCTCTCTAAGACAGTCAAAACCCGAGTGACGACTAAAAAAATGTTTGTCACATTTTTTATTTTGCTTAATTTTGATTTTTGTACTTTTTGAATAATTGAAATAGTAAACATAAAGATTTATTTTAATTTGTCTACAGTTGCAACTTAAAACACTCCGTCATTGATAAAACAATCTCCGTGTTTATTTATTTTGTATGTCTGATAACTTATACGTCAAGAACATAGTAATAAACTATACCATATTTTTTCTAATCTAATTGTACACAATTGTTATAAACAATTTTTTATTTTAGGCTTTACGTGATAGAGATGCAGCTTTAGAAACCATAGCTGACAGAGAACAGACAATAAGCAAATTCCGGCAATTAGTTCATCAGCTTCAAGAACAATCGTTGGATCTCCAGCATCGTTTAGAGAATGAAACTAGTAAACCCGTTTCGGCCCTTCCAGAAATAATTGACTTCAAGAAGATGTTCACAGAAACAAAAGCGCACATTAAAGCTATAGATTTGGAGTTAAGAAGAATTGATGTCACCCAATTGCAGCAGCATATTAAGTTTTTGAGTTCGTATATGCCGGATTCTTTCATGACAAGAGGAGGTAAATTTATTACTCTAAAATATTCATAATTGAAGTTGGTGTTAGCATTCCGCTTTGGTTGGCATAATTTGTAAATTTATTTAATTCTCTGCAAGTTTTTTGTATGTCTTTCCTCTTCATCTTCTACGGTTTAAAAACAAAACACTGTATTTTATTTTATTTATGTAAACTTATGTATGTTTAGAGCTAATGTTGCAAGCATGGCAAGCAAATTTATCTGCTTATTTCTTTCAATGTCCAGATGTTAAATAGTAAAATAAAACCAGACTATGTTGGTTCTACACCAAGTTCCGTCCAAATCCATTAGGCTGCTTGGCTATCATAGAAGGATATAGAATCTTGCTGCACTGTCACTTCCTAACATTTTGTTTTGACACTTGTTGCTATCGCTATATCGACATATAATAGTTAGTAATCCTTGGGCTTTAGAAAAAGTAGATTAAGATCCCTTCGTTATAATGTTAGTAACCCTTTGGTCTATCATTGACCATCTACATACCAAAACAATGAGCTTATTGTATAAATTTGATTGTTGAATTTAAACTTCTCAGGGATTTGATCCGAACTTCTCATGAACATCCACATCTCAGATTGCTTCTGGATCTTTATATACCCCAAAAGCCAGAATGTGGTTCGGTAACATTATGTCGTAGTTTCTCTCTTGGTTATTAAATCTTAGTTGAATCATTAATAATAAATAGTTCCATATCTACTGGTAAAATAATAGAAGATAATCCTGTAATGCACATACGTGTCATTAATTGTATCTTTGGAGTACTTTTTCTCCATTTGGTCTTGCACTTACCAACAAAACGAAACAGATACTAAGAGTTGCCGAAATGAAAACCCTAAGAACAATAGTGAGCAAAACAAGAAGAGACAGGGTGAGAAATACAAACGTTAGAGAGCAGTGCAAAATTCAAGATATTGTAAGATGGGGAAGACAACGTAAGAGGATGTGGTACAATCAAGTAAGACGAATGGATGAGAATAGACTCCGAAAAATTGCCCTAGAAAACAAACCGCCCGGTTCAAGCCCTGTCGGAAGGCCATCTAAAAGATGGAGGGATAATTGGTAATCTACCTCCCGCGAAATTAACCAGAGGCAACTTCAGAATTAAACAGATCGAAAGATCTCCCAGAAGTAGAAGAAGAAGAAAAAGAAGGGGTCTTGCACTGTTCTAAAACAACTGATAGGTAATACAGTATATTTAGTGACAAAATTGACATTTTATAGCATTTGTTTACTATTTTAAAATGTTGAAACATGCGTTTAAAATTACCTTTCAAAGAATATGTATCTGCTCACGAACACTTCATCGATTTGCTGTAGAATATCCTCAACTTCCCCTAAATATATTTTAGAGTAACTTATAGCGTGAAAATTCCCAATGGGTAGTTAAAAATAACTTAAAATTAATAATATTGATAAAATTATGAAATATCCAAAAGGATTATCATAATATTATTAAATATCAGACCATCATCACTGATACCCGAAAGTAAGAAATCCTACTTGTACGAGTGAAAACGGATAAAATTTACACATTAAAACGTTTAAAAATCTTTGATTTACATTTAAAATGTTAAATATATTTAAAATTCAGCGACGTAATGGTGTTACAAAGATACCAGCCAATTCAGTTGGAGGACCGATCAGACTATGATCGATCATCAGTAAAGCGATGAAGATGTCAAAAAATAGTTATTTTCGTACATCAATCCGATTAATATTTTAGAATGTTTTATGATTCGAAGTTTGTTTGAATAAACTTTTAATTTTAGATAAACCAATATAGAAAAATAATATGGGGCCAAAGTCTGTTTTCAAATCATCTTTGAGAAGAAAGTGTGCTTACTGCATTTAGTGACTCCCTTTGAATATGGGCAGTGACTCAATCTTGCAGAAACCATGTGCTTATATCAAATCTGGAATTTCTTTCCACAACAGAGCCCAAAAAACGTTCAATCATTCTCCTATATCGTTTAGAATTTAGCATTATTGCATGGCCATCTTGATTTTAAGAGATAATGACGTGGCGCATAAAAAAGTTACTTTTGGGCTGTTTAAGTCTCTTTAATTCCACTCTTTTGGATTTGTGTATGCCCAATATCTACAGTTTTCTTGTTGGCATAGCCTTCTAAGTGTAAAATTGGCATTATCGCTAAAAATAACAATAAATCTGCGTAGCTTTTTCACATAAACATCAAACCTTGCACTAATTTTATTTTATAAGGATGAGAATGCATTATTTTTTTCTAAACGATTACGTTCACAGTTGATTTGGGTATTTCCAAAACGGTCAAGTGCTTCCATACATACTTACACCATAGATTTTCAAAGACCTATTCGCAGACCCATTGCACATTGTTTTCGATTTAAAAAGTAGGCGTAGAGCACCGAATCGACTGACGGCAGAACCTGTTGTACGGTACTTTAATTGTCACTTTTTAATTTAATTTACACTTCAAGAATCTTTTAGTCGCCGAATATTAGGCAAGAGCACCTTGCTACATGATGTATCCTTCGATCGAGATCTCTAAGACTGATCGCATAAGTCTTTCCTGTTCTTATTAAATTTGAAATAGAACTTTTTCAGTAGATGTAGTTCAAATTTTTTAATCAATATAAATACGTATCTAGAATTGTTCTAATATACCGTCTTGCTGTTTATTTTAGGTGACCATGATGCAGTACTTGTGATATTATTAATTCCGAGAATGATCCAAAAGTTGGAAATCGTTCTGGGACAAGTAAAAGATAAATTTGGTGCTATTGAAAAGAAGGTTGATATGAATGCAGTTATGAAAGGCCATTCTATCAATCAGTATACTTTTAAATGTAGAATAAGCTTTTATGTTTATGCAATTCAGGTATGTACTCAATATTTTTAAGGGATTATTATGGGCTTTAAGTGATTTATTTGTTGTTTCCGTTCTTTATTGAATTTGTGGTTTCAAAATTTCGTTATTTGGATTATTTTTTGTTAATATTTGAACGGGAATTAAACTTACGGTTCGTTTTATTGCAAATTTTATTTATTTCTGCAATTGCCTTATTTATTTCTATAATTCAGACTAACGTCTACACCAAAAATATGTATTTTTATAACTATGTATAAAATTCGGGATAATACAAGTAAACAATGGAAATATTTCTTTGAAATGGAAACCTTCGAAAAAGGTGACCTCGCCTGATCCACTAAAGTTCTGGTAAAACATCGAATCCTCTAGACCGTCAGTGATTCATCTAAGAAACCTAGGAAAGGTAGATGTGTTCTTGATTTAAAGACATCTTCCTTTAGCCATGTTTTGTAGTTTTTCAAAGTCAAAGCAAGCGGGATATATAATTTACCTTCATGAAAGGGTTAAGTAGGAGAAAAGCTTTGTTTTTAATCAAACCGATAATTCAAAAGTCTTATGACCAACGCCAAGATGTTTTTATATGCTTCGTAGATTATCATAAAACTTTTGACAACACGATATCCTACTAAATAGACAATTCCAGGTATGGATAGATTCCAAATATGTGAGAATCATACAAGGACTGTATTGTAATCAAATGGCGGAAATAATAATTAGGAGAGATATATCCACAGATAGCTTCAGTGTTTGTAAAGGAATAATATCAAGGCTGCATACTGTCACCAGTACTTTTTAATATATACGTGGAATATGTATTCCAAGTGGCTATAAAGGGAGAAACTATAGGAATTAAAATTAAAGGAATTCTAATATACAATATATAGATGATACGGCAATTCTGACACCATTTTTAGAGGATCTTTAGCTCATATTAAACAGGATTGGCGAGATATGCAAATGTTTGGCCATAGGTACTAATATCAAATTAATAGTACGAGGTCTATAATAAGTCTACAGCCCATAATCAATATAATATGAACAATCGACGAAAATATTATAGAGCGGGTACCACGATTTAAAGATGTGGGCGCCACGATCAAAGAAAAATAGGACTAGTTGAACTTGTATTTCTATAACTATATATTAACTCAAAATCTCCAACTGAACCCCATTGAAGCATTTGAAATGTATACTCTTTGACGACTCTTGTTTCCGTGGATTGCACATGACACGAATGAGGAATTTTAAGAACTGCAGACTGCAAAGGAGAAGTGCCAAACATCTTTAAGTAAAGAAAATGTTCTGGTTCCACATCCTTAGACGGAGCAAATACTACATTCTCTCAAATAATTTTGCAAAGGTACAGGGGCGCCAAGGCCCTGGAAGAAAACAATGTTCCTGGTTAAGAAACATAAAGGAATGTGGTAAGATCAAAAACATTGCCACCATATTTTGAAGAGCCGAAAACAGGTTTGAAGTGTACAGATAATCGCTAATGTATGGCTGAGCACAATGTACAAGAAGAATCGATGTTGAACAGCATAGGTGGATTGTAATGAATCTTTGTTAAGTAAAGCCAACACAATAGTGGAATGTCTTACATACACAACTTGGTACCTACATTAATGGAAAGCTGTGAAATGCAGATAGTCAAGGTATAGGAAAATCACAATAGACATACAATCTAATAGATCTCAGGAAAAGGTTACATACGACTGAATGCTAGACATAAAAAGTAAGTGAATCGGTCTTATGACTAGAAAGGAAGAACACCGACTAGTTGAAATAGCATTTGATAAATCACCAAATGGCCAATGAAGTGTAGAAAGGCCAAAAAACATGGACTTATGACTTGAACATCCAATAAGAAGATATTAGAAGGTGAATGATGGAAAAAGAGCAAAACTTTTATCCCACTACCTGGTCTGGCATACATAGATTGATACAGGTGTAATTAGTGTTTTAGTTTTTCTGTCTAGTAATTTACATATCGCGAATCTTTTATTTTGGTTAGGTTTTGGTTTGAATTTGGAATGAAGACCCCAAATACAAGCTAATAGAAACAGAGGTCGACTCCCGACGAGATGGACCAATGACATAAAAAGAGTGACTTTCTAGCCACATGTTTATTATTTGCCAATGACGCAGTGTCACTATTTCCGGAAGTATAACTAAATTCCCGGAACTTACTTGCAACACCTATACTTAGCGTATTAAAATGATCAATATCTAAGAATATTATTAAAATTAGTTAGTGAAATTGTTTTTATTTTAGTATTATATGTTCGCATATAGTCTTTCTAATAAGGCTTCCTAACAAATATTTTTCCGTTCTAGATAATTCTCCATCAGTATTACTACGTACTTAATACCTGCAAACCAGAAATTTTATTAAAAGTCGGTGCCACATATCCCGAAATGGCTGGCCAAGAAAAGATCATCGACGACTTCATAGAACTATTAAAGAGAGACCAATTAGACGAGAATATTTCCATGGAAACTTTAGAAAAATGCGTGAATTACTTCAATACTCTCTTTCCAGTTTTGTTCGGTCCAGACGCGAAATTGAATCACATGCAGTTGTTAACCGATAACGCTAAATGCCTGACAACACTTACGGATAGTTTTATCGTGGATTCGGCAGTTATCAAATGTTTGATGGAGGTGAGTAATACTTATTTTTTCTATTCTAAAAAAATACAACGATTAGTAAAAATAATTAATAACTAATAAGTGCACTGTCAGTAGGTTGCTACAGATGCACAAGAGAGTGAAAAATGTACAAATATAGTCTTTTGTCCAAATTTAGAACTAATAACTAAGTCCAAACGGATACATCTAATACCCTTTTAGATTATTTTGTATGAAATTTTACTGGAATTCCATCTTTTTATTATTGAAAATTAAAATAAGACGTATGGAATTATACAAGATAGAAGAAGATAAATAAGATCATTTTACTCATAATATGTAAGAACGGTTAACTTTAAACAGCTTTCAACTTTAACATAAATATCGTAAAGTATTATGAGATGTAAGGAATTGAAAGCTACCTTGGTTTATGGACCTTGCAGTCCTCTACAAACCTACACCATTGTTTTTTCTTTTAAGTACAAGGCACAAAATTAAAAAAAAAATAAAACATGCTGTTTTCGTTCTCCGTATTGAGTGGGGTGAATAGAAACAGACAGGCAGAACCTGTGGGGCTTATAGAAACAGTCATGGGGTGAAAAGAAACAACACTTGTTTTGATAAAAAAAATTATATAATGTAAATATCAAATTATAAATGACCAAATATCAAATTACAAATGACAAAATGAATCATTGCTACTCAAGTTAATTTAATTAATAGATGGTAAAGTTACTGAAATCATCAAGAAAACTACTGCTTGTTTTCATACGAGAGGAGGAAGACTTAAATGCTTCAACTGGCGGCATGAGTTTCTTCATTACATCGTCCTTCAGGAAAAAATACTCTTCTTCAGTTGGTAAAAATGTGTTGTTAGAAATTGATTTCTTGTAAAAAATTCCAACATAACCATTTTTTTTCAAGGCTATCAAGGCTTGTCTTATGTTTTTTTTTACTTTTCCATATTTGTTTTTTGATCTGCTTGTTATTTTATTTGTAGACGTACTAGAACTCCCATTCTCATTGTTGGTTTTAGCATTACCGGTAGGTTCGACCTGAACTGGATCTTCTGGAATTAGAAAATCTGCCACAGAAACACCTTTTCCAGGCTCAAGACAAACTTTCACACGTTTTTTTTTTGAGGTGCAGTTGCTTCTGGTTGTCTGGGAGCTTTCAGCTGCTTGAGCTGCCTCAGCTGTTGAGTCATCTGAAGGTGGTAAAATCTTTAGTACTTGATTGCGACAAAGAGGCACAATACCACATTTTCTAAAACCTTCAATTATGTTCTATTATTCACATGCTTCACATAGTTTTTTCTTTTTTTCCAATCAGCAACAATTGCCCGCCATGCAATTTTCATTGGCCGAAAGAATTCTACATCTAACGGCTGTGTTAGATGCGACGAGTTTGCTGGTAGAAATATGAAATGAACACTATTCTCTGAACAAGTTTGGATATCAAGTGAGAGGTGGCTAGCTAAGTTGTCTCCGATCAAGTATTTTTTACCGTCATATCGTCTAAAAAATGGAAGTATGGTGATTTCGATATAATCTGAGAAACAGAAGTTCCCAAACCAACCACTTTTGCTCCTATTATACCTAGACGCCTCAGGACCGCCCTCTGTCCAACTTTCTTACAAATTTACGGTTTTATACAAATAGGGGTATACACTACAAAATTTGAATATCAGCAGTAGCAGAAAACATCACTGAGATATAGCTTTTAGTAGAATTCATCACCCTTTTAGGATATTTACATCCTTGTCTAGCTATTATTTTAATTCTTCCCGGATCATCAGATAAGTTAGTTTCGTCATAATTGATTATATTCGATGGAGGAATGTTAACCATTTCTCCTCCAAGTCTGTTAAAGTATTCATTAATTGTTTCCTGAGAGATGGCTGCTCTGGTTCGTTTTATCTTTTGGTGTAATCGGAATGACAAGCTAGCCTGGTGCCTTTTCAAGAAAGAATAGGCAACCTCCTGACCAGGTAAATTGTTTTATGGTCTTGCCTTGGCGCTCAAACAAATCTTTAATTAAAAGTCTCAGGGTAAATGACGCAATGGGATAGTCCCAATCACTGCAAATAATTAGGCGACTCACCAAAGTGAGTGACTTTTTTAGCTGATCAAGCTTTCTAAAAAGTCTATAAAGAACACTATAGTCGATGCAATATTTACTCTCTGCTTTCCTGAGGCTGAGACCATAGGCTATCTCTGCTATGGCTTTCTGAAGAACCTTTGGATCTTGTATTTTCTTCGGTTTCACAGATTTTCACACGGTTTCAATTCCTTGGCATGCTGAAAGTAAACAAGTATATTAGATATTTTGTCAAGTATAATAGGTATCCTAAACTATTATCATGTTTCATTCCTATTCACCACTAATAAAACAAAAAATACGGGTTTTTTAATTTGTGGGTTGAATATAAACAGCTGTCTACTGTGTTTCTATTCACCCCACACATCCTAAATATGTGACATAACCTCAAATAACGTTCTGAAAATATAAAAGTGTGTTATTTATACGTTCTTAAAGTTATCCTTTTTATAGGTATATAACAAGAAAGAAATAGTAGAAATTAATAATTTTGTAAATAAAACATTGCATTTACTTCTGTAATAAATTGGTTTTAATTCTTGTATATTTATTAGAGCTCAAAAGGTGATATGGAACTTCTCTGTCAACATGTAGTCACCTCATCAGAAACGCTGCTGCAACAATTAAAATTAATAAAGAGGCGATTGCCTATGGATACTAATATTTCCAATTTGGGACTGAACAAAGAAGTTCATGAAAACCTATTCCAGTGCTACCAACATGCTTTAAAAGTATCTAAAACGCTGAATGATGTAGTAAGGACTACCATCCAGACTCTCGTAGCTAGTGGAGGTAAGTTTAAATTTTTTTTTTTTGGTTTCATAACATTTGCCAATTATATAAATGGTTTCAGAAAAAAAAATAATAAAGTAGAAACCCAAAATCGTGACTCTTGGCAAGTTAATAACTCCAATATTTGTACTTTTTCATTCTTCTTAATCAGTCAATTTTTCTATTCTTTTTAGATTATATTGCAAAACCGGTTTTAAATATGACGGTTTGGATGCGTTATATGTGAATATAACGCTTATAGTCCTTATAGAACACCAACGCTTAACAAAAAAGTGTTCTTAGATTCAGACGGTATAAGGTTCAGACGTACTATAAACCAATATGTTTTATAACCCGGTCGATAGAGGCGCTGATAATAATTGTTGCGCAATTCATATACAAACTTGTTCTACTTATCTCTCGTCCCTGCTCATTTGATAATAGTTATTTTTCGGATCAAACGATGTGTAATTTTTTATTTACTTTTTAATAGTATCGTAAATTTGATATATAAATAAATATAAATTTTATACATTTATAAAATAAATAAATAAAAACTTCTCTTAAATAATGTGTTAAATTTGATTCGGCTGATATAAGTTTATGTAAAACTGTAATTGGAATTGAATTATTCTCTAAATATATTATGTTTTTAACTTACAAAACACAGACAAATTATGTCGATTCGAAAATATTTCGAAGAGTTTCGAAAATTTTTAAATACGTGCATGCCAAAACAACCCCTATTCTTAATCAAATCGTACATACCATGGGATATTGATTATTGGTTATTTGATGGTTATGGTAGATTGAGACAGGGCTCAAATGTGGGCCCTTCAGACACGTAAACCTCCTAAGACGGGTCCATACGGGACTAAGCCCATAAAAACCTAGTCTTCGGCGTTTCTGAGACCCAAGCTTATCCGGACTCCCATGTCTTCTATAATCAGCAGGAGCTCCAAATTCGAACTCTTCCTGTCGTTCCGAACGTCTAATTCTTTAGTAACCTCGTGACTTCACAGAATGCCACAAATCTCTTTAAGAGTAACTCCCTCATTTGGCTCGGTTGAATAAAGGCCGAATATAGGATCTGCCACCTATGATAAGCCAGTGCTGGGCACTTTCAGAGGACATGTGAGGAGGTTTCCTCCTCCACATTACAAAGACGGCACCGAGGGCCATCTGCCAATGCAAGCAGATGAAAGTGCCGTCTGAATCTACAGTAGCTGATAAGCATACTGACCACCAGAGAGCACCTTATACGGTCTAGAAGGCAAACAAACACCATCACAATACTTTGAGGTTATAAATTTCGAACGCTACATTACTGCGGATACATTATGCGCAATGAGTCCTGACAGCCCTCCTAAAGGTCATTCTACAGGGAAAAATATTTGGAAGGCTTGGTTAGAGAATCTCAGAACCTAGTTTAACACAACATATGTGTAGCTTTAACTCATTACTGCTGACCAGAAAAAGCTTGCCATGATGATCGCCAACATTCTTCAGGATAGGCACGTCAAGAAGAAGAAATTAAAAATGAAACTGGAACAAAACCATGAAGTGGAGATATCCAGGAGTGGCTAGTATACCTGTTGAATACAAAGCACGTGGTGTTCGTGTGTATCAAGGCATAAAAAATGCTTATTAAAAGCTTAAAACTTTATTTTAAAGAAGATCCTTTCGGAATTAAATCATTCCTAAGTGCGTCTTCACTAAAAACAGCCTATCCATAAACGGAAGCCCAATGACTTTTGCTCCTACCACATCATTCCACTTGACATTGGCGGGTACTGACTGATTTTTCTTACCATCTTTCTATCAGTTAGCCCTAGACTCCAGCACAGATCAGAGGTAATGTAAGTGGACAAAATTACACCAGCTCCTGGGAGACATGTTAAATGTCCCCAGTTGTAGTTTTTATTAATTACCGAAGTTAATGGTCTATTGCATTTACCTTTGTAAATTTCACGAGGATTTTTTATTACTGATGTCCTTCTAGTATTTTGCTGTGGCCAAACAATGTTTTTAACAAATTTTTATGTAAGTAGTAAATAACCAACGTGTTCTTTTTATACATTTAAATTTCGACTTACGTGTTTTTTAATATTGGTTTTTTACTCTCTCTTTTAGTACACTGATAATGGAATGATTTAATTCCGAAAAGATCTTTAAAATAAAGTTTTAAGCTTTAATAAGCATTTTTTTATACCTTGATACACACGAACACCACGTGCTTTGTCAAGAAGAAGACTTTGAGGTTACCACCTTATCACCCGGATCTTAATCCAATTGAGCTTGTTTGGACTTCGCTTAAATTTGTTGCTAAATAGTAAAAATACCACTTTTTTATTATCAAATGTTGGAATTTAGTGCAATCGCTGGCAATATGCTCTCATATTTAAAAAAGAACCTCTTGAAACCAACGATTGATGCAGCAATAGATTATATTATTATCAATCTTGAAAATGACGACTTGGACGTTAATTTGATTGATAGTTCTGAAAGAGAAATAAATGAAATCGATGTTAATGATATATAGAAATCGATTGGAAAGAAGTATTTTTATTAAGATAGATAATAAGATATAGATAAATTTATTACCAAATTTTCCACATTTTAGAGAGGCGTAGCTGAACACCTAATTGCTTTAAAATATTTAAGGACCACTGAAACAATATAACACTTAAGACGTATTTTTCTTTCGATTTATTAATAGTGAACTTAAGAACTGATTCTATACATTGACAATTATCGCAATTCTGATAGTAACAAAACGAGTTATACAAATATCATTAGCTTTACAGTGCTAGGAGGAAGTAACAAAGATACGTATTGAGATAAACAAAAGTGGTATACGATTTAACACAAAACGGTGGTTCTATACGTTAGCAGATCTATAATGCACGCACTTTACACGGCAGCACCTGTACACCATTTTTACTTGCTGGGAGGCAAATTCCCACTGCTCTAAGTGCTATAACGCGGGGTCAAGAGAGCATATGCGGGAGCCGGTCGCACACACGTTAACACGAGAGCTGATAATATTATAAATATCTAAGGTTGTTTTACAACACTTTTAATACATAATATTGATTGAAAAATTGTTAAATGAGTTTTACTTTGTATCAAAAGATGTAAATAAAAATATATTGTATATGAATATGTTGAATTCAATATGAATTCTAATAATTTTATTTTGAAAATATTTGAATAAATAAAACTTATATGTATATGCATTTCTTCTATCTCGCTCTCTAATACTACGGTCGTCGTTCTTGGTTTGCGCATCTTAGAGACAAGTCAAACTTGCTTCGTAACAAATTTAACTGTTATTGATTGTACTTATGTTTTTAGACACTGAACAGGGCGTAACTCCTGATAAGGTGAAAGACATAGCCATCAACGCAAGCGAGAAGTTTTACGAACAAGATGATTTGGGACCAGTGCAAAGTATTAAGAATTCTTTGAATTTTATCTTGACGCAGATTACACAATTAGCGCAATATCTACAAGATAATGAATACGAGATAACTACTGCTAGTAAAAATGAAGAAAAGGTAAGTAACCACCTCGATAATGAGCTAAAAAAGGAAAAAGTCAAAAACTATAAGAAGATAACACATTATCGTTATCTTCTGTTAGTAAGGGAGGAAGAAGCTCTGAACAAAAAGTGTAATAATTTTGATGTTAACCATAGTTTGATTTATATCCTAAAGATTTAGATTCTGGCCTTTTTCATATTAGTTTTTTGTAAATTATATTACTTTTTTATATATCCGTACCACAAATTCCTGGAACAAAAATAGAAATATCAACAAATCGTTTCTTTTAGAAGCCGTTTCTTAAATGAATTTTCACTTTTTTTTCGCTCTTGTGGCTATTACCACCGAACAACCAGTTGTTGTTCGGTGCTATTACAGCCAGGCATAACGTTATTTAGTATATACATTCGCTCTACATGTATTTCATCAGGTAGTGGGTAGGTCGAAAACAAACTCAAAGACAGAAACGCAACACTCTCGATATCCGGTATCCATATTTCTCGCTAAAGATTCCGAAACAGCTTTACATCTGTCAAGACTTACCTGGAGCAGACTTGGAGACAGACCACGTTCCACTGGTGGGAGTATTTCGAGTCAAACTCAAAACAGTGCAGAAAAGGAAAGCACGCCCTAAGTATGCTTAAAAGACCTTGATACGAGGATGAGGGTCCAAGCCACGTTACACGAGCAAGTGACCGCAATTAAAGACGAATCGAACGAAGAACAAACGATCAAACATATTACAGAAATAGTGCAAAATGTAAAGGATAAACATTTAAAGACAGATAGATTAATGAAGAAGAAATCATGGATGACAGATGAGATCCTGAAACTAATGGACGAGAGAAGAAATGCCAAAAATGACCCAGACAAATATAAAACCATAAATATATTCTTCTTTTTGTGCCACTCCTATCGGATATTGGAAATCATCAAGGCTATTCTGACCTTCTTTACGGCTGACCTAAAGAGTTCATTAGTGGTGCAGCCAAACCACTCTCTCAAATTCCGCAACCATGACATTCTTCTACAGCCTGGATTCCGTTTTCCTTCTATTTTTCCCTGCATTATATTTTGAAGTAATGCGTATTTATGTCCTCTCATCAAGTGACCAAAATATTCGAGTTTTCTTCGCTTTAGCGTTAACAAAATCTCTGGGTCTTTTCCTATTCTTCGTATTACTTCACAGTTTGTTATTCTTTCAACCCAACTAATCTTCAGCATTCGACGGTAGCACCATATCTCGAAACTTTCAATATTTTTCATGTTCTGTTTGAGAGTCCAGGCCTCTACACCGTATAATAGCGTGTTAAATACATAGCCTCTCAGCATTCTTAATCGTAGAGGGATGCTTATATTTCTGTTGCAGAAGAATTTTCTCATCTTTATGAAGGTGGCCCTGGCAATTTCGATACGTCTTTTTATTTCACTGTTTTGGTCTCCAGTTTCGTTTATTAAAGTTCCCAAGTATTTGTAGTTTGATACTTTTTCAACTTGAGTGCCGTTTATACTAATATACGCTGGTTGTGTCATGTTTTTACTGAAGACCATATACTTGGTTTTTTTAATATTGATATTTATACCATAATTGTTGCAAGCAATATTTATGTCTGTAAGTAATCTTTGTAATTCTTCTACTGTTCTTGCAACTAGTACAGTGTCGTCCGCGTATCGAATATTATTTACAATCTCTCCATTAATTACGATTCCTCCGTTTGCTTGTAAAAGGGCTTCCTGACAGATGCTTTCACTATATACATTAAATAACAGAGGTGACAAAATGCAACCCTGTCGTACTCCTCTACGTATTTCTATTGCTTGTGATGTTTCAGTTTCTATTTTGTATATATTTATAATAAATATATTAATAAGAACTAAAATCAGAGAAGCGAAAGAAAAAGAAGCAAGGGAAAGATGCGAAGAAATTGAGACTGCAGTCAAAGTACGATAGTCACAATGTACATAGGAAAGTTAAACATCATCTTGGATAAACAGAGTAAAATAAGAACGTGGAAAGAATATATAGAAAAACTACTTGAAGACCAAAGAGATAACACCTTTGAGCTGGAAGAAGAGGTAAATGATGGACCAAGAATATTACAGCAGGAAGTTTATTCCGAAATAACACAATTAAAGGATGGCAAAGCGGCAGGCCCTGATACGATACAAGCAGAACTACTCAAACTAATGGACAACGAATCAATAGCAATAATCGCAGAGATATTCAACAACATATACAACTCAACAGAATGGCTGAAATCTGAGTTTATTGCACTTCAAAAAAAAAAACAGGAGCCAAAAAATGCGAAGATTGCCGTACTATAAGCCTCATGAGTCATTTCCTAAAATTGTTCCTAAAGATAATTCATAAGAGAATCTACAAACTGTGAGAAAGTCAAATTTCCCCCAATCAGTTCGGGTTCACAATTGCTGTTGGTACTAGAGAGGCTTTGTTCTCAGTAAAAGTCTTATTTCAGAGATGCAGAGACGTCAACTGCGCAATACGCATGTCTGATTGATTATTAGAAAGCGTTTGATCGAGTACAGCATGCCAGATGATGCAAATACAAAAAGAAGCAGAAATTAACAACCAAGATCTGAAAATAATTAGAAATCTTTACTGGCATCAGACAGCAAATCTCAGAGATGAAGGTGAACACACTGACTATGTGAAAATCATGCGTGGCGTGAGGCAAGGCTGTGTTTTGTCTCCTCTAATCTTCAATCTGTATTCTGAAAGAATATTTATCGAAGCTTTGCACGAAACTGAAAAAGGTATTCTACTAAATCGTTACCGGCTAAACAACATCAAATATGCAGATGACACCATTATATTTGCGGACGACTAAGAAGACCTACAAGTTCTTATGAACAAAATCAGGTAATGGAGTCAACAATATGGACTCAATATAAACGTTAAGAACACAAAGCTTATGATAATTAGCAAGAAAAGGATAACAGAAGGTCAACTCTACGTCAACTAATCCCTTGTAGAAAGACTGACGCGCTACAACTACCTCGGCACTATAATAAGTGAACAATGGACCAACATCCAGGAGATTAGAGCACGCATCGAAAAAGCTAGATCCACCTTCAATCGAAAGGGGCCTTCTTTAAGAGTCACAACCTCTCTCTTGATACAAAAGTAAGAATGCTGCGATGCTACGTCTTCTCCCTCCGTTTATATGGTGTTGAATCGTGGACCTTGAACGAAGATATGTGCAGAAAACTGGAAGCATTTGAAATGTGGCTATATCAAAGAATACTTAAGATCCCGTGGACTGACCGAGTCACAAATGAGGAGGTCTCCAGAAGAATGAATAAGAACCGAGAGGTACTGACCACCATAAAGTTCCAAAAAGTTACAATTCTTCGGGTATATTATGCGAAATGAATCCAGATATGCTCTCCTTCAAGCCATCCTGCAAGGAAAAATATTTAGAAAACGAGGTCCAGTAAGAAGAACATCTTGAATAAAGAACCTCAGAATCTGGTTCAATACAACATCTGTGCAGCTTTTCCGCGCTGCTGCAAATAAGATAAAGATTGCCATGATGATCGCCAACATTCGTAACGGATAGGCACATCAAGAAGAAGAAGATATTTCTCGCTATGGAGTGGTACCAGGCGTATTTAGACGCCATCTATCTTGGAGGATACTAAATATAAATAACTGTTTGTTTTCTTCAACTCTTTAAAGTTATTCTCTCTTCAGAATCTTTAATAAATTTCGTACTAAACCTTACGAAGTTTTACAAAAGTATTTCTCCATTAAATGAGTCTATTAAATAATTCAACCCTCTATTGTTACATGTGTACTGTTACTCTTTACAATTTTATTGGTATTTTATCTTCTTTAACAACTTTGTTGAATTGCTCTGCTTCTCTTATCTTTCAATATTTCATCAATATTATGTGTTGGATTGTCAATTAATTATTCTATACAGGGTGAGTCATAACTATTGGGGCATAGACTAAGGATAGGTTATTTGGACCAAAATATGGCTATTGGGCCAAATATTCCTTAATAAAATGTTGCTGAGAAAAAAGATACAGGGTGTTAAAGTGGAAATTTAAAATTTTATTTTTGGCTATAACTTTCATGTTTGTAAACATTAATGTATACAAATTTACAGCTTTGTACTATTGAATATCAGAAATTATAATTTGATGCATACTTTAATATATCTAATAGAGGGCGCCACATATGCCACATTGGTGACATACATTTACACTTAACTTTTTTGTTCTTTAAGTTACCGGTATTCTTGCTAAAAAATATTAAAGATACGTTATTTTAACAAAAAAAGGTATACATGTTAATAACTTCAAAACTCAACATTTTTCGAGATAATCGCATTTTACAAATCAACTGCATAATTCTGATTTAACGCAATTACTCCAGGCAATGAAAGAAAAATAGATAAAAACATCAATACTTCTGAATTTTGTTATTAAAAACATTTTACGTTCTGTATTAAATTAAAGTCAAAATAAAAACATTTTATTTACAAACCAAATTAAAAAATAGTTAAACTAAATAACATTAAACTTTTTATCAAAGTAAGTGTTCGATATGTCCACTATTTTTTTTAATTCATTTGTCAATACATTCCATAAAATATCGTCTCGTATTAAATAGCATAATTGGTTCTAAAGAAACTGCTGCAGTATTTATTATAGTTGTTTTAAGTATAATAACAAGTAATTTTTTGAAATTTTTATGAATTAAATAATTATTATTATCTCACCACAAGAAAATGACTACCACGAACATTCCAACGTTCAGGAAAGTGTATTTAAATACTGTCTTATTTCGCTTTCTCTGTAATGTAATGGTGTACCATCTTGTAGAAACCACATATTTCGCCTTAAATTCGAACAATTCTTCCAATAAATCAATAAAATCATTTTATAAAACATGTAAATAAATCTCGACATTCAAATTGCAAGCTAATTCGCATATCCGAAAATAAATAATTATCAATGGTTCCAAACCATACGAAATGCATTTTAAATATAAATTTTGAATGATATTTTACAGATATGCGAATTACCTTTTAATTTAAATGGTGAGAATTATTTACAGTTTTTATAAAATGATTTTATTGATTTATTGTCATCAAACTTAAGGCGAAATATGTGGTTTCTACAAGATGTTACACCATTACATTACAGAGAAAGCTGAGTAAGACAGTATTTAAATACACTTTTCTAAACTTTGGATTGTTCGTGCTAGTAATATTCTTGTGGTAAGATAATAATAATTATTTAATTCATAAAAATTTCAAAAAATTACTTATTATTATACTTAAAACAACTATAATAAATACTGCAGCAGTTTCGTTAGAACCAATGATGCTATTTAATATGAGACGATATTATATGGAATGTCTTGACAAATGAATTAAAGAAAATGGTGGACATATCGAACACTTACTTTGACAAAAAGTTTAATGTTATTTAGTTTAACTATTTTTTAATTTGGTTTGTAAATAAAATGTTTTGATTATGACTTTAATTTAATACAAAAGGTAAAATGTTGATGTAAAATCCAGTTATTCTGTTATTTTATCAAATCCTATTATTAATTATCCTGCTGATATATTTATTTTATTTATTATTTCGTTAAATATTGACTTTATTAAAGGTATTTAATAATAAAATTCAGAAGTATTGATGTTTTTATCTATTTTTCTTTCATTGCCTGGAGTAATTGCGTTAAATCAGAATTATGCAGTTAATTTGTAAAATGCGATTATCTCGAAAACTGTTGAGTTTTGAAGTTATTAACAAGTATACCTTTTTTTTTGTTAAAATAACGTATCTTTAATATTTTTTATCAAGAATACCGGTAGCTTGAAGAACAAAAAGTTAAGTGTAAATGTATGCCACGTATGTGGCATAGGTGGTGCCCTCTAAGATATATCAAGGTGTGCATCAAATTATAATTTCTGATATTAAATAGTACCCAGCTGTAAATTTTTATACATAAATGTTTACAAACATGAAAGTTATAGCCAAAAATAAAATGTTAAATTTCCACTTTAACACCCCGTATCTTTTTTCTCAGCAACATTTTATTAAGGCATATTTGGCCAAATAGCCATATTTTGGTCCAAATAACCTGTCTTTAGTCTATATCCCAATAGTTATGACTCACCCTGTATAATAATATTTTTGTTAGATTTCCTATACTATTTCCTATACTTTTTAATATTCTCCTTGCTTTCTTATTAACTACCTGAAGGATAAAATAATACTTAAATATCATTTCTGCTTTATTGCAGACTGTTCCACCTATTAAAGTAAGAGCAGATGCCGTCAAGAAAGAACTAGAACAAACAAAAACACTAACGAGCAAGTTGGAGAATAAAGAATCTGACATTAAAGAATTAAAGAAATTAGTTAAAGAAAAGCAGGAACATCTTTCGGAAATGACAATCCGAAAAGAACTCGCCGAAAAGAAATTAGGAAACGTCAATAAAGACTATGAATTGACTATTGAAAAGTTGCAGAGGAAGTTAGAAGAGGCACACAACAACTACAAAAAGAAAGAAAAGGAATTTGAAGAAACATTGGATCATTTACAAACTGATATAGATTCGCTGGAGAGTGAGAAGGGCGAGATGAAAGAAAAATTGAAGGTAATGTCCAAGAAAGCTGCAATGGAATTTTCAAAGGGAATTCCCGGTAAGAGATTTTTTGATTTAATCTTAATTGCATTATCTACCTTAATTATTTAATTTAATTACCACCTAACAAATAATTTGAATGTTTCATTGTGGTTTTTAGTTTTATTTTGCTTATTTGTATATGTATTAGGTACTCAACTACCATCTCTCCAATCAGTTGGTCCCACACTTCCCGCTGTTGTTAAAGATTCTCCATTGCTTATGCAAGAAATCGACAGCCTTAGAAAAGTATTCCATCAAGAGCGTAACCAAAGAATCAAACTGGAGAACCAAAAGCTTAAGGACATGCTAGATAGCATGAAACCTCTCCCAACTTTCAAAAGCACACCAGACTCCGTTTTGGAAGGATTGTTTAAGCAAGGAGCAGCTCTACAACAGGTTTGTAATTTTCCGTATTCTTTGAATGTGGCAAGTCTGCCGTTTTTTTTTTTCAACACGCCTGAATAATATAAGTGATTCAATAATTTTCGTCTGTATCGATATGTTGTAACTAACAGTTGTGGGTTAGAAACTCACCGGGCACGAAATTTTTCTATTTAAAGATATTCTCGTGTCTTTCCGACTGATTGATTAAAAATTGCGTTTAATTCTCTCTTCTCCTCTACTTTCAAAAACCTGCGAAAAAATGTAAGGCAATGAACTGAATAGTCTCTCCTTTTTTAGTGTGTTTAGCTTGTTGCAAATCTGCGTCATAGACTCGTTCACCCTAATTCTGAAATTAAAGAATTATCTCTTACCTTTTAGCACACTACCCTTTTCTATCCTACTATCTTGATTTTAAAGTGACATATGGTTGAATGCTCGAATAAATAAACTTCAAATAAAAGGCAGATATCGAGCACTGTTTTTTATTAAATCTTGGCCAAGCACTTTCGCTCTTATAGCTATTCAGGGGCATTTCATCAAAATTATAGGCTATCCAAACGTTTTATGAATGTCATAAACATTAAATAATACATTTACACAACACTTGACAAAGGACAAACAGGTTAAAAAATTTTAAATTTGAAGAAGCTTTATAGTGACAGCAGGAGAGGGAATCTTGATTTTATAAATATTCGATAATAATTAATCATTTGGTCTAAAAGATTATCGATTCCTCTCATGGGGGCCGGCAGCTAGGTGCAAGGATGTTGCAATTGCATCCCTCTGTCTTTAAAGAAAGGACATAGCTATGCATGTATAGTTCTATATTTTATATGGTTAATAGTATGTGTAGATGCAAATGCACCCCCCTGAAAATAATAATGGTTGCGCCCATGACTCCTCTCATTCCATTACTACAACCTTTGGGTCTTTGGGACGCTTGACTCGATATATTTACTTTCTTTTATGGTCATACCGCTTGGCAGTCGTAGTTGTCCAATTGCTACCAGTTTTATTGTCCAAATATTTAACCAGCGATTATATTAGTCTTTATCAACAAGGTCATCCATGGACTCTTTAAGATATTTTCAGTTTTTCGTAATGACAGATCTCTCGAACCACATAATCGCTTATTAAATTAAGGCGGGATAAAATCATCCTTATTTTTATAGAATATAATTTCTTTCATCTGGTTGATGTTCAAACTAATAACATATAACTAACATATAACTAATAAAATATGCTCTGTATCCTTTTAGGAAATTTTGATGAACCTGGCAAAGCCAACTTTCCCGTCTATATATAAATTGAAGCCTGGTAACGGCCCTGCTGCTTGGAAGCGCCATTTTGCCGAAGAACAAAATAAGTTGCTAGCTTTCAATAAGGCCAAAGAAGAATTCCAGGCCAAAGTGGCTGCTGAAATAGTTAAGAGGAAGGTTGGTGGAAAGGTAGAAGCTGATTTGGCCACTTTCCCGACAAAAGAAATGACAAAAGTAAGTAATGAATTAATCAGGGTGCTAAAATAGAATTTTTGTAAAAATGTGATTTTAGATTTATTAGTGTGTGGTTACAATAATTGCAAATTTGTATTAGAATCAAACAGCAGCTTATTTAGTAGACGGTATGAAATCATAGGCTCTTATAATATTAAAAGAGGAGCGTCGCTCCTGCTTTTTAACATTTACTCAAAGAGAATTTTCAGAAATGCACTTTTTGAAAAACAAAAAGGAGTAATTGGGAATGAAGAACTTGCCCATATGCGGACGACACAGTACTCCTAGCTTCTAATCAGGAAAATCTACAAACATTTCTTGGCAGTGTGACAGAAGCCTGTTCTGTAGAAGCAGGTCTGGATCTGAGCATACGGAAAACCAAAATACTCGTAATAAGTAAACAACAGAATATAAATCCATCTGTATATGTAAATAGTACAAAATTTGAGTAAATTGATATATTGTTTACCCGGGATAGAAGTTAAATTGTAACGCAGAGATTCACGGTGAACTTAGATCCAGAATTGAGCAGACCAAAGCAGCTTTCGGAAGGATTTCCAAGGTATAATGTAGCGGAGCCTGAAATTGTCATTGCAGGTCCGCCTAGTGCGCTGCTTTGTGTTTTCCAACTTACTTTATGCTGTCGAGTCTTGGACTGTGAATAACAGTGATCTTAAACGCTGTGAAGCTTTACTGTACTGAAAGTCTTCCAGCGGTAATTCATAAAATAATTGATAAAAAAAAATGTAAAAGGAAATAAGAACCAATTTTGATTTAGAAATTAATTGGAAATTAGGAAGACATTGCCAGCCTTGAAGTTCTAGTCAGCAAGTCCAGATAAAAAGCAGATATTTTCTATGATTTCTACCTTTCGAAAAGACGTTTGCAACTGAAATTGGTGCAAATACAATTTCCTACAATTACTTTTTTGCAATTTTCCGTTCGTACAATATTTTCCGAGTTAAGGAGGAAACAAGTGACAAAGCATAATTATGCGACGAGCGTCGATCGAAAAACTGAGCCGAAAAAAAATGCATTAAGCCTCTATAATTGAGAGTAACATGCGTCTTCACTTGGCTGTAAAACAATATAAAAATAAAACAGCTTTATTATGCGTATTATTATTTATAGAAATAAAAACTTTAGCAAAGAAACACACATTTTTTAAAAGGAAAGACAGTTAAGATTTTATTTCACGTGTCATCTGTATATCCGCTTATACGTATTTCATCCTAAAATGAATCTTCGGAGCGGCTATGCAGAAACGCTCTGAACGTGAAAACAATCTTTCCTGTCATAGTAGAAGCGACACTAAAATGGCTTCGATATGGACGCAATAGCGATATCTGATAATAAATCTGTGAACTATTTTTCGAAACCAAATTCAGATTTCGGCTTTAATCTGTGCCTAAGGCCTATTGGAAGAAAACCGCATCTGCAACAATTTCAGTCCTTATAATTATTTTTGTAAAAAGTTGAAAATGGCGGTGATATCGAGGAAAAACTAATAATGTAATAATGTATAACTTTAATTCGATTAACACTAGTTGATTATCATAATTATGTATTTTTGTTTTAGGCGCTTAACGAGAGCAAACCTGTTAACGTAGGTTTCGTTAAAATCTCCAAAGAACTCCTTCCGCCTAGCGAAAATCCCAAAATAGTAAATCTGGATCTTGATTTTGATAGTATGCAAAAAATTCTTCGTACGCTTGTAGCTAAATAATTTTTTACTGAATTATATAATATATTTAATTTATTTGTAAGCAATATTACTAAATTATCAAAATGATGGCTTTAATAAACGTATACATTATATCATTGTATTTTTTCGTAATGTTTAATAGCTTGAACAGCTTGGAAATACTTTCTGCTATAAAAGTATTTCTGTAATAAAAGTTTATACAACCTAAAAGAACGCTAATACGTCCACAGGGCAAGAAGACAAAATCTAGGACTTCTATAACCTACTATAGTCAATGACAGTAGTCTCTCTTTATAAGGATTCCCTATATAACGATGAAAATAGTAAAGGTTGGTTGGTTCGTCGTAAGGACAATGTATTAATTCTTTCTCTATACAGATATCGTTCTCTCTTTATAACGATGACTTTTCAGCGTTCAATTGTCGATGAAAAATGTGTTACTGCGTTTGAGTCACGAGTGGCAATGTCATTGTCCAGCGGTTGTTTTGTTTTGCGCTTAAGGAATACGGCCACCCATTCTACTCATTCTTATCAGAGAGTTAAGTGACTCACTTTTATTGTTCGGGAGGCGTGCCCAACTGTTATCACACAGATGTTGTCATCTATTGATGACTTTTCATTTCCAGTTTCGTGTCTTAGTGTATCAACGGTCAACATGTTTTCGAAAAAGCGTAAAGTAAAATAGAGAAAGGTGAAAAGCAATCGGATGTCGTTCGCCGCACGAGGCTGTCTGAGTCAACTATGGCTACGATATGGAAGGACAGAAAAAAGTCGCTTGAAGCGGAGATGGAGGGGGTAGCAGGAAGAAGTTGCAGAAACCTCAGCACGAAGATTTAGATCGCGCTATGCTTCAGTGGTCCCAACAGCAGCGTATGAACCATATTCCACTTTCTGGGCCTGTGGTCAGGATAAAAGCTGAGTTTTTTGCAACTGAGCTTGAAATTGAGAATTTCAAGGCATCTGAGGGTTGGTTGAGCAAGTGGAATCTGCGGCACAAGATAAACTACAGGCAAATCAGCGGAGAGGTTCGCGATGTTAACAAAAACGTAACGGATGATTTTCTAGAAAACGTGTGGCCTGGACTGAAGGCACGATATGCGTCTGACGACATTTTCAATGCTGATGAGACTGGATTGTTTTCTAAAATGACACCAAACAGAACTAAATTTTAAATCGGAAAAGTGCGTTGGTGGAAAGCTCTCTTTCCATCAAGGAACGGATTACAGTTTTAGTGGCTGCTAATATGACAGGTGAAGCGAAAATTGTTAATGATAGGGAAGTCGAAAAAACCACGTTGCTTTAAAAATATAAAAAATCTACCGGTGACCTATAAAGGAAACAAGAGGGCGTGGATGACTTCGGAAATTTTTGAAGAAGCGACAAGAAAGTGGGATATCAAACTTAAAAGGGAAAAAATTATTCTGCTTATAGACAATTGTTCTGCTCATCCTGTACTGTGCGACCTTCAAAACATTCAACTTTGCTTTTTACCAGCAAATACAACGAGTCCCCTTCAGCCCATGGACCAAAGTGTCATCAAGAGTTTGAAAAGTCATTATAGGAGAAAACTTTTGATGGAATTGGTTGATAACAATGGCTATCTTAAACTAAACAGTCTTAGCGCCATCCTAATGATTAGTAAATCCTGGGACGAGGTGACGAGCAATACAATAAAACACTCCCTTCAAACACGCAGGGTGGCTAGAAGATCAATGATTGACTGATGATGAAGATGACCTGCCATTAGATGTTTGGGCCAGACAGTTTAAACTTACTATCACCTACGGACCGCAAGAGCTAACAGATTTTGAAGAAGTTGATGAAAATGTAGCTACATCTGGACTTTCTGATAAGGACATCCTACAAGCAGTTCGTGTAGAAGAAGAAGAAAACAGTGACCCGGAAGTGGAAGCAGTGCCAGAACCAGCTCCGATCCCTCAGCACGTATTGGATGCGACAAAAGTACTGCATCGATTCTTCATACACCAGGAAGACAATATGAGTGCTGTGGAAGATTCTATGCGTCTTCGGGACAAGATCAGGTTAGTTCTGTGGAAAGGGAAGTTTCCTTTTCCCTGGAAAACTTTGGAAGACCAAGGTGACAGACTTTTTGGGTAATGAAGGCTAAATATATTTTACAGCAGCATATTATTCTTTAATAAATCTATGTGGTGTACAATACACGGTTAATTCATTTATATTCGTTTTGATACATTTTTTAAATTAAAATAGGTTATTTAGTACAGTATTATCAATATTACAATACCGAAATCTTGTCTCTCTCTGTATAACGATCCCTCCTTATAACGATAAAAATTCTCGGCCCCTTGTATATCGTTATAGAGAGAGAGGACATATAAAATTAATTGTCGTGAAAATTTAGAACTAAGTTAGGAAAGCGATTGGAAGGTGGTGGTCATTTTGTTAGGATTTTGGTATTGGAAACAAGAATGTGCGCCCATCTAGCTTCTTATGTATAAGATTTTGATCTATATGCCATATATTTTTAATTTTACTAACTTAACCCGTTAAACTAACGCACAATCGTTTCACTAAACTGGGATTCAACAACATAGCGTTCACACACAATAAAATAAATGACAAGTACAATATCCAATAATGTATCAAACGTCAACATTCATCATCACATGTGAGGCCGTTATTTTCAAAACTTCCTCTTTGCTATTTGATTTACTTTTCAGGAGCAACAAAAAACATTCATGTAAATTATATTTTCGAATTATTACATTTTTTAAATCTCTATAGATTTTGAAAAAAAAAATGTTTTTCGCAAAGAGAAAGTTTTGTAAATAAATTAATGACTGAAATTCATTAAAGTTTTTTTAATGAACAATATGTTAATTAAACACCCAATAACGTGTTACAAACATTAAAAAAGATTTTCAAATAACAAATATATTTTATTATCTAAAATACAAACAATATATCAAATAACTCGTAGGCAATGACGTATGTGTTTGATTTTCTTTTTCTTTTTTTTTACTAGAGGAAAAACTATTTGCAAAACTCAAACACATATTCTTCTTTTTCGGCCCCAGCGCACTCGTTATGTGCCCACAAATGGCACATGAAGCACTTGACCCATATTTCACTAAGATTATCCTCTGAAAAAGGTGCTTTGCAAAACATACACGTTACATCAGCTGCGTCTTGTGGAGGCTGTGTAGAAGGAAACTCATTGTAATCGCTCTCATCATCTTGAGGCACATATTCCTCCTCATGTTCGCTACTAGAACCCAATTTCTTTCTTAGGTTCTTTGTGACTTTGGTAACTTGCTTACGATTTAATTTTTTTATTTCTTTCCCTTTTCTTTTTTCTTTCCCTTTTCCTACTTCGTTTTGTTTTTTGTCTTTGTTGAGATATGCGATCAATTAATTTTTGTAAGGTGAAGTTTCACTGAACACTTACTTAGCTTACGCCCACGATCGGAGGTTTTCTTCTTCAATAATGGCACGGGATAAAGATCATATGATGTTAGCAGAGATGTTTTTGAAGACCCAGATGTGGAAAGAATTGATGGAGTGGGCTTATTCTCAAATAATTTTCTTTTTACACTAAGGTCTGCACAAGGTCTTCTGGAAGGCGTGGCAGACTTTCTGTAAAAGCTTGTGTAAAAGTGTATGTCTAATCAATTCTATTCTAGGGGAAAACAAAGGTAAGAACACTTTAATGCATTTATTTTAGCTTATGTGAGGACGCAGCGCCATCATGTTGTAAAAACGTTGCTAACATGTTATGTTTCTAAGGTAATTTGGCTAATTTTATTTTATTCAAGTTTGCTTTATATAAACGAGAAGTGTATTAAGGAATAAGGTATACAATATTGCCCTCAATCACTAAATTTAAACAATGTTTTACATACATTGGGTACTATAAAAAAAATTGCATTTACTAAGACAATTGTTAGAAAGTTAAAAAGGTTACTTGAAAAAAATACATACGTTATGTCTCCAATCTCATTATTATTTACGAATAAAATTAGCTCTCATACTGTAGCTAAGTGTCTTTAAAATGGCATACAAAAAAATTTAACAAAACAAAGTACAGTATACTCCCCCTGTAACGAACACGGTCATTACGAGGTTTCGTTTATAACGAGGTACATTGGATGTCCTGTGAAATTTTTATTGAACTATAACCCTCTATAACGAGGCAAATTTGGTTATAACGAGAGAAAATAAGATCGATAAACGTGTTCTTTACGTTTTTGACCCGGCCGTGGTTATAAATAAATATCCTTTTTAACTGCCCGCAATAAACATAACTGCCGCCCGCAATAAACTTTACAATCTTTAGAAAATATGATAGATAGAATGATACTGGACTCGAAAATTACAGACTTCTTCCAATTGCAGAAGCAATAGTTTATGTTATCCTTCAAAATATGTTTTATACATTATATAGTTGGAAAAAAATGTAAGTACAGATTTTTTAACCTATATAATTAACATCGAGTTAGATTCTAACTCGATGATAATTAACAATAAAAGTAAACAACTCTTTTTTTGTTTTAATGAATTTCATTGACAATAAAGGTAAACAACACGCCATTCAACCAATATTTATTAGCATCTTATACTGTTCCGAATGGCTTCACTATAGGAAGTTATTGTTTTAGAAAATTACATATTCATATGTATGTATGCACAGTATTATTATTGTCTGATATAACGAGATCGGCTTATAACGAGGTAATTAGTCTGCCATTTCAGTTCTCGTTATAGAGTGAGTCTACTGTATAATACAATTATTTTTTTATAAAACATTTAAATCCCATCGCGAATGTTATAGGCCGTCGCTTATGAAATTCTGAGAGTCTAAATTAAAATATTCAAAGATTATGTAGCTGGAAACGTTAAGCGTTGAGAGTCTACATAATAACCAAGAAATTTGATAGATGTCAATGTCAACTGTCACAACTTTGAAAAACTTTTCAGTTGCTATGTTTTTATTTTAATGTAAAAACGTGTAGAAAAAAACTATTCAAACCAAAAAAGAGTAAAATCGCCGGTCGAAGTAACTAATAATTTATGGAAAATATGTCTGATAAAAACCTCTGTAGCGACTTTCAAGAATATGCAAATTACCTTAAAGAAAGAACTCAATTTTTCAAAGAAGAAAGTAAGTTTCTAGACAAAACTGAATTTTCTAGTTTTTTAGATTTAAATATATATCTATTGAAATGTATAGTTACCCAATTTTAAACCATATACTTTATAATTATAACATATTAATTTCCACGTACAGTTTAATTGTTCTTGATGTTGGTCTTCTCGGCTATTTCTCATCTCAGTTCTAATGTATATATAGCATCTTCTTTGTTGCATTTGATATATTGTTATTCGTATCCACTTCTTAATGCATTTCTAATTTTATGATTCATTAGATGCATTAGTTTCTCTTTCTCTGTCGTTTTGTTAACTGCCTTTTGTTAAATTTAAGTTTGATTAATCATATTGCTTCTGCTGTATCTGTTATTAAAGGTTGTCAAATGTTTAGTTTTATATATTTACACAATTATATTGTCTTTTATCCCATTTTGTTAATGTAGCATATTTTTTAATACAGTTACAAAAAGTCTAGGTATAGCTTGTATAACTAGACATTTTCATGTATGCTATTCTTCATGTACAGACACTATTTACTTGTAGTTAAATTACATGTTGAAGGATCATTCACTATTAAATTTGTGTGTTAATTAAAATTTTAATTAAGCGTTAATTAATTTTATGAATAAAACCATATGTCTATTTTAGATGCAAGATTAGAAATGATATTCAAAAGACTGAAATTATTAAATGATGAAATGAGGATACCCACAGATATTTCCGAAACAGTGTCAGAAATAAAAGAAGCTCTTCTAAATAAACTACCAACTACACATAGTATGTCCCAAACAGAGAGGCTGAGAAAACACAACAATTACCTATCCAAATTAAAAATATGTATTAAGATTTATGTAAATATTAATGAAAAACTTATGGAAGATATCAAAGTAACAAAGAGGTATATTCAAAATTATTATTAAAAGTTTATGAAAGTATAGGTATATGGATATTTATAAAAAAGCTATCTTAAGACAAACTTTTAAATATTATATCAAATTTACAATTCGTTCAAATTACATAGTCCCAACCATAAACAATTACATGTGAAGGCCAAACAGGGTCGTATTGAGGTGTATCATGATTTTTAAAAATATTTACTTCTTGAAACTAAGAATGTAAGAATTTCTTTAACTCATTGACTGCCAAGCACAACATAACAGTTGGCTGTCTGTTCTTAGACGCCAACCATGAGTTATCTCGTTTTTGTAGATGTTTTTCATGGCGCTGAGCACTAGATTATTCATGGGACATGCATGGAGATTTTATATTGGGGAGTCTACAAAAGGTTATTAAAATATAGGTAGACATCAGAAAACAGATTTATTTATTATTTTTGGTTATGGTAAATGGACAAAAACTAAAAATTTGAAAATGAAAAATGAAAAGTTTTTTTGAGATCACATATTTTGGATTCCCTTTTCGATTATTGCGTAAAGTACCACAGGCATTTGTTTTTCTGGCTCTTATACGCTTGGTAAGGTCTATTGAATTGTAAAAATTGTCCATGTAGACAATATATCATTTGTCCAAATATTTATCCAGTACCTGCAATATGACCTCTGTAGTATGTCCCATATCACCAGTGGCGTTGTTGGCTTCAGATTTGCCTCAATAGATTCTAATTTTCAGAAACACTCTATGAGATTCACACAATTCATATAGTTTCACACCATACTTATGTTTTTTGTTTTTTATGTACTGCCGAAAAAATAATCTACCACACCAGAGGATTATTGATTCATCAATGCATAAGAATTTATCAGGAACATAATTCTCTTCCATGATTTTGTTAAAATGACTGAGGATGCCGTATTTTGTATAATTGATCCTTTGTTCTGAGTTGTCGGCAAAATGCAAAAAACGTAATAGTAATTGAAATCTATTTCTACTCATTACTAACCTCAAAAATGGCATTTTATACATAATATTTTGAGACCAGTAATGTTTAATTGATGGTAAAGTACATGGGCCCATGTGTAGCAAAAGGGCAATAAATACTCATAGTTAATTTTTGTCAGTTTCAACCCATCTATTCATTTGAGTAAACCTTGTAAGTGTATTTTTCTGAATTTCTTGGGCTGCATACAAATTTGTTTGTTGAACTAACATGTTCAAAAATGCATCAGAAAAAAAAAACAAGTTAACCAGATTGTCGATAGTTAGTTCACCTTGATATTTTAGCCCAACATCTTGTGTAAAAAAATCAAAAGTTGGTGGGTCATTCTCAACATCACACCATTCTTCTTCATTGAATATTTCAGCAGTTGGCTGTAGAGTAGGTTGTTCCAATTGTAATTGTGACAAAGGGCTCTCGTCGCTTGCTGTTGAACTTATTAAACTTGTTGAACCTTGCTCATTTGATAGTTCATAGTCCAAGTCATCATCATAGTTCCCGATTTCCTCTGAAGTTAAGCCTCGTTTTCTGGACAATAGTTATAAAAAAACGTGAAAACTAAAACGAATTCACCAATAAAACACACAAAAGACACACAACTTTAGCGCACGCCACCTAAACATAGATACTAAACACGTGGTTCTGCAGAGTCGGCTCTGTTTTTCAGTATATTTGATTCATTATTTTGATTTTCACATTGTGGCATACTGGATCCGTTTTCTTGACAGTGTCTTGGCAGTCAACGAGTTAAGTAAATTTAGCTGTGAATAAAATTTAATGTTCCATTGAAGAAAAATGTGCTAAAATAAAATATTCATTAACTAAAATATACATAACAAAGTATTTTGACTAAAATAGCATCATCATCAAGTTTTTCAAAACATAAAAGCATACCATTTAAATTGTTCAGAGTCTGAGGCGCTACATGTACTGCTTTCTTCATCTGGATTTATTATTATTATGCATATTATTTATGCCCTTCATAAAGTTGCTATAAATTAAGTCAATGTCAAATAATAACAGAGTATTTAATATATATCTTATTTTTTCATTAACTAGTTTTAAGCTAAAAATTGTTATATTTCAATTTTTATTTTATATTTTAGAGAACTGGATAGTTCAAAACAAAAACTAAGTGGTCTCCTTAATGTGAGCTCAGAACAACTACTGCAATTAGAAGAAAAAGCCAAAAGATATGAAAATGAGGTATTAAAATTTGAGGTAAGTTACTGGTTGATTATCAATCATTTCCTTTTACTTGAAGTTACTGAGTTACTATATATACTATATATAGTAATTGAATGAAAAAATTACATTAACATTTGGAAACCCATTTGTTTATAAAAGGTAAAAATTTACAGTGAAAGCAAAACATAGAAGGTACACAACTGTTTATAAATAAAATGTTCTTTGGTATATAGGACTATAGGACTAACCTTTTACACTTGCTTCATGGTAATATTTATTTCTGTGTCGTTTTTTGCTTCTTGTGAAAACTCTGCATGGTTTTGTTTAACATCTCTTTTAGTTGGGTTTTGTCTTCTCTGGAAGTCATTTGTTCTCTCCTGGTTTTGCTGCAGCCAATTGGTTTACTGCATGTCTTCTATTAACTATTATTCAAGTCCTTGTGACCTCGGAAGATGTTTCTTACTAGCTATTGGTACAAGAATTTTCCCACACAGTGTGTCCTCCAAAGTAAAACATTTTTGAGTGATTATTTGCATATAGTATATGGCTTCTCTCATACTCATTGCATTTTGAAAACCAAATTGGGTCTTACCCAATTCTTCACATTTTTTGTGTATTCTTGGATGATTAATTTTTGGAATATTTTTAGGGCATCACTCATTAAGCTTATAAATATATGTATTTTTTTGTTGGTAAAGCGATAAACATAGACTTATGCTATTCAGATGTATTTCTCCTCTATTATATATGTTGTTAAATAGCCAACAGATTTTCGGGTTTCAATAATTTCAATATCTCAGCAAATCGTGGAGACATTTTTTTTTTTTTTTTTAATTTTTGATGGCATTCTTCAGTTCTGATATCAGTATAAATGGTCCTGAAAATTTACTCATCAAGTTAGTTAATTTTGATATGATCGATTAGTCATCGAGATATATGGTTTTAAGATATTTTTCCCTGTCCATGTGAATTTCATTATTTTCTGTTTGTTGCTTCGTCTAATCGAGGTTATGTTTTTAATCTTGAAATATTCTGTAATCTGCTTAAATTTATTATGGAAATTAAATGAGCCATGTTGCTCATGTAACCTCTCTGCCTCCTGACATTGTACTTCAAGTACACTTTTCTTTTGCTTACCTTATCTTAGTTTACTGCATTTTCATTTTATCAAGGGTATCATCTGTCTTCCAAGATTTCGTTGTATTTTCCCAGTATTCTTTACATTTTACTCAGCTGAAAAACCACTTTAATATTATTCTGAAGCTATTTTCTTGGGACATTTAAAGTAATTACTATTTAAATGGGAATAAGCCACAATTAAAAGTTAAAGTATGTTTAAAATAAATGTACTTTAACCCTTAATTGTGGCTTATTCCCATTTAAATAGTAACTACTTAAAAACTGCATATGTTAATATTGGTCTCTGAGACCCATTAAGGTGTGACCCATGAGTGAATTAAATTTAATAAACATTAAACATTTCACTTAATGAAAAATTAATCTGAAGTAATTTTTGTTACAGAAAAAATATCCATGGCTAAAAGACCCAATGTTCAATTTACCAAATATATCAAAAGAAATGGAGAAATTGAGAGAATTAAAAGAGACAAAAGAGAAATTAGTAAAAGAACTTAGTGTTTATCAAGATCTTAAACCTGATATTCATGAAGCATCACAACAACTAGCTCAGATCAAAGAAGAACACAAGAAAGTTAGTTCGATGTGGTGTTGAGACTGATAAGTGACAAAATGTGATTTTATTAATTCTGAGATATGCAATAAGGTTGTAATGAGAGCCAATGTATGAAAGTTTTAATTTTTGGTCCCCTCTGTGTAAGCCAGTGATCAATAGATTGACCATGGTATATTTATCTCATTTTATATAGCATTAACATTTATACATGAGAGTCGGTGAAAAAATTTTATGAACTATTTTATATTGACTGATTTTTTTTATAAAAACAATGAAGATTTACACCAAGAATGGGTTAGACGATAGAAAATGCGTAAGGGATTGAGAAAAGACAAAATGAATAACCTGACCAGGTAAATACTAGCATAGGACTACCTTTAAGCTTTTTAAACACAAAAATAAGCCAACAGTAATACAAACTAGGTAGTATTTATAATGGGAAAGAAAATTATTCGTTATCTCACGGTCTAATTATAATCTTCTAATATTTATTGAATTTTATGTTAGAAGGCTAGGATATGGTAAAGATTTCTCAAATACCAAAATCTACTGATTGTTTATTCTTCGTGGACAATTAGAGTGTGAGTGAATAACTATTATTGTTCTAAGAGAAGATAAAACAAAGATGGTACAACATACGCTATTAATGAGCATGATTATTTATGGAGTTAGTTCTTGTGATAACACATAATGGTTGGGGTTAATGGCTTTCTGAAAAGAAAGGATTTTCTAATATTTATTTAATCATTTAAAATAAAGCTGTGTTGATTGGTTCCGCCCGTAACATAAGGTAATTGTTAATAACCTTACTTCAGGCCCTTTTTTACTGATTGTACTGACTATCTACAACACAGAAAAGCTTTTATTTTTATGTTACATGATTTAAACAAATTAGTTTCAAATATTTACATGACGAATAATTTATTTGGCTCTTAATTGTAGTGGTGGGTTTAGTTTTCTTTTGTAAATATTTATGTATTGTAAAAATTGGATTCAATCAACTGATGGTGAGGGGCGCAGTGATTGAAGGAGTAATTTAATTTAGTATCTATCTGTAATTGGAATATTTTCAAGTTACTTAGTTAGATTTTATAGTTCACGACTTTATAATAGGTATATTATTTTTGTACATTTTATAAGTGAATAAATTTTTTTAATAACTGAGATGAGCGTTTTTTTACACAAATATTGTATTCATTGATTTCCTTATCTTACCCCGTGCTGCTACAGCCCCAAAAGGGGCTTGGCCTGCCCCTCGATATATCTGCCTTATTATAATAATTGTTGCTTTCTGCACATGCGATAGTCTCTATATAACATATGAGGACATCAGAAAGAGAGTATTGGTATACAGTGTGTTCCAAGATGTTTTTAACAGGTTCACTGTGTACGTAATCTAATAGGAACATGCCAGGTGCTAGGAACTTTGTTTCAACAAACAGTGTTAAGAGTTGGTTGTTGGTATTTTATATGATGTTTTAGACATTATATTCTACATTTGGGAGCAAATGTCAAAAGGACGCGGATCCGCGTCTTATTTTTGAAATAAAAGGCTACAAAAAAAATATGTTTTATTTGAAAAATAACAAAAAATACACTAAAAATAATATAATAAGAACACTTTGGACATTATAGATAACAAATAATACAAAAAGTACACCAACTAGAGTAATTTTTGGTCTTTATGGTACATTTTGAAGCATGCGCCTGGCAAAGACCAGGTTTGTCAGTACAAATAAGACATAAATCATATATTTTCTTTTTTTTTCACTGTACACACCCTGCACTTTTTACGTTTCTTTTCTCCTTTTGTATTTTTCTCAGCTATTTTGCTCAAAATATGCCATTCAGACAAGTTATTCAATAGGAACATTTTTCTGAGGAGAGCGTAGTAAATTTCTTATAATTTGTAGTCGAAAGTCATAAAGAGACAGTTTTGTTCCAGAATATTTGTTAAATAAAAATAAGAGTTTACTAAAATCACTGGTAGTATATGTATATCCAATTTTTTGTACCAGCGAAGGGTTTTTCTTTCGCAAGGATAGTATGATAACATTTGATCTTTGCGATCAACACTACTCATATTTTTATTATATTCGGCGATTGGAAGAGGTTTTAGTTTTTTTTTTTTGTTTTCGTTTTTTTTAACATTCTACGGTAACATTGCTGAACTCGGTGGATATATACATTACTTTCCGCTAACAACAATGCCGTTTTTATATTTTGCTACTGCCTCGCCTTTCTTTAACTTTGCTTTAGTGACTTATACTGGATTTCCTTGTTTTCTTCCCAGAAGAGTTCCTGTACAATATGTTTTGTTCTTCAATTGTTTCAGCTAGGTCCATACTCATGTAAAAATTGTCCATAAACAACGAGTGATCTGCACTTAGATGTTTGTGCATCAATTCCATGACAACTTTTTTTGAATGGACTGTTCCGGCGGTAGTATCAAATTTACCAGCATAAACTTTCATATTTTGAACTAATCCGTTAGGTTCAGTAAGTTTTTATACCAAATTTATGGCGCTTTTTTTAATATACATTCTAAAACAGAGACGACCACGCCATCAAACTACTGATTCATCAAGGGAAAGATTTTTGTCAGGCTGATATATGTCATTCATGTTTTGATTAAAATAATTCAACAATGGACGATTTTTGTACAGCTTGTCCTCTATAACTTCTCCCTCTGGATTTTTGGCAAAATGCAGCAGATACCGAAGAATTAACAAAAAACGGTCTCTACTCATATTTTCTGGGAAACACTTTACATTAAAAAGACTATCAGTTTTTCAATAATCTTGCGTTCTGTTGGTTTTCCATGTCCCCATGTGTAAGAGTAGCCCAAAAAATTTATGTAATTCTTCGGTAATGAGTGGTTTCCAATTTGTTACTCTAGATCTTTCGATATAAATAACTGTTCAGTATACAGATTCGTTTCTGTCACTATCAGCTCAAAAAAGTTTCATCCGCCAGAGGACGAAAGTAATCAAAAGATGTCTTACTTTGTGGTGGCTCTACCAACAAGTTGCAACATCTACTAAACTCAAATTGTTTCATTTCATCATGATCATTTTGTCATTCATGTGTATTTGGATTTCCTGCATTTGGATTTAAATTTCATTCGGTTCCTCCTCGTTATGCATGGCTTTCACAATACCCGAAATATCGTCGTTACCTACAAAAATACAAATTTAACACTTTTTTAAACTCACTTGTTTCCAACTTACCACATTCATCCCCATCCTCATCGTCTGTACATAGAATATAATCGTCTTCCATTGAAATATATTCATCTTCACTATCTGATTGTGTTAAAAAGTATTCAAGTACTTCTTCTGTTAACTTTTTAGGTTTTTTACGGATATTTTTTTAAGTTTTGGCTGTGAGCAATCTGGCTCTGCGTTCTCCATCATTGCAATAGTCAAACACGTGTCGGAATTAAAGGAAACAACAAAAGTGACAACTGTGGTGTAACTTCCGTTACCTGATGATGCTGATGTGTCAAATAAACGCACAACTCTCGTGCTAATAAAATATCAAACTATAAAAGTGGAATGAACGGCCTGGACGCGAATCCGCGCTTTACGCAATGAACCTGTTAACAGCTCATAATTCATTAATTATTGTATATTTTATGTTTGAAAATTGCCTTAATTGACTAAAAGAACGCCTTTTTTTCAGTACTGCATAAATGCTTATAAATATATAAAAAAGGACGGAGTGGAAGACTCTAAAATTCAGTTTCAAATACCCAGTGAAAACAACATCGAAACTGAAGATATCCCAATTAGCCAGGGCCTTTTTCAGGGGGACTCGTTGAGTCCACTTTGGTTCTGTTTGGCGATGAACCCACTATCTCAGCTACTGAACTCTACTAACTCAGGTTTTAGCATAAAAAATTACAATGCTGTTGTGGTGAAGCTTAGTCATCTGCTGTATATGGATGATTTGAAATTAATAGCGTCCAGTCTAAACCACCTGGATCAGATGCTAAAATCTCTGAAAACATTCTCAAATGATATCAGTATGCACTTTGGACTAAACAAGTACCGTGTTCTAAATATAGTCAGAGGAAAGGTCATGAGAATCTCTATAATATCATGCAAAAAGCAGTACTGCTCATAACATCTAGATGCGTAAGACAATTTTTGGGAGATACTCCGACGTACCAAGTCACCTAGGGCTCGATAACATGGAAAAAGTCCCACCAGATCTTAATCGTTTTGATACCGTAGGTATCTAATATGAGTGAATTTTCCCCTTAGAGAGTGTGAGCCAGATGGCTAAACTGGAAGACTTAACCACGTGTTGCCGCAAAGGACTGCGAATACCGTAATTGAGCAAGTTTCAGGAAAAAGATGATGAGTTGAGATCGCGGGTAGCTTCTTTTCGGGTGACTACATCCCGGAAAACACTACGAACCAGATGGGGCTGGTCGCGTGTACGACTTAGATATAATTCCTAGATGTCCATTTATTATTAAATTTAATACTGTCCATAAAAGTTGCGAAATTGCAATAATAATTATATTAGTAAATTATCAGATTATCCTGTATACATGGCAGTGTATACTTCAGTATAATCTCACACTCAAATCAACTTTATATGTGGAAATTTGACGATCTCAAAATCTGAATCTGAAAATAGTGCTAAAATCGGGCGAAACAGAAATATTCGTGCGAAAGTTTAAGACTTGACTAGAAATGAATGGGAATAAACTCTTTTAAATTGCTTTTTAACGTCTTATATAAGAAACCAGGTCGAAGGTTAACGTGGGTAAGTATTAAGGAAAAAACAAAGATAAACAATAAAAATCAACCTAGGCCTCGAAAGACACAGATTAACAAAAAATAAAAAACTGGCATATGGCAAAACCCAGAAAATTGCTGAGTAAATTTTTCTAATTTGCAAATGTGCCATTATAGACATATGACGGCACACTCTTGCAAAAAATACAAAGTTTGTGTGTTTTTTTTTATACGAAATAATTCGTTTTTAAAATTGTGAAATAATCTATCCTACTAAAAAAAGACGAAGATGGCCTGAAAAGTTTTAAAAGGGAAGTGTGTCCCAATTAAATTTAATAAGTTGAGAGTATTTCTGGTGAAAAATTAAGTTACATAAAAATATACAAGTTTTTTATTGACGTAAAATTAAAAAAAAATCAAAATATGCAAATATATTTGAAAGATACTTTGTAATTCTGACTTCTGAAGCTTCGAATCTTGACAACGTCAAAATTTACATCAAAACCATTATCATTTCTTTCAATCAACTCATATCTCATCTAAATTTCTGTTATTCATGAACAACTACCCATTTCTTGCCAACAATACCAACATACTCGATGAAACTTTTTATTCAGCAAGTAAGTATGTAGTTATTTAAAAGAAAATATGAGATACATTAAAGCATTTAGATGTTTATTAGAGGACTGCAAAACATAAACAAATATCAAATATTTAAAAATATTTATTTTGAAAAATAAATGTTAATTTCCAGTGATGCCATACCAAAAATATTTTATAAAAGAAGTTAACCATCAGTAATTAAAAGGTGCTTTTAAACGAAAAATGAAATAGTTTGGAAAAATACCAAATATATTTTAAGGTATTAGAACTCACACAGATAATTTTCTCAGACTGCTGAGTTAATACGTTACAAGTTAACTAAGTAAACCAAGTGGGCAAACTCAACAATTCCTACAAAATATCTACGATAAGAGAGTAATTAAGTAATATATAAATTATTAAAAAGGAGCAGAAATATCACTCATTGAAGGATTTGTGGGATTGACCAAAAAGAATAAATAGATCCAAAACATGATAAAAATAGATATACAGTACACTCGCGATTATCCGAGGTAATTGGGACCGTGACTACCTCGGATACCGAAAGAACTCGGTTAACACTGAGATTGGTTATATTGATAGAAAAATGTGTACCTATGTAAATAATGATTAATGTCTTTATTTTAATAACTAAAAACTAATATAAAAATAGTATAAAAGATAAAAAAAATTAATTTATAAATTTTACTGTTTAAAAAAGTCTTTGATTGATTTTTGTTTCAACTTCATTCCACTTTTTGGGACGGCGATGTTGCGCCAACGTTGAAAATGAAGGACGTCTAATGGTGTTGATTCTTCTTGTTGCTCAATGTATGCTAGAGTTGCTTCAAGGGACTTAAATCCTTCGGAATGAGAAATCTTTTGAGTTATCCCATCTGTATCTTCTTCTTCTTCTTCATGGGTGACCTTTATAACTAGATTGGCAATTGCATCACCTGTCAGTTCAATTTCTTCATCTAGATTCATCCTATCAATGATGTCTTGGTTTACGATTGTTTGTTCCACTGGTATTTGGTGGGCTATAGAATCAACTTCACAGTCATCAGTTTCATTTTGAACGTCTTGTGTTTTGTTGTCTATCTTAAATAATTTTTCCACGACTTCTGAGTAGTGGACATTTTTACGTCGTCCCAAGCAGATGCAATCCAATAGCAAACATCTTTGACCGTGATCTTCTTCTATGCCTCAATTACAGTCAGCCCTTCATCCAGTTTAGTTAGCACTACCTGAAGAAGCTTCCATCGATAATTCCTCTTCATTGCTTATATAACGCTTTGGTCTAGGGGTTGGATGAGAGATGTCATATGAGGTAGAAGAACCACAGCTTGTATGTCACCACTAATCAATTCCCTCACATATGGGTGGGATCGTGCGTTGTCCAACAACAACAAAGCTTTCCGGGGCAGATTTTGTTTATTAGGTAGGCATCAATGACTGGCACGAAGTCATTTAAAAACCAATCCTTAAAAGTGTTACCGTTTATCCATGCCGTACGGTGGTTGGGTAGGCAACCTATTTGGACATTTTTGAATACCCTTGGATTTCTGGATTTTTCTCTAGTGACTCTCTCTTTGCTTTTTTTGTAACCTGGTGCAGTCCCTTTATTTTTAGCAGCTAGTGTTTTCGATGGAAGCATTTTAAAGTTAAGGCCTGTCTCATCATAGTTAAATATTGGTCTGAAGTTAGTCCATTTTTAAGGATAATGTCTTGTAAAAATAAAATATTCCAATTTCAGTTGAGTCGGCACAAAGTTTTTCGCCACAAATATTCATTTGTCGGATGCCATATTTCTTCTTCCGTAAGTCAATCCGTCGTTCACTAGCACAAAAGTTTTCTCCTCCATATATAAACTTCTCGAATTCTTCTTCTTTTCTTGGAGTATTGGGTCATTTACCGGGCTGCTTAATCCTCTCATCTGTGAAAACCACAAGAACAACGCCTCAGAAGTTTGTTCATGGTCCGCTTTCTTCATAGTCTTCCGGGCCAATCCACTAACACCACTCACACTTCGGTTTACCCACTGTTCAATTTCATTCCGCTTACGCTTCCAATATCCAACAGTTACTTCTCCAACCTAAATCTGAAGCAATCTTCTTTATTGATTCACCCTTGTCCAACCTCTTAATTGTATTCACTTTTGTTTCCAAAGGTACAACTACTCTCTTCCGCTTTCCACTCATATTGCACAGAAATATGCTCTCTTACACTCACAAAAATCAACTTATGAAAAATTAATTATGAAACCGAAACTAAAACTGGAATAAATTCACAAAACCGTAGATAGATAGATCTTTATTTAAATAGGAATAATAACATAAAAGGAAAAATTTTACCGTACAGTTACTTAATTTGACGATCTCTGAACGACAGCAAACAAATCGGTAGTTCAATTCACATTGATTAACATAGAAAGGAACAGGAAGTTGTAAACAAAACACGACACAGAAATTTTTGCGCATGAAATCTCTTTCACATCAGCTTGACCTAAAGCATACCTTACACATAATTCTCTTCTTATCAATAATCCAAAATTTTTAATTGATTGCCCATATAACAGCTGCCGATATAACTTCTGACCATCGACCTTTTTTTATTACTCGGTATTGTGATTCAACAAGTAGGTAAATAAAAGTAAAACCAAGGCAAAATTTTGCCTCGGTTAATCGAGGGGCTCGGATAACCTAGACTCGGATAATCGCGAGTATACTGTATTGAATAGTTGGAAAACTACAACCAGATGTCAATTGAACTTATCAGTCCTTTTGTTTTTGTCTGGTCTAACTCTTGTGGTTATTATACACTGTGATATCCGATTTTTAGGCTGTTTTTTTTTGTACATTTGTTATATAAACGTATAAATGTATAATGTCTGCTTCCATCCGATAGATGTTTATGGTGAATGAATATCGTCCTAGCCCTTGATATTACTGCAATGATTCGAATTTGATCTTGCAATAAAATCACCTGTTTTCATATTATGCAGGGTGAGAGGGATGAGTTTGGACAGCGTTAGTCAATGTTCACTTTCATAATTTCCGATATTTTCAACGTCAGTATTAGCAATATGCAACAAGTAAATGATTTTTTTGGATTAGGCAATCAATGATACTATGAAAAATGAAAATGGCATGGAAAACTCTCCTGGCCATCCGAAGTAATAAATACGGTTATTTAAACAAATTTTAAGGGACATGCTACTTTTCATTTGATGTTCCTAAATGATTTTCAAACAATCCATTGTAATGTATATCTTTCAAAAACTACGTTGAGTTTTAGAAATATCAATGCCAAGGTATTATTTGAAAAGTCCGACAAAGAGTTTGCCACTGGATGAGGGATGCCACTGCTAATTGATGTAAAGGAAAATAAAATGAGCAATTAAATAAAAGAAGCAACAGTTCTAGGTCCTTTCAAGACGTCTTATAATAGATCAGACCATTTTAATATATCCAAAAGGAAAATAAAATTCCTGTAGTTGGCTGTACCTATACCATGAATTTCAACAGTTTTATTTAAAAATCCTTTATAAAAGGTATATAATTCAAAAGACCCTTTCGGCCTACATCTTAGAACTTTTTCGGACTAAAAAGTTAATTATCAGTGTATTATTACCAGGTATACATGAGTCAAGCCACTAAATATATGGGATACCCTGCATGGCAACGTAAGACTCCAAATAAGTGTTGTTGCTGACCCTCAGACCTTGGTTGAATTTGTTCTAGATGACAACTCAGTTTTTGCAACAACTGAGTTGCTATCTAGAAGCCATTCAGACGAGGTTGAGGGTAGCAACATATTGGGGAATCTTATGCAGTATATCTGTTAAATACTTTACAACAATCAACAAAAACGAAACATAAAACAAATTTTGTAACTTTTTAAGCGTTTTTACTCATATATTTAGTGGCTTGACTCATGTATCCCTAGTAATAGTACACTGATGATGGAATTTTTAGTGCGAAAACACTTTATTTTTACTGGCATATTGATACTATAGTATCGGCTGGGGCCGATGAGGCTCTGATTTTGGCGACGTTTCAAACAAAAGTAAGTTATAATTTTTCTCACCGAGTGAAGTGAGCTGCTTTAACCTTGGGTATCTTCGTACGGATTTTTGACGTACTATTTCTCTGAGAAGTAATAGTCAAAATAGACGTAATAATCTTTTTTCGACTTTGGTGGTTGAATCCTTTAGATATAATTTTAAAATCTATGTGTGATTAGAAAGGGATATCAATTGGTTTCTCTGGAGGCTTCTGGCTGTGTAGATAAACAATTAGATTGTGCTTATTCCTATTCAAAAATCTATAACGCAATTCCAAAGTGTTAAATAAAAACCTTATGAAATTTCTATGATATACATAGTGAATAAAAAAAGCTACAGGACTGATATCATGGGAAATGGCTGAAACTTCTGTCAATATCAAATTAGGGTTTAAATACAATTCGACACACCTTTAAAGAAGATGACTTTTTTTTTAATATGTGTGACAGGTCTGCTCTGCCCCACTCTGCAGAAAATAATGTTCCATTAGAAGATTCACCGATGGAAGCGATATTAATACTACATTTGGATAACCATTAGGGATACCCTAGTTGAATATGCCATCGTTGTCACTGTAGTCATATCTTCTATCAACATCATACCAGTCGCCTTTTGGACCACCTGAGACTTTTTCTCCCTATTCAAAAGCACCCATCGAGAAAACACGTGCAATGGGAGAAAACGAATAAAGTCAATGATTACAACACACTTAAACACAGCAATGAAACGAATACAAAGTCGCATTTTTGAAAAGACATTTTGTCTCTGTTAGAGTTTCTTTTAATTTAGAAACTGAAGTTTTTGTATCTATCTCTGATATATTATGCAAATTTCCTCGACCTCTAAAGGACATACAAGCGATTCTTAAACATGATGTATGGATCTTGTTAAATTTACCCTATAACAGAATAGGTACACTACAATTACTTCATTATGGTCTATTAATAATAACGTCAAGTGCATTCAATTTCCTGCTGGACTCTATCACTTTGACCCTTGTCCAATATCTCCCTATACTCTGTTCAGTGACTCCATCCCAGAAGGAGGGATAGACAATTTTAATCATCATCATCATCATTTGGTTCTAAAACTCTAGGTGAGTCTTGGCCGCGTTTTCTATTTCCCTCCATTGTTGTCGGTCCTGAGCAGCTATTTCCCACTTCTGCATTCCCATTTTACGTAGATCACTGGCTACTGCGTCCTTCCATCTCTTTCTTGGGCGGCCAACTGACCTTCTGCCATCGGGCCTTTCCCAGAATGTGGTGTTCAGAAGTCTTTCGTTATTTGACCTTAGGACGTGGCCCGCCCATCTTATTCGGTTTACTTTAATGTAGCGGACTATGTTTTCATCTCCATATATTGTCTGGAGTTCATTATTGTGTCTTCTTCTCCACTCTCCTGTTGTTTCCTCTCTACAAGGCCCATAGATAGTCCGCAGTATCTTTCTTTCAAGAACCAGTAATTTTGTCGTTTCCCGCTGGTTCAGCGTCCATGTCTCGCTTCCTTACGTTATTGTGGGTCGAATTATTGTCTTGTATACTCTTATTTTTGCTGCTCTTGAGAGTATTTTTGATTTAAGGATGGTCATTAAAGAGTAATATGTCCTGTTTCCTGTTATTATCCTGGCTGCCACGTCATTTTCATATTTGTTTTCAGAAGTTATGATCGCTCCCAGATACTTAAACTGTTTGACGATTTCGAAGTTATATTCGTTAATTGTTACGTTTTGCCTAACCCTTGGTCTTGAGTTCTTTGTAACTACCATGTACTTGGTCTTCCTCGTTTACCTTAAGACCAATTTCCTTGGCTCCGGTCTCGAATAAAGTGAAAACTTCTTTTGCAGCTCTGGTGGATTGTGCTATTGTGTCCACGTCATCCGCAAAGTCCAATAGTATTTTTGATCCTTGTGCGGCAAATCCGTTTGTCAATTGTGGCTGACTGCATGTTCCAGTGCGAAGGTAAACAGCAGGGGAGCGAGAGGATCTCCTTGTCTAAGCCCGGTGTCAATGTGGAATTCCTCCGACGTGGTGTTGCCAATTCTGATCCGTGCGGAAGCGTTCTCCGTGCTCACCTGTGCTAATCGTACCTGTGCTAATATAGACAATTTTAATGATTTGTCAAAACCATTTTCCAAGATAACAGAGATATCTACTTCGTTTGAAAATTAGTATAACATACTTAACATATTCATAAAAAATTAATGAACATTGCAATGATCCCCTCATGTTGAAAAAAATCATATGTAAAAAGTATTCACATTGAAGGCCCTTCCCTATTATATTTTTGTGAATATGCTCCGATTTCATCTTTTGCTCTACTTTTAAATGTAAATGGTAGTCTCTGCCCTATTTTTTAGCAAACAAAGTGATTTGTAAAGCTTTAAAAAGAGAACACCTAAAATACTTTATTGTTACAGCACCCACATATATAAATGGCCAAAATGTATTTTTATCTCAAGAAAAACAAAGAAAGATGCACGATACATTGAATACATCAATAGTTGGATTAGCACCGCCTACGAACTCTCCTCCTTCATTAAACATTTCTACACCTGCAAATTTTATACAGGCAGAAAGATACGTTGGTCCTTCCGGAGTTATATTTACGTTTCCTGCTCAAGTCGTTCGTCCTTCGATAGGAGCTCCTGGATTACCTCAACCATGGTCAGTACAATAAAGTTTGTTTTTATCGAAATATTTCGTGTCTTTTCATATTTGTTCAATATTATATTTCTAACTCACTTTAGAGAGATAGATAGAATAGTAAAGATAGACAGAAAGTAATTAATAATATGATTTTGGAAGCGCTTTATCTCATTATATGTAGCAATATTATACCACTTAGTGTTTTTTACAGTTATCCATGCATGTCAAGACCATGTCCCAACCCAATAATGCCGACGGTAAATTATCCTGCCCCAACGACCCCACAAGCACCAATCGATTCACTCCCACCAGCGATGTATCCGCAAATGCCCCAAATGAATCAGGAGCAGCTTTCCCAAAATCCATTTTACTTGCAAAACCAGCCTCTTCCATTCCACTATGATAAAGCTACGACTTCCTTCGATTTGCTGCCAGGAAACACGCAAGTACCGGGTTGTAGTATGTATTAATAATTCATATGACAGATTAATATTAATGAACATTGATTTTTTTTAAGGAGGTGCTCCTGATTTAAGTAATATTTCCGGTGTATTGTACCAGCAGGCTCAATTAGCAGGTATTGTAAATACGTCAAAAATATCTAACGAAAACAACTATTGTTCCTATTTCTTTAACAAAACTTTTCAATAGAAACTTGTTCTCCGAAAATGAAGATATACTGTTTGTTAAAAACAAAAATCTGCGTAGAAATCTAAGTAAGAACGTATCTGGAAAAAAGAGACGCATAATGCGTTATCTCTTTATACTACTACTATTGTATATATTTTTAGTTAGAGTAATATACTTAGGATCGAGGTTTTTGTTTCTTAGTGCGTGTATAACTTTACCGTGTTGGACGCGGTCAAACGCTCTTTGGCGATCTATGAAACATACGAATATAGGTACTTTTATATGTTCCCTGCATTTTTGTAATAGTGTGGTCATTGCAATCAGTGCTTCTCTTGTGACCATTCCCCTTCTAAATCAAAACTGTTGTAATTAGTCGGCACACATCGCAGGATTTAGAAAAGAACAAGGCACACCATGCGAATACGAGAAATTAAAGAAGAAGGCTGATGAATGCTAAGAAATCTAAAAATCTGAAAATCTAGAAAAGGGTCCAATGAAGCTGATTATTATTAAAACAATATTGGATTGAAGATAATGCCATCATATACATGTTGTTTTTATACCTATGCCTTTCCATTTTTATAGTCTAAAATTATTTGCCTGGTCCTTTATGCTAAAATGTATTTTCTATAAGCAAAGGCTTCCTCTTTTATATAGGTACTTTTATTTATATGTTATACACTTGTTCTTATGGTGCCCTATCCAATTGGTGGATGTTGGCGACAATTCTGGCATACTCCTCTTGATCTTGTGTGGCTTTAAAGAGTGCATGGGCATCGAGGTTTGTCCAATCCCTTATGTTCTTAAGCCATGAGTATTTCTTTCTTGCCCCGATGCCCCGTTTACCTTCTATCTTCCATTCCATAATAAGCTTTAAGAACTGGTACTTGGAATTTCGAAATATATGACCCAGATAAGCAGTTTTCTTCTTTTTATTATTGGCAGCAATTCTCGTTCTCTACCCATTTCGATTTAATACTTCGACATTTGTTGTGTGATCTGCCCAGGGAATTTTAAGTAGTCTTCTAAATACCCACATTTCAAAGGCCTCCAATAGGTTTATCACATTGGCCTTTATGGTCCATGTTTCTACACCATATAGCAGTATGGAGTTAATATAACATTTTACAAAGCGATATCGAAGCGTTAAGTTAAGGCTGCTGTTGCATGTTATACACACCAAATGCCTTTGTGAATGACCGAACATTTATAAATTTTATTATAGTTTCGGAGTATCACCGGTGTATGTCGACAAACGCAAATGAGTTTCAGTGAATGTCGGAAATAAGCGGTTGTAACTGGTTCTTGACAGTTTTTAAGTGGCATGTTTTATTTCTTGTTGTCTTCGGTCAGTCTTACGCAAGATTTAAAAGAATGTGCTAAGTTGATTTTATATTAGGCATTATTATTATTTGTGATCAATGGCTACTGAAGTAAATCGCGATCAATTTTTTTTTTAAATTACATGCCCTAATTGAAAGTAAACGAGAAGATAATTTTTTCTATTTTTTTCAAGAAAAATACTCTAAAATAGAGTCGGAAGTGAATTCTGTTAAAAATAAGTGCAGTACCTACAGTTTTGGACTACAGGCGTTTAAAACGTTTTGATATTTTTAAAGAATAATGATGACTTATGAAGCTGTAATGTTAATTACTATTAAACTGGGAATAAGCCACAATTAAAGATAAAAATACGTTTATTGACGTTTCAATTTCCACTTCGGAAATCGTTCTCAAAATACAAACAGTAAATTAAGCAAATTTTGTTTTTTGTTACATAGTGAAAAATTCTTCTAATAATTTAATTTTATCTGACTCATTTATATTGACAATTCAGACATACATTATGCATTTTAAAGTAGACGACTTTAAAATGATATTGCCAATATTGTTGAGTTGCGCTCCTGGGACGACTTTACTTATAAGATAGTTCATTCGATTACATGAAATCAACTTTAACTTGAGAATATCCGTCAGAATAAATCATAGCATGTATTTCGTCTTTAAAAAGACAAACACATGACATGATGACAGTAAAATTCTCCTGTTAGTGATTCCATAGTAAATTATGAGGGAAAACCAGGAAAAAAACCTCATAATACTATCCCGACATTGTAAGTATTTGTTCGTGAATTTAGTTTACCTTCAACAAACATCAAAATTCTGATTTTATATGTTACGTTATTTAAAACACATAAATGATGTATCCTCTATATCCACAAGGAAAAAATTCCTGTAGCTGGCTGTATACCACGTATAACAAAAAGAGGTTAATCTTTGTAAATGGGTATATTTATTTAAAAAACCCTTAAAAGGGCCACATCAATAGAACAAACGTTTTCGGACTACACAGTCCATCATCAGGTTATTAAAATCGAAAATGCTAGGTCATAATGCCTGAGCCACCAAAATATTAAGGTAAAAACCCTTTAAATTACATTTAGTTATGAAATGTTGTACATTGTCTTATAAAATAACTGTGATGTTATATATTAAATTAAATTTGACCAAAGGTAACACATGGCTCAAATGGGTTCCAGAGCCGGGCGAGAGACAACCTCTGCACTCGGAGAACAACGTGGAACTTGGAGAGTTTTTTTTTTTTTTTTTTTTTTTATCCTCTATATGTTACTGACTTACTAATACTGGTATTTTCTTATTAATAACTTCCTCTTTCAATATTGGTAACCAGATCCTACTACATTCTGCCGAGGAATTTGCGACACAATTGGCCTCATTTAGCATAATTAGAGCCGCTTCTTTGATTTTTCTTTTTTTACCATCCGTTTCTTTTAGGACTACATTTGAATTACTCCATTGAACCCTATGTTCATTATTCCATGCGTGTTTACAGATTTGAGATCTATCAAATTCTTTATTTTTAATATAAGATTGATGTTCACTTGTTCTAACATTTAATGGCCTTGATGATTCACCTAAATAAAACTGATCGCATTCACAAGGTATTTTGTAAATGCAATTCTTTGTCCTTTCTTGTTCATTGTTAGGTTTGGTTTTGGACAAAATAGATCTCAACGTGTTTGTTGTTTTGAATGTTGTTGAAATGTTGAATTTATTTCCTATCCTTTTACACTGTTTGTATTTTGAGAACGATTTCCGAAGTGGAAATTGAAACGTCAATAAACGTATTTTTATCTTTAATTGTGGCTTATTCCCAGTTAAATAGTAATTAATTTACAATGCCACAAGAAAATAGCTTCAGAACAATATTAAGCTGTAATGTTATATTTAAATTTGTGTAAACAGTATCAAATGAAACATAGTACTGAGAGAAAATGCGTTGTGGTGAAACCAATGATAAGTTCTGAATTTAACTCTAGATTTCAAGTCGACTTAATATACTTGCAATCACATAGAGACGGCGATTATAAATTTACAATGGTATACCAAGACCATTATACCAAGTTTGTTCAGCTACGGTAATTGAAAACCAAGAGAGCGGAAGAAGTAGCTTACCACCTTTTTAATTTTTTTTAACATTTGATGCTCCTGCCATATTACATTCGAATAATGGTAGAGAGCTCATTAATTGAGTTATATCTGAGCCAAACCCAAGGATCGGTAGAAAGAGCCAATCAGAACATACAGAACATGTTAACTGCCTGGATGCAAGATAATGATTCAATTAAATTGTCAGAAGGTTTTCCGTTTATTCAATTCCCCAAAAACATAACTTATTACGAAGGAATACGCCAGCGTCCATATGGGGCCCTGTTTGACATTAAAAGAAAAAAGGGCCTAGCGTCGTCGTCTCTCCTTTACGGTAAAATTGAAAATACTGAAAGTGAGGAGCAGCAATGGGCCTATCTGAATACTTTTCAAGAAAATTCGATTGCAACAGATCTGCAAACTATCAGGCCTATATCTCAAGAGCAACTGATTCGCAGTGTAGCACTTCTCCATCTCAAGAAATAGTCATTCCGCAGCTCAGCACGTGTTCATGCCAAGTACTAACAAGAACAGTGCGAGCAAATTTATTCAAAGCGAGCAGCTGCAAAAGATAATTTTTTATTTCAAGCAACAAAAATGTTGCGAAGAAAAAAGTTCGCTCCGGCCCAAATAGGTGGTACTGTGAGAATTAAAGTGCCTGATGTTGATTGGCTGTACGTGGTCGCACAGACCCACAAAATGTGTTAGCGGTTGTTGTTAAAATAGAGGATTCAGACTATTATAAATTAGTAAACAAAAAAAGTACCTTCAAGCAGCTTTTCACACGTAATCACTTTGCAATTTGTAAAAGAAAATTACTTTCCATGGATGAGACTAAAACTGATAAAATTTCGTCAAAAGAAGCAGCTTGTGCTAATTTGAATGCATTCACTATTTATTGCGTCTAGTAAAGTTTGTAGTTCTTCTATACTCTCAGAGATAATTACCGTGTCATCTGCAAATCTCATGGTGTTTACGATTTCTCCACCAATTCTTATTCCCTCTTTTCTTTCCAATATACACAATGAATATTTTGAATTTTCAATTTTTTCAATTTTTTTTTTTAGATTATCACAATCGAACTGCTGGTACATTACAAAATACAAATTGCGGATTATTTTCTGACATGTCTCCAGATCCTTGCCGCTATTCTGTAAGTATCATTTCGGTTCTACAGTTTAGTTTAGATTTTAGTCTAAGGAATTTCTAATAGAATAATATTACAAGAAGATTTATTCATTAGAATGCTTAAAGAGGCTTAATCGAGAGGGGAAATTTAAAGGAATAACCCGATCGCGTACATTTTCAGTGTATTGTCATAATATTCATAAAACTGTTGGCAAGCAAAATCGGACTTTAAAGTGGAAATAGAAGTACCTTGCTAGGAGACTTTCTTAATTACTAAAAATGGCGGCCAGAGGCCACTTTGCAATATAATGTTAAATGGGATCAGATCTTTTAATCACGTCGTTGAAAAGTACTTAAAACGGCATTTCATATGATGTATTACTGGATTAATAAATTCTAATGATATATTACTAATAGTAAACAAATAGTAAACAAATTTTTGTATTTTTATTTAAGAAATCATATTTTAATTCTTATTTGATACTACATTTGATTTGATACCCAGTTCCACGCAGGGAACCTGATACCTTCATCGCTGTCTTAATATTCGTATTTATCAAACTCGAAAACTCCCCAATAATGACTTTTGATTGATTTCAAATCAAAATAACATAAAACTTCAAAAGACCCTGGTTCACCCTGGCCACCAGGTATCTCGAGAACCATTGCTGTCATAGTATTTGTATTCAGTGACCTCGAAAATTCCCGAGTAATGACTTTCGACTGATTTCGAATGAAAATAACATGAAACTCTAGTAGAAGACATCCACCCTGAGCAACAGTTAAATCGAAAACCACCGTTATTACCATATTCATGTTCAAAAACCTCGAAAACCCCTAGTAATGACTATCGACTGATTTAGAAAGAAATTAACATACTCCAGGAAATGAGGCCATCCTGGGAACCACGTAGCTTGATGACCATCGTCGTTATCATATTCGTATTCGAAAATCTTCTAGTAACAAAATTTATTTCATTCCTGTCCATATTTTATTGCAGAATTGCAAATTTTTCATTTTCTACGTACTTAGGAAATGCATTTTCCTTATGAACAAAATAGAATTTTCATTTTACCACCATGAATTTTATTCACAAACTCTCCTGATTTTTTTTCCGAATCAAATGCAAGAAGTTTCACAGCGATTTATCTTGCGGCAAAAAATTGGTAGGTTTCGTGCTTAGTTTCCTCGCCTAATATGGTTTACCTCGCCTACTTAAAAAATTATGAATTCTTTCTACTTATTCGTAAATCTCTTCCTAAAGATTTTTTAATGTATACTTGAATAAATTGGTGAAAGATATCCATAAATATTTTAGCAACGAAGACTAAGACTGAAGGCAACAGCAATCCATCCTCAACAGCATGTGGCTGATATCCTTGACAAACCGGCTAGCTTTTCAGACGACCAGACAAAGAAAACTGTAACATTTGCTAGTTGTACACAGGTAGACACAGCCGAAAAATCGGAACAAGTTTGGTTTCCTTGTTTCTGCCCTAAAGGTAAGACACCCGTGTTTTCTTATTATAGTTTTTTACTGAATGTTCGTAATGAATCTGCAAATAGAGCTAAAATTAATCCTATTGCAAGAATTAATATTAAACTTGAAAGTCTTCCGGGTTGAACGGTGTCAATTATCATTGCGCCGAACTTTCGGCATATTCTTCGATGTCTTCTTCAGAGCTTTCGAGGTCTCAGTCTCCCGAGCCGCCAAACACTACTACACCAATCACTAACCAATGCAGAATTATTAATGCTTGGTAATGTAGTAAATTAGTAATCAATGATTAGCAGACCAAGTGGTATCAGTAAAACATTCAATATTACATTAGAAATCAGCGCCAAATAAGCCTTTACAACAAACCCTCATATCTTGTCTGAGAATAGGCCACACCGCCATCACCCATAAATATCTGCTGGAGTGCTATGTATGTGATATTGTGCTCAGTGTTAGCCATATTTTACTGTAGTGTCCTTTATGGAGAGAATTTAATATACATTAATAATTTAATATTAATTTATAAATAGATATGAAGATACCTTGCAAGCAATGAAATGACGGGACACGGGACTGATTTGTTATCATACTTATCTATCTATACAAAAAGGAATGATGACGATGAGTCACACGTTTTGTCTGGACGTTTGTCCAGTAAGATAACTACGCCACCTAAGAAGGAAATCTGAACTACCAACATTTGACGTTTCAATCATATTTTGTTTTTGAAACGATACGGTTGATTTATTACTAATTCATTCTACAAATTGATGATTCAAATGTTGTTAATTAGAAATTTTACTACTTTACTACAGTATTAAATTTTTTCGCAACATTGCTAAAATATTGGTTACTAAGATTAATGACATATACTATATATTTATTATATGTCATTGGGTAAGATAAACATACTATCAAATTAAATTGACGTTTAACAAACGTCAACGTTTTACCAAAATAAAATAAAATTAAAACTAAATAAAATTAAATCAAGTTTTACAAAATTACGTAAAATTAAATAAAATTAAGCAAGATTAAATAAAATTAAGTAAAATTCATAGCTCTAAAAACGCTGTATATACACCGTTTCTGCTTAATTTCCCGTGTAAAATCCCATAAGAAAATGCTAAGGTTCATTCTGTTCATTTGGTGGGGGTAGAATAGTTCTACGGATCGTGACGTATGTTACATGATTGGAAAGAAGAGCGGGTAGCGAATATGTTGATGAGACAGAAAAACACACATTGTGCCATTGCTAAGGGGGCATTACGTCATATCTCTTTTGTTATTGGCCCGATTGGAACGTTTGATACGTTCCAATGAAACGAAAGGATATTACGAATATATTAAGATAGAACAATACACTACACAGTATCTTCATTACTAATGAAAGTATAGTGACATACGAGTTATCACAGGGCACTATAGATAAAAATAGATTTACAATAAGACAGGTTTTGATTTATTGACTTAAAGAAGGCCTCTGGATGAGTACAAAGTAAACAATTGATCCTAAAATGCGATATATCAAATTAAAGAGGCGGATTTAACAAATATATTTAGATAGAAAAAACAAACATGGCAACTGCTAAAAGGGCACTACACAGTATCTTCATTATTAATGAACGTATAGCGACATATGAGATATCATAGGGCACTATAGATAAAAATAGATTAACCACTAAGACAACTTTTGATTTATTGACTTAAAGAAGGCCTCAGGCTGAGAACAAAATAAACAACTGATCGGATATACCGAATATATTCAGAAGGAAAAAAAACAAACAAAGAGACTACCAAAAGGGCACTACACATCATCTTGGTTATTAATGAACGTATAGCGACATACGACATATCGTATGACATTATGGAAGATAATAGACATATTTGCTTTATATATAAAGCATAAGAATGTCTTTGACTGATTACAAAATAAATAACTAGCCTAATACTAGCATATGTAGCCAGCTGTTGACAAATTAACAAAGCATACGTTGTTTACCTACTTCTGACGTTCTGACAGACCTGTTAAATTCAAACGAAATATTAAATATAAATAAAATATAAATAATTATAATTTGATAGTAAATTTAATTAGTATATACACTAAATAATATGTTTAAAAATAATAATTGCATTTATATGAAATTATTTAAAGCGAGACGTGTTAAAAATTTAAACAGATGATTCAATATTGTTATTAATCGGATGAAATGTATGACTTCTAAACTTTGACAATCGTTGCAAATAGAATATTTTATTGACAAATATTCTTTTAATTTTTTACTTCTCATTTAATGTGTGTATAATATTAGTTATTTTTCATGCAGTTTTTAATTTAAACCTGATCAGAATAAATATATGATGACTAGAGAGGAATTAATCGAGAGTAGTGAATCGATGTAAAGAAACGGTATTTTAGACACTACACGTGACGACACCATCTTGTGGCGCTAGTTCTGTGACGCCCAGCTTAACATTTTACTATAGGAAAAAAGTAATACAACGCTAGTATAGAAGCTTTGCTTAAAAAATATCTTAGAAATATGTATTTATATTAATTTTTATTTATTGTAACATTCAGTTCATTGCCCTTTTAGATACATTTCTCTCCTATCTATTCCAATTATTATTAACATTAAATTTGTTATAGATAAACCTGATACGAAGTCTAATGAAGCAAGCAGTAATACGGACGAAACTTGTGCAAGTAAAGTGAAAAAATTTTTTAGAAAATCGCAAAAGAAAGATTCAAATGACAAAATTACTACCGGCAAATCTAAAACATCGTCTTCCAAAGAAAGAAATAAAAAAAGAGCAAAGAAAACACAAAAGAAACAGCAATATGAAGATTCCGATTCATATACATCCGATTCGGACGTCATCTGCAAATGCTAATTACTGGTATTGGTAAATTCTTGTTTTTAAATTCTGATAATAGCACATTCAATACATAAATTCGTTAACTTCATGAAACAAAACTTTTTTTTATTATATAAATACAACTGATAATAAAAAACTGTCATTTAATTACTTCTTTTTCTTCTTCAATTCCATGCTTACGGAATTCCATGTCATATACTTCTTGTTTCTTTCGGTTTGTCTTGTAATATCAAGTCTTGTCTTGTAATGCTCTGTGTGTAATGCATAGGGGAGCCATTCCAACAGTGAGACAGTTTTTTTTATTTTAGTGTATTTTTTTTTATCCATCCAAAATGAAAAAATTAAACGCCAGCATAGGCGTTGACATTTATATTAATCTCTCTGCAAGTGAAATAGTTGTAACTTTGAAGTTTGATATATTTTTTTCAAGAATATAGATAGGAGCATTTGTCTAACTGTAGGACACATAATATGCCTTACAGTGACACACTTTAAATCCAACAGTGAGACAGGGAAAATAAATGAAAATATATAATCTAGAATATCAAAAAATCTTATTTAGACTGTTGTGTTTTGAAAAAGTTTACTGAGGATATTATTGAGATTAATATATCATTATTATAACATAATTTTGATATTGATTGTTGCGAACATAGTTTATAAATCATGTTGATTAAAAATAAAAGACACTTCCAAAATAAACAAAAAAAGATACAGAATATAAAAAATGAGTAAACATAAAAATATAATATCTAGGTATGTATCTACCTAATGTCCATTAATCCAAAATCTATCTCAAACGTAAAAGAAGCCATCTGTCGGCTAGTGTGCCCACAAGGAATTGGAGGTGGCATGATGAGCTTGATATCTTTTAAAGCAACAATAGCTTCATCTGGAATATTGGGAAATACAAATTTGCTGGTACCCTTCGTTTGTTTTCTAAGATACGAAATTTCATACTCTTCTGACTCATTTATTTTCAGGACTTTTCCAACATAATACACCTTCTTCTTCTCCAACTTTCCAGGAAAATCCACGAGCACAAAGTCATTTTTTATTGGCTTTCTATAAAGCTCCTCAAATCCATTTGGATTGATTGTATAGTAGCAGTCATCCCCTGAGGATGAACCAAGTTCAAGTTCCTCCTCTGAGCTTTCAGAACTATCTTCAAATATTTGTTTCTTGACTCTTTCTACTTTTTTTACTTCGATTTTATCATTTTTTCTTTTCTTCGTAATGCTCAGTTCTTCTATGGCATCTTTTTCGGGTGTGTCAGTAGCTATAATACTTTTGCCAGTTCTTCGCGTATTTTTAGTTTTGCGCTCTCCTGCTTTTGGAAAGCCCTTAAATTCTTCTGGGCTTTTAAAACATCTGTGCCAGTCTTGCCATTTTTATAGTTCTGTTGATTGCTATTTTCAATACTGGTGTCTAAGGTAGCATCATTTTCTATATCCGATATATTTTTTTGAATATTGTCACTCACGGATATTTTATTTGTTGATGTTGATCTACTTGGTAGATCGATGGACTTTTTTGGCTTTCATCATCTTTTAAATCGCGAACGGTAAGAGCTCTTGGTAGAAAATCTATATCTGTGAAGACATTGGCCTCGTATGGATATATACCATACTTTTTGAATGCATTTATAATATTGCTTCTCGGTGTGAGAGCTTTTCCATGAGCAAAGCCGACACACTCAGCTACCTCATATATGGTGAACGGCTTACCTGGATGTTGCATCATCCAGGTATCTACAAATGCAGTATAACATGTTGATAAAGCTTTGAATACTCCCACATCTAGTGGTTGCATCTTATTTGTGGAATGAAGAGGAAATGTTAAAATTGTTACTCCGTTGTCTTTGGCCAAATTAAGAACACGAATACTAAGATGACTTTCATGATTGTCATAGATTAAAAGCGTTGGATTTTCTTTGACGTAAATATTGAGCCTGCACATTCGCTGTTTTACTAGAATATACATCTTGACAAGCCACAACTGTCTAGTATATTACCTCAGATACGTCAATTTTGTACATTTGCTACTTTACCAGTTTGGTCACGATGTGTTACGCTTCCCGATCTTGTGGTGTAAATAGACTTATTATGATCTATGGGTGTAACACCATCGTTCTTAGGGATGCATGTTACAGTAGGACAAGTGTTGTCTAAACCATGCGCCAAAGACCTGGTAAACTCTGGAGTATTATATCCTTAAAACGGTATGGGTTCATTGCCTAGAAGAACTACTTTATTTCATCTTTGGTCTCCAAGTGAGAAACCGTTTTAGACGGTTAGCATTTGTATTTTTAAATGGCGTGAAGTATTCGAAACGTCAAATAAAGTAGTTTTAATTGTACAAGTGTGGTTTATTCCTATTATACATTAATTACAAGCGTAACATAATTGGCAAAACGGGCAATTTTATATATCTATATTTAGTTGTAGCACTTACATACGGTGTGTAAACGTTATTTACAACTATCACAACTGTCCCCAAAAACATATTGTAACATAATATTTGAATCACTTCTATTTTAGTATACTCTAGAAATCAAATGTATTTTTCACACGTTTCGTCTAATTTTGTGCGTTACCAGCTGCAATAAAAAAATATTTTATTATCATTTTATGAGGTAAGTTGAAAATATTATGTTAGCGTATATAGTAAGGTATATTTTCATATATGAACTTATGACTTATAAATGGATAAATCTTTTTAGTAACTTCGTGATACAAAATGCTTCCATAGATATATGGAAGGTATATTGTAGATATAAATCAAATACAGGACTAAATTTAGACGTCATATTTACACAGGTTCTTCAGGACTTTAATATTCTGTAGCTCAGAACGCGATATGGTTTGTAGTATGACGGACCGTGATCATTCCGTGTTGATTTTGTAATCAACAAATTAACTGATAGAGTCCATTGAAAAGTTATATTTAGGTTGCATTTTTTAGAAGACGCAATTTTATTTTTTTGTTGTACAGGGGGGTATGGTATAAGCTAAAGTTCAGTTTGAGGGTTGGCACCCTTGTCCCCGGCCACCATATTGGAAAAAGGGGTGCAATGAATTTTCGCGCTATATCTCGCAAACCAGCAACCTTACAGAAAATTGTATCAGAGACTATTTGTCTTCTTTTTTTTCTTCTACTTCTTGGAGATCTTTCGATCTGTTTAATTTTGAACCTGCCTCTGGTTAATTTCCTGGTAGGTAGATTGCCAACTATCCCTCCATCTTTTAGAAGGTCTTCCGGGAGGTCTGTTTTCTAGGGCAATTTTTGGTAGTCTATTCTCATCCACTTCACGCACTTCTAAGTCCTATGTCATGATCGGTCATATGCAAGTCTTGTAGATTCTAATTTTACTATCTATGCGCATATACGGAGTTAACTAGACTATCTCTCGCAGACATCCTAACAATGCAGATGCTTTGTTGATCTGACTCCTTAGGTTCTTTACTGGGTCGTGTGTGCTTGATATATCTATGCCCAGATATCTGAATTGCATCACCTGTTCTAGGGGGTTGTTCTCAACCAATAACTTACATCTGAGCGGATCTTTTGCTATTGTCATACATTTAGTTGTGTTGGTAGAAATGGTCATATATAGTTGACGGCTTATTTAAAAGAACTGAAAGAGCTGTCTCTGAAGATCATCTTCTGATTCGGCAATAATTGCTGCATCATCTGCGTAACACACCATACCAATTCTTTTGTTGCCCATTCTGTATCCGAGATTGAGAGATGTTACTTTATTTATAATTTTGCCCATGATTAGGTTAAACAAAAAGGGGCTTAAGCTGTCGCCTAATTCCTTCCGCTATTGAAATATTTTTAGTGAATTGGTCTTCTGCTCTAACTTTGGTTACATTGTTGTTATTTAGGTTATGGACTATCTTTGTTATGTTGATTGGTGTTTTATTTTCTATTAATACATTTAGGATGTCTCCCAGGCGAACCCTGTCAAACGCCTTCGCCAGATCAATGAAGCAAATATACGCTGGCATGCCGAACTCTATAGCTTTTTCTTCTATTTGTTTCATTATGAATACTGCATCTGTTATAGACCGCCCTCTTGTAAAACCTTGTTGTTTTTCAGCATTAGTGATTTGCCTTTCCAATTTGTCTTTCCAATGTTTTAACTTTGCACGATGAAAGTCAGGTTACGAGTAATGAAACAGAAAAATATTTTAAAAAGTAGATTGCCATGGCAGAATCAAACCACTACAACAGGTTGTATTTTTTCGTTTAAACGTTAGAGATGTCGGGAAGAATATGGTAGTATACGAACAAGTTTAATACGACAGATCCTCGAGAAAACATTAGAATTTAACCTATTCGTCTACTTTAAGGCCGCATACGACAGTGCAAAGAGGACATTAGTATACCAATCAATGCGCGAGTTTGGTATATCAGAAAACTTATTCGATTAACAAATGACATTGCCTAACTTAAATGTCAGCGTTAGGATACAGGGAGAAAATTCTCGATCCTTTGAGATAAAGGATGGACTCAGACAAGGGGATGCTCTGGCTTGCCTTCTATTTAACATTGCCTTGGAAAAGGCAGTCTGAGAAGCATAAATTAGAAACGGCAGTACTATTTACAATAGATTGATACAAATCTTAGCATACGTTGATGACATTAACATAATAGGGCGTAGCAAGCGATATGTTGAACAATATTTCCTAGAATTGGAAACGGTTACGAAACAGGCCGGTCTAGTTATCAACGAAGACAAAACCAAGTACATGTTGGTTACTAAGGATCCTATAGCAAATGAGGAACGGAAAACAGCATTTGGAAGTCATATCTTTGAGCGTGTTGACAGCTTCACATACCTCTTCACATACAACCAATAAAACAAGCGAAGAAATTTACAGAAAGACGAATAAACTTTACAGATAGGGCATACTATGGACTCCAAAAACAATCCCACTCGGAAAATATTCAAACAAAAACTAAAATTATTATATACGAAACACTGCTGAGGCCGATCCTCACATACGGGTCGGAAACATGGACTCTAACGCAGAGGGTTAAAAGACTTGTGGAAATATTTGAGCTTAAAATACTCCGCAAAATATTTGTAGCTATAATCGATCAAGGACAGTGGCGCAAATGATTTAATTTCGAATTATATCAACTCTTTAATGAACCAGATGTCGTAACGTTCATTGAAACACAGCAACTTAGATGGACTGGACACAGAATACGAATGCCTGATAGTATGATTGCTAAAAAGCTAACGACAGGAACACCTGTAGGAAGAAGAAGCAGAGGCCGACGGCGAATTAGGTGGTTAAATGAAGGTGAAACTGACCTAGGGATACTAGAAATCAGAAACCGAACAGAATGGCGACTAAACTTAGAGCAGAACTACACAGAGGATTGTCGTGCCAAAGACGATGATGATGACGAACATGTTTTTAATCGATTAGTGTGAGCGCAATGATGAAGATTCTGTATAGAATTTTCCCAATTCCAGTATCATCATATTTACTACCAAAAAAAATTTTTTAAACGTATGGAATTAAACTTTGAACTACAATATCGATTACGGTAGATTATAACTTCAGAAAACTAGGTGAATATTTTGACAAACTACTATATTTATTATTTCTATTATAAAAAATTACGAAAATGAACAATGTATAGAAAATATTGATGAATTTAAAATGATGATTATAAACAAATTTAAACAATATGTTAGTTATTTTATGTAGCTGAATGTATTCGTTAATGTTGACATTAAAAATTGCTTACTGAAAGCAACTAATCGTCAAAATATAAATAATTTGTTTACTAAAGTAATAGTTTTTTAAAATAGCTCATTACTTTTTATCATAAATGTATTTAAAATATCTCAACGCTTTTGATTTAGAACAAAAATGTGCTGATGACAGTATTGTTATTTTTCATTTTGTGGTAAGTAATAATAATTGTTTATACCTACTTTTATAGGATCGGTATTTTATTAATAGTATAATATTAATAAAATATTCATTATAAATATATATAATTAGTAGTATATTATTTTATATTACTTAATAATACTCAGGAATGACACGGTGGGGCAGTGGCGGCGCAAGATCATAATTTTATGTGGGCAAGAGACATGTTGCAAGGCCCTTTGCTCTCGCATAAAGACAGATTTTTTTAAATAAAAAACATGTGCCATTTCATTATTAAATTTTATTCATACAAAATCTAGTCAAACTTACAAACCTAAAAATATTTACGAAATTAAGACCTACCAACGTTAAAAAACAATTTTATTTAAATTAAACAAATAAATTTTTACACTGCTGACTTGTTTAATTACGTGCTCGTAATAATATAGCTCCTAGACTCCAGCACAGATCAGAGGTAATGTAAGTCAACAAAATTTCACCAGCTCCTGGGGGACATGTTAAGTGCCCCCAGTTGTAGTTTTTATTAATTACCGAAGTTAAATGCATTTACCTTTGTAAATTCCACGAGGATTTTTTATTTCTGATGTCCTTCTAGTGTTTTTCTGTGGCCAAACAATGTTTTTAACAACTTTTTATTAAACTGGTGATGGAATGATTTAATTCCGAAAAGATCTTCTTTAAAATAAAGTTTTAAGCTTTTAATAAGCATTTTTTTATACCTTGATGCACACGAACACCACGTGCTTTGTATTCAACAGGTATACTAACCACTCCTGGATATCTCCACTTAATGGTTTTGTTCCAGTTTCATTTTGAATTTTAAATAGAACACTCTGTATATTAATTAACTTTTAGATTCCTCAGATCATTTTAGATATTTTTTGTCTATTATATGTCCTATACATATCTTTGACTGTTTCGGAAATATTAAGTAAAATGTAAAAATTCACATTTAGAAAAGAAAATTATATATTTGTCGAATGTCGCTACCACTGTCTAAATACTTGCCCATTTAGGTCCTTTAGGTGTTTCTTCAACATCATATAGCTCTTTAAAATGCTGTTGTCATGTCTCTCTAGGTACTCCCTTAGTCTGCATGAACTCTTTAACTGGTTTTTTCCTGTTCCGAAGCATTTTCCATTCTTTTTTTTGGGCACCATGTAGGTCGTAGTCCATGTCGCTGGTGAATTTAGCCCAATGTTCTTTCTCTTTTGATTGATTTTATTCTTTCGTATATTTTGAGCCCACCTGTTAAAATATTTAAAATTATTAATAAAAAACCCTGTATAACCAAGCTGCATCCACGACGACGACATGGGTTGAAAACTCTTTATTATTTTTGAATCCTTATCTATAACTTCGAACTTGGAATGATTTACTTTAATCTTCATCTACATTATGATTCAATATATTATAATACGACAGGTATATCACCTACTTATCAAAGATTGGATATTTATTCCCTTAGTTACAATTTGTAATTTTCACACACGCTAAAATTACTGCTCCTTTTGATTGAAAAAAATTTGGCACCAAATTTCGGGGATATGATATTATTGTTATATAAAAACTAATTGAAAAACTATTCAAAAATATAAACAGTTAATTACGTACTCGTAATACGAATAGTTTACTACAGTTTTGTTACAACTGCAACATTTGAATATTTCAGAAATATTGAACACTTATTTTCTTTCGATAATAATATTCAAGTAACTAAGGTACTTAAAACCCTGTTGCGCAAGCAATCATATGTTTAAACTTTAAACAAAAACAGTTCACCTCATATGACTTATCCTTGAAACAAAATTTGTAATCATAGAGACGAGATAAATTTGTATATATTATAAAAGTGTTGTTAATTGAAAAAGATAACCATTTCGCTGCCGTAGTGTTGCAAGGTGACAGATCTGCAGGCTAAAGAAAATGAGCAAGTCACTGACGGGAGAAAATTTGAAAATCGCCTCTTTGGACGTCAAGGATGTGCGCTTTCCAACGTCCCTCCAGGCTGATGGATCCGATGCTATGGTAAGTACTTTCTTTTTCTAATTGATTTAAATTAATAACATAAAATTTTATCAGAAGACAATTAAATGTGTGTTTAATATACTAGTTGTTATTATATATACATCACAAATATTAAATATGAATAGAAATCCGTATTCAGAATTTCTTTTTGTATTGTATTATATGTACAAAAAATAACTTTTCAAATCTTAAAAAACGAGTAGCTACATTCCATTATATTTCTCTTTCTTCTAGCCTGCATGCTATTCTTTTATACTTTTCCGTCTATTACGTCGTATGTGTATTTGGTATTTGGTCCGGGTGTAACCCAAATTTAATATAATTCATTTTTATTATATCAATAGCATCATATATTAGCTTTTTCTTTCACTACTAAACTACTATGTTCCACCAAGTTCCAAATGTCTTTTGGAGCTTAATGTCTCTCAAAATATTTAGATGTTTTCCTTCTATGTATTTTGTTTGTAATATTATGATATATCTTCATTTATCTGTGAGTTCTTTTTCTTTTGCTTCTTTGATTTTTCTTCTAATTTGGTTATTGATGAACCTATATCTATGCATGGACTGGATATAAACACCAAAAAAACCAAGGTAATGATCTTTAACAAGGAAAACATAACTGGAGCAAATCTGTTTGTGAACCACATAAGAATTGAACGTGTCTTACAGTACAACTACTTGAGAACAATAACCAATGAGTCGTGGGGCAATACCATCGAGCAAAAAGATAAAAGAGGGAATCTAATCGTTATGAAAAGGAGACCAAAAAAGTGGCCTCTGATGGCGGACATATCCGGAAATGCAAAGGCGCTAAATTTAAATTTTCCAACACTTATTAACAATAGCTATAAAATATTTTTCAGACGAGAAAGTTTTAATGAAATATTAACTGTAATAATCTAAAAAGTGACACAATTGGTAAAAAACTTCAATATAAATAAAATTTCATGTGACAGTTGGGACAAACAATAACATAACCAAACTAAATTTGACTTCTCAAACAAGGAAAGAGACTGTCTTTCCTTGTTTAAAGTGGCCTCTCAAGATAGCACTTCCTGTCTAACAATATTTTTGTTCCCACTACCTTTACATTTCCTCTTTTATCTTTTTGCTCGATGGGCAATACCCAAGAGATTAAATATCGCATGTGAAAGGCAAAAAGTGCATTCTTGACTATGAGCTCTGTGTTCAAGAGCCATGACCTCACCCTAGAAACAAAAATAAGGCTCCTTAAATGTTACGTATACTCAGTGCTTCTGTGCGAAGTAGAAACGTGGACATTGAAGACGGAAATTCTATCAAAACTTCAGGATTTTGAGCTATGGTTATACAGAAGGATCCTGAAGATACCATGGACGGACAAAGTCACCAATGAAGAAGTACTGCGGAGGATGAACACAACCGCGGATATGGTCAACATCGTGAAGAACCGTAAGCTGCAGTACTTGGGATATATAATGAGAAATCAAGGCAGATATGAGCTGCTCCAATGCATTTTGCAAGGTAAAATTGAAGGAGAAAGGTCCCCAGGACGAAGAAAAAAGAAAAAACTCGTTTCTGAAAGACCTGAAGAGATGGTTTGACCGCTCATCCACTGAAATCTTTCGTGCAGCAGTTTCCAAAATCACAATTGCCATTTGGATCGCCAACCTTCGACAGGAGACAGCATAATAAGACGAAGTAGAGTGCTATAGTGGGTACTAGGTTCCTGCCACACTCAAGCTACAATATTTCAAAATGTCTCGGTTTTTAAACAAAATTGGCTTTGTGAATTTAAATAGGAATTTACAAGTGGAATAAGATCTATCGATGATAAATAATATAAGATTGGAGATGGCCTCACACCTCGGTGACGCTCATTCATTGATCAAAATCGCGTAAGACGGTATAAAATAGAAATCTACACATATTTAACAAAATACCCCAACTCATTCCTTTAGTTCTTGTCAGGGCATGGTGACACTCTAAATATTATAAGCTTTATATATTAAATATTATTAGCTTTCTCTCTCTATTGGCTGCTATCCTGTGCCACATCGATGGCTTCATGTAGGGATTTTCCCACCAAAGTCTTCATTTGATCTGCCTATCGTAATTTAGATCTTCCTCTTGGTCTTCGATCTTCTACCTTTCCTTCTACTAACAATAGTTCCATGGTCATTGTTGGTTATTAGGGAGTCCAACTATACAAACATGTCTTCTTGACCGCTTGAAATCCGCAAAATTCTTTTTGTTTACGCAAATTTAAGTTTACATAAATTGTTTAAATTTTAGAGTACCAGTTTCGAGGCTTACAATATATGCCCTATCATCAGGCAACAGTGCTTAACCATACATTATTACAGAGCTCAAAAACATGCCATAGTAATATAAGAACACCCTAAATATATTTTAAAACAATTGTGTTTGTGTATTCAATGTATTGTGATGTCCTTATATTTTAATAATTTAAAAAAGTTTTTACTCCAATTTGACAAGGGCAATTACAACTTAAGAAAATAACTTAATTTAATTCATAATTTTCATAAGAGAAGGCAATAACTTCCTAATATGGCTTAGTCATGTATAATTTTGTTACTAGTTTGTAAGCCTCGAAACTAGTAGCCTAAAATTTAACTATAATAAAAACTACCTAAGATTCTGAGAATTTACTATCTTCTATCCATGGGGTGTATGGGTTGTATTATAGAGGTAGCACCTTTTATCTTCTTCTTCTTCATGTACCATGGCCTTTCAGAACGTTGGTTACCATCATAGCTACCTAAATTTTATTCATTGCCATCCTAAATAGCATGCTTGTATCAACACCATACCAATATCGCAAGTTCTTCAACCATGAGGTTCTTCTTCGTCCTGGAGTGCGTTTTATCTCTTATCGGAACGACCATATCGAGCGTCATAGACGGAAGATGGTTTTTGATAACTGGTCCTTCTTCTATTGCTGTTTTGAATTTCTTCTATTTCGTTAGTGGTACAGCCAAACCACTCTCTTAAATTTCTCATCCAGGACATTCTTCTACGGCCTTGGGCTACGGATTTCTGCGTCCTTGGATTTTTCCTTACATTATATTTTGTATTTGTGTACTTGTGTACGATACGGCACCTTTGAAAAACTGTTTCAAACATTGACGAAAGTAGGTCTCAGTAGAGAGTATGTGGATGCTATCGCAAATATATACAAAAATGCAAGAAGTGTCGTTAAAGAAGGAAACTTTATATCTGAATCATTTCCAATAACAAAGGGGCTTAAACAAGGATGTTGTCTATCTCCGAACTAATTTAAAATATATATTCAATCATCGCTAGAGCAGTGGAGAAAACAAGTATCTGGAATGGGAATAGACATAGGCGATGGTAAATGTCTAAGAACTTTATTTTTCGCAGATGATCAGGTAGTCGTAGCGAATTATGAGGAAGACATAGACTACATGTTTAGAAAACTAAAGAAAGAATATGAAAAATGGGGCCTCAATATGAATATGTCAAAGACAGAGTATCTTAAATTAGGAGATGATGAAGAAGATCCAGAGTTAGAAATTAGAAACACAAAAACATGCAAGGAATATAAATATCTCGGATCTATAATATCTAAAGAAGGCACTACCAAAAGAGACATCGAAAACAGAACGCAGCAGGGAAAAAAAGCGGTTAACATTCTAAACTCTCTACTATGGTCTAAAGATATTAAACAAGAAACGAAATTGACAATCTATCGAACCTTGCTAGAGCCTATTATGACTTATGGGGCAGAAGTTTGGCAGATCACGAAAAAAGATAGAAAAAGAATAGAAGTAGTAGAAATGGATTTTCTAAGGAGAGCGTGTGGTGTATCCAAAAAAGATCATATCAGGATTGAAGATATTAAAGATATTAGAAGGAGGACAAATATTGTATATTCCAGTGTAGACAGAATTAAAATGAGACAACTAGTGTGGTATGGTCACGTGAAGCGAATGAATGAAGATAGATGGCCAAATAAAGCTTTAAATTACATACCACAACAAAGAAGAAGAAGGGGAAGGCCTTCAGTTGCCTGGGAAGAAAATGTACGGCACATAATGTGAGATAGAGCCATCAAAGAAGACGAATGGATAGACAGAAAACGATGGCGGCAGAGACTGTAGGAAGCGATATATATATATATATATATATATATATATATATATATATATATATATATATATATATATATATATATATATATATATATATATATCGGAAAAAGGAGTACGACCGTCAATCCAATATATATATAAGGATCACTCAGACGAGTGGTGGGTTCTTATATCGGTCTCTAGGTGGAGAAATAAAAGACAAAGTTGATAGGCTACTTTATCTATTTTGAAGACGTTTCGCTTTCGAGTTTTGAAAGCATCATCAGTTCATCTAAAAAATTATTACAATATGAGAACCACACAATCATGGAAACGATGTTAATTGTTACCTTAAAAAGATATGTAGCAGTCAATGTTATTAACAAATATGTGAATGAAACTAAGTAGTATGTTGTTAGTTGCTTAACTGTTTATACAAGATCAGCGTACTATGTCCATTTACTTAGTTTCATTCACATATTTGTTAATAACATTGACTGCTACATATCTTTTTAAGGTAACAATTAACATCGTTTCCATGATTGTGTGGTTCTCATATTGTAATAATTTTTTAGATGAACTGATGATGCTTTCAAAACTCGAAAGCGAAACGTCTTCAAAATAGATAAAGTAGCCTATCAACTTTGTCTTTTATTTCTCCACCTAGAGACCGATATAAGAACCCACCACTCGTCTGAGTGATCCTTATATATATATATATATATATATATATATATATATATATATATATATATATATATATACCACTGTTTTTGATGGGTTGGAGTCAATATATATATATATATATATATATATATATATATATATATATATATATATATATATATATATATATATATATATATATATATATATATATATTTGTGTACTTTTGTCCTCTCACCAGGTGGCCTAAGTATTCAAGTTTTCTCTTTTTTATATTCGGTATAACTTCTGGATCGTTTTCTTCATTTGTAATTATATCCACCCAGCTTATTTTTAGTATACGGCGGTAGCACCACATCTGAAAGCTTTCAAGATTTTTAACATTCCTCTGTTTAAGAGTCCATGCCTCAACACTGTATAGCAAAGTACTGAATACATAGCATTTTAACATACTAATATCACGATTACAAAATAATTTTTGCTTTTTTATAAAAGTAGTCCTGACAAGTTCAATACGTCTTTTTATCTCGTGATTTTGGTCACCTGTTTAATTGATGAGGGTTCCCAAGTATTTGTATGTGCTTACTTTTTCGAGTTGGGTACCGTTTATTGCGATACTAGTGTCATGTATTGGATTCTTACTGAAGGTCATCTTTCAACTAAATGTAGATCTTCCGCTGTTCTTGCCATTATCACAGTATCGTCATCATATCGAATTAATTACTATTATAATAGTAATTAATTTACAATGCCACAAGAAAATAGCTTCAGAACAATATCATATCGAATGTTATTGATAACTTCTCCATTGACTCTTATCCCTTCGTTTGCATGTGAGAGAGCTTCTTGGCATATTTCTTCGCTGTAGATATTAAACAAGGGCGGTAACAATATACAACCCTGTCGTACTCCTCTACGTACTTCTATTTTGTCCGATGTTTGGTCTTCTATTTTTATATTAGCTCGTTAATTTCAGTATAGATTTAATATTATTTGTATGTCTCTGGTGTCGATGTTCTTGCCCTCCAGGATTTCTATCTACACATCTAGACATCTCTGTGTTAGGACATTTAAGGCAAAGAGAGCTTCTCTTGTATCTAATCCTTTTCTGAATCCCATCCGTGTATCGTTAATATCGATATCTAACTTTTGATAGATTCGGTAGTGGATGACTCTAAGAAATATTTTAAGCAGACGACTCATCAAGGAGATTGTTCGATGATCTGAACATTGCATTGCCTTTCTTGAGGTATTATACCAGTACTGTATATTGTATTGAATATATGTAATATTATGGTTACGGATTTATCATTCAAAAGCTTCAACAGTTCTATAGGAATTTCATCAGGTCCATTTGCTTTTCCATTTTTATCGTTTCTTATTGCGTATTCTTTCAATACTTCTTCTTTCTTACTTCTTCTTTCAATATGTCTGGCCCAATTACATTGATTATCTGAGTTAAGTGGTTTCCATCGTCTTCAAATAATTCATTCAGGTATTCTGTCCATCTTTTTATTTTATTCTCTAGATCTACAATAAAATCTCCATCATTGTCTTTAAGTTTACCTATATGTCTTTATGCTTCCTGTTATCTCTTTTACTTTTTTGTGGATATTGAATGTATCGTAAAAAAACCAAATAACCAAAACCAATAGTAGACTTGGATGCAGCTGTATAAATAACTGTAGAATCTGATAAGTTTCTTAACAGATCCTCAAAATATTGGAACTGATATCAGTATTTACATAGCACTTTGGTTCTATTACCGTAGTGGTTGAAAATAGGAATAAAAATCTTCAAAAAGTTTAGGCTATCTCAGTGTTGCTTGAACTTTACATTTACTTTCTTAAGTGTTTATAATATTTCAAGCATTCCACACACTTAAACATACTTTAACCCCATATTTAAATCAAATTGAACTGATATGCGATGTTTTATTTACATTTTGCAGTATCTAATCTCAGCAAGTGTTATACTAACAGTTGAAGTTTGAAGTAGCGTTGAGTTTAACGCAAAAATGAACTATTATGTGTCATATTTATGTAATATGTTGTGATAAGAAATATTTTAAGATTGGAATGTTTTTATATTCGTAGTAAATGGCCAAAGGTTATTCTTAGATATATCTTGCATTCATTTATTTAAAATATTTTAAATTGAAACTTTAATCTTAGATCATAAATGGTCGTTAATAACTAAATATTAAGTCGTTCAAGAATACATTTAACTGAATACATATATCTCCCTCTTTCTCATATATCATAGGTAGAATGGAGAAAGCCAGAACGATCAAAATAGAAAGAGATAAATCACAAACCCTAGAAGGCGTATCAATCCACCAATGATTGATCAATCAGAATTGCTTATAGAGCGGTAAAAGAAGGAGGAGTTTAAGAAATGTTTACATAAATGAAAAGTGATGTTAGATAATTGTTCCCTATTCTTCTTTTTCTTCAAGTACCATAAGATTCCAGCGTGTGGGCGTTCAGCTGCTATTTATTCATAATTTTCCGTCTCTAGCAAGTGTGAAGACGTCCATGCATGTCGGAGCCACGAATGTTTCTTTCTCAATGGACGCTTCTTCTTTCTATTCTGTTAATTAAAATCAAAGTTAAAATCTCATATTTATCATCTCTACAAGGATATATGCCACAAATAGGAAATTTTTCGGTGGTTTATAGTTTGTAATAGTTCACGTTTGGTTCCAGTTTTTCTGAACATTTCTTTACTTGTTAAAAGTTGGCTATAGGCCGTTATCTCTACCGCCACGCTTCAGACTGGTGCCGCGTAGAGGACGATCGACTGTATAACATCGTGTAAAACCCTCCTTCTTTCGAATTTGGGTCCCCCAATGTTGGACATCACCCTCCCCAATGCAGCCGCACTATTCGCAGCCTTCTGAGCTACCTCCCGTCAGATCCCACACGATCTCGATGGTTAGTTCACGTTATATGATCTCTATATGATCCAATTGAGACTAAAAGAAGTTAGTAATCGTCGATCGACTAGTTAACAGCGCTCGCTGTTAACAGTGATGAATTAAAAAAACATGTGAAAAGAAAACATAAAAAAAAAACATAAAACTTAATTCTTAAATATACAACAGTTACTACTCATGATATTTTACGTTTATTAAGCCTTATTATACTATGTTTTTGCGATGGGTTTCGGAGTTTACTTCATTATCAGGCATATGAAACTAAGAAAGGATTATAGCATATGGGGCATATCAACCTATTGTTATTTTAGTTCATTTAGCCACCATATCCTTCCTCAGCAACCAGTTAATTATTTAAATTTTCTTTAAAGACAAACATACAAAATAAATTAAAGTAATTAACATACACCACTATATACTCAAAAAGATTTTTTGCGAAAGTATTGTTGTGGTGTTTTGGCAAAAATCTTATATTGATTCATAATCTGTGATTATAGATGGTTATCAGATTTATTTAAAATCCTTTAAAAAATGTCCTTTATCCATCTACTTTCATACATATTTAATGCATTTTTTTTCAGCATACCGATCCTGACTACTCTTGTGCCTACGTCACCATAAAACTCCAATCAGGATTAGAAGGATACGGACTAACTTTCACTTGCGGTAGAGGCACAGAAGTTATCGTAGCAGCTGTAGAATCTCTAAAGTCATTGGTCGTCGGCCAAGTTGTAACAGATATCTACAAGGAATTCGGTGTGTTCTGGAGATCTTTAACTAGTGAAAGTCAAATAAGATGGGTAAGTAGAAAATATTTAGGATATATGCGTAGGTTTTAATAGACGTACACTAAAAATGTTTGCAGAAATAATAGAAGGAAAACATATTTTGGAAATAGGTCTCTCAAAAGTGAGATGTTTGTATGCTTCGACCGCCTCATCTGGCGTTTTAAAACGTTTACCGCATAGTTTGTTTTTGATTGTCAGGAACGCAAATAAATCACGTGGTGCCAAGTCAGGACTATATGTAGAGGATGGCTCACCAAATCGATGCTTTTTGCCGTCAAATTCAAATACTCGGCTGTTATACGAGCTGTGTGAGAGCTGACATTCCGGTTGTTTTTAAGGAGTTCACAATTACTTTTGGCAAACAAATAATTGTACACCATTCAGCATTGATGGTTGTACCTACCATTCTCTAATGAAATCGTGACAGCACGTCCTTTTTTTCCAAAATCTCGCAACCGTTTGCCAACGCTGTGAACCCGGACTATTTTTTGTGATTTTAAACCAGTGATTAATTTGTCGTTTCAGGCTCATAACAATATATCCATATTTTATCACCATCCACAATGTTTGTAAATTTTATATTTGAACTGCTACCATTGTGTGGCGCGGCGCTAATCGACATTTAATTCTTATTGGCAGCAGTCATATTAGGGAGGAATTAGCAGCATTATGAGGGAGGAATTCAAGGACTGCACATATTTCTCACTGCCAAATGGCCATGCATAATGACCAATGGACTAATTTCATGGCATAGGTAACATGTTGATCTGCTTTAATCATGCCGATTACAGCATCAATATTTTTCTTTATAACAGCTGTGGCTGGGCTGTCTTCACGAAATTCATCACTGAGTCTGGCACTTCCATGCTTGAATTCTTTAAACCATCTGCGAACAGTTGATGGATCTTGTGCTTTATCGCGAAAACATGTCAAAATTTACAAAAGTCATATTTATGAAGTCGGGTAACTTCCGCTAGATGGCTCTGTGAAAAACTTTTAGTGTAGCCTGTTATATAGTCGTGGTATTTATTACTCGTCAAATCTAGGAACAACTTTCGGAATCTTTAGTATGAATTTAAATTAATTAAATAAAAATTAGTCAAAAAATGTTTTAGTAAAAATTGAAATTAAATAAATATTACTTAAATGTTTGAGAAAATATAGTTTAAAAATCGGTTATGGTAAACTGGTGACAGGTGATCATCGGTTTTTACTGCAACTATTTAACGAGTAAAGGGATAGTTCTTGAGGGCAAATTCATATATCAATTCTTCTTAAGTTTTGCGTCTAGTCCTGAGTATAAATCATGATCAGAGTGCACATTTGTTCAGGATATGAAAGTACAAAGGAATGAAATAAAATATAAAGAGCTATATGTAGGAGAACTGTATTCTTTGCAGTATTTTGTGTTGGTATTTTTAATATTTTTCAAAACGTGTTCTTAAAATAACTCAGACATTAACATAATGGTAGAGTGAAATTGTTTTACTCCAAACAGAGGTTATTCAACACAATCTGTTTTTTATCGTGTTAAAATGTTTGTTTACGTTAATAATAAAAATGTATTTTTAACATATTTTAAAACTGTTATCATATCATATTCGTTAATGATTTATGCACTTATGTAAACATGTTAATAAACCAACAAATATTCCACTGAGCAATATAAGCCTTATCAGATAGTTAAGCAATGTACTAAATATCTCGATTTTAAATCCATTTAGACCACAGAGAATTTTATTTCTAAAGTTTTGTTTTCTACAGTACATCTGGTACATATCCATTCTTACAATCAATGCAGGAGATTTCAACATTTATAAAAATGTGTCATCATTGTATCATGCTATTATCTTATCAATATACTTTCTACTATATTTTTTAACGATTTTGTTGATGTTCATTTTCAGTTAGTGTTGGCTGAAAATCTGCCACACTAATCAAATAAAAGACAAATCTAGGGAATGAAAATGACTATACCTAACTAATGTGTGTGTGTTGTTGGTTTCTTTTGACTGTGGACTTAATCCATTAGCCGAACTAATTATATTATACCTAACTAATATTACTAGGAAAAATAATAATAAAAATAATTATAATAAAATACAGAGATCGTGATATAAAATAAGAAGGCAATGGATAATGCAAAGTATTCATACTATACCTATTATTCTTTCTAATACTGGAGTCATTCCGAAGAACCTCCTAGAGAACATAGCACTACTGGGTCTTAGTGAACATCTTTATAAGAGCCCGTAGAAAGCGGTACTGCTTTTAATCTGGATAGTAAGAATAAATACGTATCTGGATGGGTAAACCTCTGCATAGATGACATCACAATTATGCAAACACAGTATCGAACTAGTGGTTGATATCATGAAAGATGTCAAACCCGCACATTTTACCGGAGGCTTCCAGGCGTTTGTTGGAATTGCTTATACAGGGTGATTGATTAGTGTGAGGAAGCTCAGTAGATCTGTTATAGTAAAAATTACTAAAAAAAGTTATTAACAAAAATTGAAGGCAGCTTTAAACTCCACATTTTAAAATTAGTTACAATCTTACAGGGTGTTCCATAAGATGGTGGCAGAACTTATGTTTTTTTAAATGGAACACCCTGTATTTTATTTTAAATTTAAAATCGGCTTCACTTCCACATCACAACAATGTAAAGTTTTATTATGTTATACCGGGTATCTAAAAAGTTATAACCAATATTACCTGACAATCGTATCAAGTTTAACTCCCTGTGTAATTAAAAAGGAGTATAGGAACATTGATCTATTGCAACCATAGATTTTAAATAATTGTTAAAAATTATAAAACATATTCGTTTCCATAATATTCGTTAAATCAAATACAGGGTAAGTCAAAATGCAAATACATTATTTTCTTGGTAATTTTAAATAGAACACCCTGTATTTTATATCACTATCAAAAAGTAATAATATCGTACTTCAAATTTTATAAACTACTCCCTACACCTAAAGTTATCAGTTTTCTAGATATTATTGTTTTTCCATCAAAGTATTAATTTGGTAGATATTTTAACGTTTACCAACTCACAATATAATTATTGTGAGTTGGTTATGATTGATTTGTCAAAAACTGACAGTTTGACATTATTGTTTAATAATTTAGTAACGAAATAACGACACAGAAAAGAATACAATTTATTTAAAATAAAATTTATAAAAAATAACCTACGGAAAATAAAAATATATAACAACATATAGAGAAATTAAAAACAACAGTAAGTTTAACTAAGTAAGGTGTTCAAAATGACCTCCCAAAACATCTATGCATGCTTGAAAACGGTCATTGAAAGAGTTGGTTACATTACTAAGCATTTGTAAAGAAATATTTTGAAATGCAATTCGGATTCTATTTTTCATATCATCCCTTGTTGTTGGGGGTATTTTATATACTTCGTTCTTAACGTAACCCCAAAAAAATGAGTCAATTTTATTGAATTCTAGTGACCTTGGGGGCCACCTTACCGGTCCATCCCTTCCGATCCATCTTTCCCCAAACTGATTATTAAGTTCACCACGTACTAATTCGTTGTGGTGCGCAGGAGCGCCGTCATGTAGAAACCACATTTTTTCACGTAGGTATATTAAGTGGAACCTCGTCTAATAATATCGGTAACTGATTTACGATAAAATCTAAATAAATCTCACCATTTAAATTATCTTCAAAAAAATATGGTCCTACTACATGGTTACCGACGATACCTCTCCACACATTTAGAGACCATCTTGTTTGACTATGTGTTACTATGTGGTATGGATTACTTGTTGAGTAGTAGTGAAAGTTATGCCTATTAAAAGAACCGTTTCGATAGAATGTAGCTTCATCACCAAATAGGACATAATCAAAAAAATCTCTCTGCTCATTAATTTTTTCTAAGGCCCATTCACAAAATACTATTCGTTTCTGAAAATCATCATTAATTAATTCTTGGTGCTTTTGAATATGATAAGGGTGCATCTTGTTTTTAGATAGAATGTTTTGAACAGAGTAGTAACTAAGTTCTTGTTCATTGGAAATAGTCCTTATGCTTGTGTGTGGGTTTTCTGTAACCGCCATCAACACACTCATTTCGTTTTCCTCTGTCACACTAGTTTTTGTTCGTTCATGTTTTTCATAATTCACTGAACCAGTGAATTTTAAGTGCGGTTAAATCGATCTTTCAATTTTTCAAATGTATCTTGTCTAGGTTGTCGCCTATCTGGAAACCGTTCTTGATAAATTCTAGCTGATAGTAATGAATTTTTATTGCATTCCCCCAATATCCAGATCATATCTACCATTTCATCAGTAGTAAAATTCATTATTGCTAATTTAAATTGAATCAATTACTGAATTACTAAATAATAATTGTTGCTAATTTACGGTGTACCCCAATACTGAATTAATAAATATTAATGTCAAACTGTCAGTTTCTGACAAATCAATCATGGCCAACTCACAATAATTATTGGTAAACGTTAAAATATCTACCAAATTAATACTTTGATGGAAAAATAAAAATATCTTTAAAACTAATAATTTTAGGTATAGGGAGTACTTCATAAAATATGAAGTACGATATTAGTTCTTTTCGATAGTGATATAAAATGCAGGGTGTTCTATTTAAAATTACCAAGAAAATAATGTACTTGCATTTTGACTTACCCTGTATTTGATTTAACGAATATTATGAAAATGAATATGTTTTATAGTTTTTAACAATTATTAAAAAACTATGGTTGCAATAGATCAATGTTCCTACAATCCTTTTTAATTATACAGGGAATTAAACTTGATACGATTTTCAGGTAATATTGGTTATAACTTTTTAAATACCCGGTATAACATAATAAAACTTTACATTGTTGTAATGTTGAAGTGAAGCAGATTTCAAATTTAAAATAAAATACAGGGTGTTTCATTTAAAAAAACATAAGTTTGGTCTGCCACCATCTTATGGAACACCCTGTAGGATTGTAACTAATTTTAAAATATGGAGTTTAAAGCTGCCTACAATTTTTGTTAATAATTTTTTTTTTGTAATTTTTACTATAACAGATCTACTGAGCTTCCTCACACTAATCAATCACCCTGTATAGATCGTCATGACTCAGTAGGATTGATTATTCACCAAGAACTAGCCAATAAACTGAAACTTCTCCAAATCAACTATCTCCATTATTATCAATAAGGCCTTGACAGAATACTTGAATAGTTATTGAATAGTTGAATATACTTATTCAAGTTGTTCAAATGATTTTCCAATAACATGTCTTTTATTCTTTGTAGATTGGACCAGAGAAAGGAGTGACTCATTTAGCCACCGCAGCCATAATCAACGCCCTGTGGGATCTATGGGGTAAACTCGTAAAGAAACCAGTGTGGCAACTCTTGGCAGACATGGAACCAGAGCAACTAGTATCCTGTATCGATTTCAGATATCTCACAAACGTCGTGACCAAAGAAGAAGCCATTGAAATGCTCCGAAAGGGTAAAGCAGGTAGAGAAGAGAGGATAAATAAGTTGCTCGAAAAAGGTTATCCTTGTTACACAACTCAAGCAGGTATGTATTTTGTGTAATAAACAAATATTTTGGTGAGATAAATGTTCATTTCTTCAATATTTATCTCAGTTTAACAGATTTTCTTAAGAACCGAAATGAAATAAAATAAACATAGCTAATGTTATTTGAAGTAAAACAATTATTTCTATAAAAATTTGGCTTCCGAAGATGATTTAGCTAAGTTAATAGATATTAACCGGCGATGACTATTATTATAAACTATCGTTTCTCCATAGACAATAAAACATTAGAAAGACTTCAGAATTTCATATATTTGAAATTCAAGTGAATGAGAATTGTTATCACTCTTACTTATGTATTTTTACTCATCTTGTTGTCATTGACTGCAGAAAAAGCTTTTTCACATAATCTCAAGGATTACAACTTTTAAAAGCTGATCAAGTTAATTATTTTAATTTTCCAACTGATCCCTCTTTGAAACTCTGTTACTGAAATTCTTTTATACAATGATTACAAGTGTATTATTAGTCTTAGTAAATTCTTTACTGTAGGAAATCTACAAAAAGAATTTACAGTTTTTGTTAACACCTTCGGTATACAAAATTTACACAATTTAATCTAAAAATAAAATTTAAACAAACAGAAGCTCAACTTTTACCTCATTATGAGATTAACATTGAACTTTATGTATCACAATGATAAGAATGGTTAAATTGGTTTTTAAGTTAATTTGATAAATTATTGTCACCAAGTACGATATCAATGCATTCTAAATTGATTGGTCATAAACAATAAATAAGGATTTTAGATTAATAAGAATTCAAATTCAAATTATGTGATGGTGGTGTTTCCTTATAAAGTTGATAAAACTCGTTGTTGTATCGACTTCTGAAGATTCCGTTTTCCCTCACAGGTCCTAGTATTCTCCTCAGTACTTTTCTTTCGAATGTGTCAAGTTTGCTTTTGGATGTCTTTCAGGACCAATGCTTCACTGCCTTAGCATGCTATTGGTCGAATTAAGGTTTTGTAGATTCTCATCTTTGTATTTCGGTGGACATTTTTAGACATCCCAAATAAAGAAATCGCTATCATCATGGGTGATTTAAACTCAAAAATCGGTGTTACTATGGCTGACGAACATATACGAAATATTGTGGGTAGATATGGAATAGGTGAACGCAATTCAAGGGGAGACCGCCTTATCCAGTTCTGCGTTGACAATGACTTGACAATAATGAACTCTATGTATAGGCACCACCCCAGAAGATTGTACACTTGGATCTCACCTAACGGACGACACCGAAATCAGATCGATTACATAATGATTAAACATCGCTGGAAAACATCTATTAGCCAATGTAAAACACGACCTAGCGCTGACTGCGGCTCTGACCACCAACTTCTTGTTGCAACGCTAAAGCAAAAATTCAAGGCATGTGCTAGGATCCGAAACAAGAGGATATCAAAAATAAAAGATACACAACAATTTAAAATCCAATGTAATGAAAGATTCGAAAATATTTTACCAACTATCGTCACTCATGATTCCGAAAAGATTTGGTTATCTTTTAAAAATACCTTGATACAGACCTTGACTGACTGCGAGGCACAGTCTAATGCCGTCTCAACCGGACCAAAAAAAGTGTGGATGTCTGCAGATACTTTTGACCTCGTTGAAGAACGTAGAAAACTTAAAATTGCTGGAATCGAGAACCCTCTCAGGAATTCCCAGTACCGACAGCTATCTAGAGCTATTCAGGCTGCTTGTAGACGAGACAAAAACAAGCATATAGAGAAAATCTGCAGAGAAATTCAACTACACGCCGACACAAATAACACCAAAGAACTCTTTGATAAAGTCAGACAACTCACACGTAAATTCAAGCAGAAATCTTGGTCTATCAAAGATGATGAAGGTAATGTACAGACGGATTTGGACAAGGTTATTGATGTTTGGAGGGCGTATTGTAAGTCTTTATACGCCAATACGGACCAGATGCCAGCGGACGCCCCGTTTGTACCTGACTGCCAGACCTCCACTTTCCATTCTCCTTCAACAGAGACACACCACACTAGTTTTGAGTCTGAACCTGACATACTTTTTTCCGAGGTGGAATTCGCTTTAAAAAGACTTAAGTTAAACAAAGCAGCAGGATATGATCTCATTACTGCAGACGTCTTGAAGCATCTTCCGGAATGTGGAGTGAAAATATTACATCGATTGTGCAATGAAATATGGCACACAGGCGTCTGGCCTGAGGATTGGAGAAAGACCATAATCATACCTCTTCATAAGAAAGGTTCAACAAATAATTGTAACAACTACAGGCTATTAGCTCTAATATCACACGCCAGTAAGGTGATCCTCTACATACTGCAACGGCGTCTAGAAAACTTCATAAGTTGGCAAATAGCACCTGAGCAGGCTGGATTTGTAAAGGGCAGAGGTACTAGAGAACAAATCCTTAATGTACGAAACATCATAGAAAAAGCCAGAGAATACCAGATCCCGATATTTATATGTTTCGTCGATTATACAAAGGCCTTTGATAATGTTAGATGGGACAAACTATGGAACATATTGACGACAATGGGTGTACCTAAACACTTGACTCACCTTATTAGCAAACTGTATCAAGATAACCTGGCATATATTCGAATGGACGGATATCTGTCTGACAAATGCACTTTGGAGAAGGGAGTACGCCAAGGATGCGTTTTATCTCCCTTATTATTTAACATCTATTCGGAGTTCATAATGCGCAGAGTTTTGGATGGTTGGGAGGGAGGAGTAAACCTAGGTGGTGTTAAGATATCTAACTTGCGTTTCGCAGACGACACTACACTTCTAGCTTCTACTCCAGAAGAAATTACTAAATTATTAAAAAAACTCGAGGTAGAAAGTGCTAAATTTGGACTCATGGTTAACTACAACAAAACCAAAATCATGGTTATTGATCGCCAACAACAGTTTCCTGAAACCCAAACTATTGCGGGATGCGAGGTAGTCTCATCTATGATATATCTTGGAGCTCTAGTAAACAACACAGGCAGTTGTGAATCCGAAATTAGAAGACGCATTCAACTAGCAAGAGCAGCAATGAGTGAACTAAACGGGGTCTGGCGTGATCGTCACATTACTATGACAAACAAAAAGAGACTCGTTTCAACTCTGGTCTTTTCCATATTTTACTATGCATGCGAGACATGGACAGTCAAAGAATCAGATCGACGACGTATAGACGCCTTTGAAATGTGGACATGGAGACGCCTGCTTCGAATTCCATGGACGGCTCGCCGTACAAATATCTCGGTTCTGGATGAAATTAAACCGGATCAGCGTCTCTCTAGTACCGTTTACTCTAGGATTTTAAAGTTCTTTGGCCATATCCATCGAAGTGATCACAAAATGGAGCGGTTGGTGGTCCAAGGAAGGCCTCAGACTCAACGCCAACGCGGAAGATCTCCACAGCGATGGGCGGACATTACTAAAAAGCTTCTCAATAAACAGTATACTGAGGCAATACATATAACTGATGACCGCGACCAGTGGAGAAATATTATCAATCAAACTGTCCGAGCTGCTGAAGCCCAATTATGAACCACAACACATCTACTAAGATGTTAATGACTGTGATGATGATATGGGAGAAGACAAAATAAGCTCTGTTTGTCTGCGTTATTCTCTTTCGTATTTCTCCATCTTCTGATCCGTCGGCATATATTTCTACTCCCCGGTATGTAAACTTTCTAACCGTTTCAATGCCATCTTCATGTATAATGTTTTGTGGGACCATATTTCTTCTCGTCTGTATCATTATTTTTACTTCTTCTTCGAACTTCTCTTAACATTCCTGAATCTTCAGTTTTTTAGGTCCAGTTTGTTTGTTGTTTCTTGTCTTTCGTTTCTTTCTTTGTTAACTAAAAGTGGGTGCAAATTCTTAACTTGCATATCTTTTCACTGACAGCCTGGAAGTTTATGATTTTTGACTTAAAATCATTATCCTTCACAAATGCAACTCCACATTCTTTGCTTCCTTGTTTCTTTCCACTATATAAAATTGTGTGTGTGTGTGTCCCTGAGATCTTTCCCCAGCCATCTGGTCTTCTGCAGAGCAGCATTCCAGTTTCCAAATATATAGTCCATGTTTCGTACCTTGAGTCGTTTCCGAAAGTTCCGTCCTGTATTCCGAGGCCAATGTTCAGGTTTCGTAACAGTGTGTTTTTTCCGGGAGTGGGTTGTCAGCCAGCCTTCCTCCTTTTTGATCCAGCTATTTGTCACCACAGGCGGAGTTGTATTGTACATTAATCCATCATTAATATGAAACGGCAAAGGCCCCTTGATATTTAGGTAGTTTTCCTATCGAGGCATGCAAATAAACACGACAAGAGGGGAACATCTTCTGGTATAAATCAAGTATAGATAACTGGTGACAGAACTGGTAACAGAAATAAAATCAGTTTAGAAAATCCTTGTTAAAAACTACAACAGTCTGCATCTAATTGTGGAGTTGCTGTACCCAAGAATACAAAAAGTGACTAGCTTTTGGACACTTCATATAAAAGGAAAGAAATGAAAATATAAAACTCTTCACTTCTGAAGAGTTCTCCCTAAATTATTCAAAGTATATGAAAAACATCTAGTCTTATAAATACATGCAATGGTAACATAGATATGTGGAATGAAAAGAAAATTTGTAGCAATTGGAAAACATCAAAAGAGAAAAAATAAACTAAATTAGACTAAAGAAGAAGATAAAAAGAAATAAGACCAAATGGGGAGAGAAACGATGAGAGAGTGCAGTAGCAGCAGACGAACAAAGTCTCTGGTGGGTATAATTAGAGCAAAATTAGAAAAAGAGACTAATCATTTACAAAATACCTTCCAGGTAATTCGTTATTTCAAGGTAATAATTTAAATTTGAGGACCTCTCAAAAAATTGCTGGAATCTTTTATCACTATAAAAATACAGGTCTCTGTCTTTTTATGTTTTATAGGTACTTGAACGTTTTTTCCACTGGTAACATATTTATACAAACAAAAGTACACTACTAAGAAACCAATATCATAATTTTTTTAGCAGTCAAAAATCAGATATTTTGATCGTGATTCTAAAGCACCTAAGCAAAGACTTTGATTTAATAAATGAGTTAAACCGTGAAAAGAATCACATGTAAAATTTGTTTCAGGTTGGTTGGGTTATTCAAACGAAAAAATTCAACAATTGGCACAAAAATACATGGATGCCGGATTCACAGCTTTCAAAGTAAAAGTAGGCAAGAATCTGAAAGACGATAGTAAAAGATTGGAATTTATAAGGAATATTATTGGATGGGATAAAACTTTGGTAAGTACCTACCAAATCTCACTAGTATATTGTCAGTTTGCTATTCGTTGTAGAATGTCATAGTTCTACATGTGGTTTGCTTTCGTATATGTGTTTATTTGCAATGCAGTGACGTACGATTATCGAGGTAATTGGTAAAAGAAAAAGACCGACGTTTTGTCTGACGGCAGAAAATTGTAGAGAACTGAGGAGGCTTTCAAAAAATAATAAAAGATATTCTTTTAAATCAATGAAGTAGGTAGTTGACGTCTTTCATCTCCGCTACGAAGGTTGGTCTGACACTGGAGGTTGCTATTAGGAGCAGTTGAATAGAAGTGCCAGCGAACCCATTACCTAACGTTTCTCAACCAACACATTCCTGTCCTTCCTATGCTGTGCTTACCTCCAATTTTTCCCTGTATAATCACTTTTAACAGTTGGTATTTATCTCTGCGTTTAACATGTTCCAGGTGTATTGAATTTTTGTCGTTTTAATAGTCAATAAGACGATTTTTTGTTTCTTTTTATCCTCTACAGTACTAGGTACTTGGTTTAGTTAGTTTGTCCTTCCAGGACATTTTTAATACCCTTCGATATGCCACATCTCAAATGCATCCAACTTACTCATGGATTTCTTAATTAGCGTCCATTCTCTACATCATACAACAAGACTGAGAACACATACTTTGAATTTTAGGCTTAGGTTTCGACTACACAGTATTTGATGTTGACTATACAAACGCACAGCGGGCTTTCTGTATTCTTATTCTTTCTATGTGTCTAGTAAATTGTCATAGTTTAGTCATTTAGATTCATATTTTATAAATTAGAAGAAAATGTAGTATTAGACAATGACAATATATTTTTATTAACTAACCTAGATTTTTTTAATTTTGAAATATAGATGGTCGACGCCAACCAAGTCTGGGAAGTACAGGAAGCCATCGACTGGATGAAAGAATTGGCCAAATACAAACCACTCTGGATTGAAGAACCCACATCACCCGATGACGTACTCGGTCACGCCGAAATCTCCAAAGCCCTCAAACCCCTTGGAATCAGCATCGCTTCCGGTGAAATGTGTTGTAACAGAGTATTATTCAAACAGTTCTTACAAACTGACGCCATCCAATATTGCCAGATCGATTCCGCTAGGATTGGTGGAATCAATGAGATTCTATCTGTATACTTGATGGCTCAAAAATTGGGAGGTTAGTGTTAAATAAAATTATAATTTTACTAAGAGTTTTATCAGTTTGTTTTCAAAATACTTTATCTTTCTTTAACAGTATTTGTCATTTTCCACGCCTCGACACTATATATCACTGTAGAAAAGACGTCGTTTAGTTCAAATAATTTTCATTAATAAAATAATGTAACCTTTGACGGTTTGTACCTAAAAGTATTCGTTTTATTTCAGTAAAAGTATGTCCTCACGCTGGCGGTGTTGGTCTCTGTGAAATGGTACAGCATTTACAAATGTGGGACTACGTCTCTCTGTCTGGAACCTCCGAAGGTAAATGGGTAGAATACGTCGATCAGCAGCACGAGCACTTTGTGCACCCAACCATAATTGAAAACGCCCATTATTTAGCTCCAAGGGTAAGTTTCTATATGTGCTTTTTTTAAAACTAACATACACAAATTGTTACAGACATACATATGGCCTAAAAAATTACTGTTTACCAAAAAAAAAAACTTAAATACATAAAAGTGGCACTCTGATACAAATACTCTGCCAAAGTAAATACATTTCTCCACATAAACTTCCATAAAACTGGCGAAATATTTAGTTTGTATTTATATTTGTTAATTGTATCATGTTATTTATTTTTGTTTTGTTTTAGGCTCCCGGTTATAATACAGAACTAAAGAAGGAAGCACTTGAAGGCTACGTTTACCCTAACGGAAAAGAATGGGAAAGCATGTTTGCTAAAGGAATATTCAGTGATCCAAGAAAAGCAAAATAAATTAAAAAATACATTGGAACATATTACTCTTCTGTTTTTATGAAGAAATAAAGTATACATAAATATTTTGTTGATTTTTAAGTTTAATATGAAAAATATTTTTTTTTAAATTTTGTCAAACCGTTGAAATCATTTTAATAAGTTTAAACTTGTTGACTGTAACAAAGTTGTTTTCTAATTCCTGTCATTCCCTCAGGTACATTAGCTTATACTTTGCTTTGTTTACTTATAAGCTGTAAGTAAAGCAGAACATGTCATAGTCTGATCTGAGCACGAACCTTTATGCATAATTTTACATGTGCATTGTGCATATTTTTGCTACTTAATTCCTAAAAATTTCTTATTCCGTATTCGTTGCAACCAGCTTTTCAATCCAACTCCACTAAGGTCTTATTCTATTTTGCCAAACAATCCTTTGTTGCCTCCTAAAAATATTCTAAACTCATTTATTATATGCCATCCTCTCTAAGCGCCAGAGCCATCTTGCTATTGGCCTACAACAGCTCAAATAATGAGTAGTTTTCCATATAATTCTCTTTATTTGTTCTTTATTTCCATTCCACGCTCCAAGACTAATTTTGACAACTCTAAAAGATCATAGTCTCATTCTTTCTCTTCTTATATTAGACGTTAGTTCTTAATTACTATTAAACTGGGAATAAGCCACAATTAAAGATAAAAATACGTTTATTGACGTTTCAATTTCCACTTCGGAAATCGTTCTCAAAATACAAACAGTAAATTAAACAAATTTTGTTTTTTGTTACATAGTGAAAAATTCTTCTAATAATTTAATTTTATCTGACTCATTTATATTGACAATTCAGACAAACATTAAGCATTTTAAAGTAGACGACTTTAAAATGATATTGCCAATATTGTTGAGTTGCGCTCCTGGGACGACTTTACTTATAAGATAGTTCATTCGATTACATGAAATCAACTTTAACTTGAGAATATCCGTCAGAAAAAAATCATAGCATGTAATTCGTCTTTAAAAAGACAAACACATGACATGATGACAGTAAAATTCTCCTGTTAGTGATTCCATAGTAAATTATGAGGGAAAACCAGGAAAAAAACCTCATAATACTATCCCGACATTGTAAGTATTTGTTCGTGAATTTAGTTTACCTTCAACAAACATCAAAATTCTGATTTGATATGTTACGTTATTTAAAAAACATAAATGATGTATCCTCTATATGTTACTGACTTACTAATACTGGTATTTTCTTATTAATAACTTCCTCTTTCAATATTGGTAACCAGATCTTACTACATTCTGCCGAGGAATTTGCGACACAATTGGCCTCATTTAGCATAATTAGAGCCGCTTCTTTGATTTTTCTTTTTTTACCATCCGTTTCTTTTAGGACTACATTTGAATTATTCCATTGAACCCTATGTTCATTATCCCATGCGTGTTTACAGATTTGAGATCTATCAAATTCTTTATTTTTAATATAAGATTGATGTTCACTTATTCTAACATTTAATGGCCTTGATGATTCACCTAAATAAAACTGATCGCATTCACAAGGTATTTTATAAATGCAATTCTTTGTCCTTTCTTGTTCATTGTTAGGTTTGTTTTTGGACAAAATAGATCTCAACGTTAATTAATTTACAATGCCACAAGAAAATAGCTTCAGAACAATATACGTTAATTCTTGTCTGATCTTAAGGCTGTGGCCATATTTGTGATGTTGACTGCCATCTACATTTTAAATATAGAAAATATATATTAACATAGACTGAGCAGTCTGTAGAGCTAAGTGACGACACCATCTTTTTTTACGTTGTTGGTTCTCTGTCTTTCATCATATAAGTATAGCAACGTCACATTTTGGTGGGGGAGTGAGAGAGTGGGGAGTTTTAATGTACTAGTGAGAGACAGATAGAACAACCGCAAGAGATCTTCAAGAAATCTTGTCGTCAGTACGACCGGCATGCTCGGTCTATGTTGGTTATATATGTCTATGATTTTGAAGGTTGTTTCTAGTGGTCTGATGTCTGATGGTGTTAAATCTCTTAATATTCGGGCTGGTCTCTTACTATGCATGTATGTAACATGCTTCTCTGTCTTTCAACATCGTACAATATCAAGTATTTTCCAGAGATCCCTTAATTAGTTATTTGATAATCTCTTAATTGTTTTCTAACAATTGATCTCAAGATTGTTCTGAAGCTATTTTCTTGTGGCATTGTAAATTAATTACTATTTATAACTGGGAATAAGCCACATTAAAGATAAAAATACATTTTGACGTTTCAATTTCCAATTCGGAAATCGTTCTCAAAATACAAATAGTAAATTAAACAAATTTTGTTTTTTGTTACATAGTGAAAAAATTCTTCTGATAATTTAATTTTATCTGACTCATTTATATTGACAATTCAGACATACATTATGCATTTTAAAGTAGACGACTTTAAAATGATATTGCCAATATTGTTGAGTTGCGCTCCTGGGACGACTTTACTTATAAGATAGTTCATTCGATTACATGAAATCAACTTTAACTTGAGAATATCCGTCAGAAAAAATCATAGCATGTAATTCGTCTTTAAAAAGACAAACACATGACATTAATGTAAAAAAGGGAATAATTAAATCCTTATACGATAGAGCCAAAATTACTTGTTCTAACGAAAATTCGTTCTTGGAGGAGAAACATTTATTAACATCTGTTTTATTAAAAAATGATTATCCTTTATCGTTTATAAATAAGGAATTTTCAACAATCGATCGAATAGAACAGAACAACTTAGAACGAGATCCTACAGCATACACAAGGAATAATATGAGGAAAATAACAATACCGTACATAAAAGGATTATCAGAAAAACTTAAAAGGATAGGAAATAAATTCAACATTTCAACAACATTCAAAACAACAAACACGTTGAGATCTATTTTGTCCAAAACCAAACCTAACAATGAACAAGAAAGGACAAAGAATTGCATTTATAAAATACCTTGTGAATGCGATCAGTTTTATTTAGGTGAATCATCAAGGCCATTAAATGTTAGAATAAGTGAACATCAATCTTATATTAAAAATAGAGAATTTGATAGATCTCAAATATGTAAACACGCATGGGATAATGAACATAGAGTTCAATGGAATAATTCAAATATAGTCCTAAAAGAAACGGATGGTAAAAAAAGAAAAATCAAAGAAGCGGCTCTAATTATGCTAAATGAGGCCAATTGTGTCGCAAATTCCTCGGCAGAATGTAGTAGGATCTGGTTACCAATATTGAAAGAGGAAGTTATTAATAAGAAAATACCAGTATTAGTAAGTCAGTAACATATAGAGGATACATCATTTATGTTTTTTAAATAACGTAACATAAAATCAGAATTTTGATGTTTGTTGAAGGTAAACTAAATTCACGAACAAATACTTACAATGTCGGGATAGTATTATGAGGTTTTTTTTCCTGGTTTTTCCCTCATAATTTACTATGGAATCACTAACAGGAGAATTTTACTGTCATCATGTCATGTGTTTGTCTTTTTAAAGACGAATTACATGCTATGATTTTTTCTGACGGATATTCTCAAGTTAAAGTTGATTTCATGTAATCGAATGAACTATCTTATAAGTAAAGTCGTCCCAGGAGCGCAACTCAACAATATTGGCAATATCATTTTAAAGTCGTCTACTTTAAAATGCATAATGTATGTCTGAATTGTCAATATAAATGAGTCAGATAAAATTAAATTATCAGAAGAATTTTTTCACTATGTAACAAAAAACAAAATTTGTTTAATTTACTATTTGTATTTTGAGAACGATTTCCGAATTGGAAATTGAAACGTCAATAAATGTATTTTTATCTTTAATGTGGCTTATTCCCAGTTATAAATAGTAATTAATTGATCTCAAGGCTATCTATTTTTGATATATGTATTATTTTTGTTTCTGCTATGTGTGTTCTTTTTTCTATCAAATACGTAATTTTTGGCCTTATGCATAATTTATGTAAACGTACTTTTCCATTTAATCGCACATTAAACAGCTTACGTAAGCTGTTTTATTTGCTTGTTTTCTTACACTCTCTTTAGAGTTTCCAGAGCTGCATACTTCCACTCCCAGATTCTCGAATCTCGAGATTTGTTAGATTATTTCATCGTTAATTTATATGTTGAGCCATTTGGGTTCTCTTGAGATACTAAGGTTATATGATCGTTAGTATTTTTTAGCTGATTTAGCGTGTTGTCTAGGGTGCAGCACGTGAAATAGGACTAGTTTTATACCCCATGCTAACAATAAGTTCTACTGAAGTTTCCTTAATGGGCTGTAGAACTCTGATTAACGGAATTGAAACCTTTTTGTCAGAGACAGAGTTCGCGACCAGGACCGTATCTGCTCATTTCCTTTATACTTTTATTTGCACATTTATTCTGAGTCCTCCTGTGGATAACCTCTTCTCTCTGATTTCATTTTATTCCAACGAATTGGGACAAAACGCTGTCACTTTTCCTCCTGTATCATGTATCGCTTGTGCACGATAGAATGGCTGCATAAATAGCATAATTCTCACCGTATGATGAGTCAGTTGAAATGCGGCTGCCTGGTAATTTGCCAATCGAGAATGTGCATTTTGTATTTGCATAATGTGCATGTGTTAATTACAATATATGTGTTAATATTTAAATATTGTGTTTATATGGGATTAAGCCACAATTGATTGTAATGTAAATTACAGTTTTAACTAATCTTTGACGTTTCGATTTCCACTCCGGAGATAGTTTTCAAAAAAGATTATTTCGGAATTATGTGAAAGTGTATAACTGCCAAAGCTGTTATAGGGATTAAATTTTACTTGTTATGGAAGATTTCGAAACAAATATTATTTCTAAACAAAATTTAAAACCCACAGTATGGTGGAAATATGTACATGATAATGGCCTCATGGATCATAGTTGTTGGAGGCAACTGAAGCATCCTGAATAACATAAATGATTAAGAAAAGACAATAACATTTACCACGGAAAAGAAATATAATAACACACTACCTTTTCTGGATGTTTTAATCTTAAAGACGAATAATGGATATATGACTCCGGTGTACAGAAAAACAACAAACATCAACAGAAATCTAAATTACAAATCAAATCACATGTATATTAAAAAGCGTATAATTAAATCCTTATACTATAGAGTCAAAATTACTTGTTCTAACGAAAATTCGTTCTTGGAGAATATTTGTTAACATCTGGTTTATAAAAAAATGATTATTTGTCGCTTAAAAAAAGGAATTACGTACATCTTAGAATCCTATAACAAGAAATATTACAAAGAAAATAATAATACCATACATACGCATTCACAGTATTATCTCAAAACAACAAACAATATTTGATCTAAAACTAAGCCTAACAATGAACAAGAAAGAACAAATCATTGCATTTATAAAATACCTTGTAAATGCGAAAATTTTTATTTAGGTGAAACACATCGAGTTAGAATCTATGGAGAGGGCATCACGTGACTAAAAACGACCTAACTTCGGCCATATTGGTATTATTGTTCTGAAACTTTTGACAGATCGTATATGTTTGGTTATATTTGTTGTTTTTCGAATATTTTCAGTTTTATAATAATTTTATAGAAACTGTAATATATTGTGATAGTGCATAATAATGGTTTCTTGTTCTCAACGTAGTTGCAGTAGCAGAAGTAATGTTAATAAAAAATCTTCAGGAATATCGTTCCACAGGTTAGAATACAAATATGTAAACAAAGTAATGGTCCGTACTTCAGAGAATAATTTAATACTATTTGACTGTATTAATTTATCTTTATATATATAATATATCGTGTTTTTAGTGTTTACTGCGAGATAAATAAATCATAGTTTATTAAAAATGTATTGCACTTTTTTAGATTATGATTAAATCTTCTGAATAACTAGTCATATTTGTATAGTAGTTTTATTATTATTGAGTCTGGCCCTGATGTCACCGCCATATTGGTATTATCGTTAGCCACTCCTACCAATGCCGTTTTTAATACATACGTTAATATGCTCATAGCTTCTCCATAGATTCTAACTCGATGGTGAAACACCAAGACCATTAAAGGTCAGTATAAGTCAGCTCAAAACGTGAGAAATAGAGAATTTGATAGATCTCAAATATGTAAACACGCATGGGAAAATGAACATAGAATTTAGTGGAAAGATTCAAGTAACTTCCTCGGCAGAATGCAGTGGGATCTGGTTACCCATATTAAAAGAGGAAATCAACAAAAAGAAAAATCACTATTAGTAAGTCAATAACATATCGATAATACATGATTTGTATTTTAAAATAACCCATATAAAATCAGAATTTGGTGTTAATATTGAGAGTAAATTAAATGTAAGATCAAAAACTTACCCTGTCGGGATGATATCATGGGGTTTTTTCTTGGCTTGTCGTCATGATTTACTATATGATCACTAACAAAAGAACTTTACTGTCATACTGCCAATTAAAAATAACGTCCAACGTCCAGGAGATCGGAGAATTTATTTTTCTCAATAAGCCAGTAAATGACTCTTGTTAAACAATCCTTAACATTTTTGTCCATCCTGACCATACATTGTTGTCTAGCGTTTGGTGTAATCAGTCGTAATCTTATGGGAGTGTAGTACGCAATTGACATTAAAGATTGTTTACATTTTTTATATGAAAAACTTTAGGTTATGACCTATTGAACTATTTGACGAGGAAATTATTTAAAAAAATACCTTTTTATATAAAAAATTTTGATTTTTAATATTACAGAAAGTATTATTTATCTATTATACACAATTTTAGAATTCTGTTTAATTTTTTAAATAAAAAACTTTTTGATTCTTACACATATAAAATAAAATCAAAATTCTAAGAAACCTAAGAATTCTTTTTAAACTTAAACATATCCAATTTAATTTGTTTTCCTTTCTGTTTTTCAGTGTCAGGGTTATCAAGTTTTCTTTTTTCTCCACTCTAAAAAAGATACTGGTAGTATTTATTGCAAAATAATACATGTATTAAATAGTTACCTCTGTATTTTTATTTCTATTCTCTTTGGTTTGTACTTCATACTCAATACCGGCAAATTTGTCAGTCAAGCTAAGAGGGTTGTTAGTTTTCTCTTTCTGGGCTTGTAAACGTTTCAAAAATGGATTTGCATTTGCTTCCATCTGTGCTACTTTCTACAAGAAATATGAAGTGTGCATAAGTTTAAAAAAAAATTAAAACAATAAACTACATCAAAATCCAAAACCCAAAGCAATCGCCAATTATGGTGGGGTTTCAACATAATTTGGAACGTTTTATACGTTTGACATTCCTTTCCTCAGGTAGCTGTAGCTTCCTCCGTGGCTGTTGTTAGTTGTTGCCCTGGAAACCATCAAGGACTTCTACACTATTGCCACAAATTGGTTACACTGCTCCTGTAGTGATCTTGTTCTCCTATTCTAACTTTGCTGTGTCGTACTGATTACGACCAAATCCAAGATCAAAATAAAAATCAAAATTGTATCAATAATGAGACCAATATAAAAGATCTCTCCAATATATATCACAACTTAATAAATTGAGTTGTTCTTAAATTCGCCATTGGCAGATATTTTAAATACGACCCTGAACCAGTCGTGTTTCAAGTGTCACCTTTGCATTACATCGCACACTAGCACACGGTGCAGACCTAAATGTAAACCGTATTATGTAATATTTAAATACTTAAAGGGCTTATTATGAATAATGAATTCGTTTCCAAAGTCCAGTATGGACTAAAGATTATCATTATCATTGTTGATCATATTCTTTGGTAATTTGTCCTAACCATGGACAAACGTTACTAGTTTGTCGCATAGTTTTCGTAGCATCCTCATCCACTCCATTTTTTAATCTAAAATTTTTGACCTACTTCAACGTGTACTTTGACGGTGGGGCATGGATCCCATGTAGCGTTGTTTTGTTCTGAGGATTGTATTATATGTCCTGTTCATCTCATTCTTCCATTTTTATGAGACATCACATATTTCCTATTTGTTATGGTTGTACTTAATCCTCCGGATACAATTTTCACTGATGCTATCCAATATTCCAACCAGAATCCTTTGTTCAAAAAGTTTCTGCTTTAGAGAGGGCCTGTGTTTCGGAAAGGATGTCTGGTAAAATAAGGATTCTGTATATTGTTATTTTTGTTTTTTCGCTAAATGTCTGTCTTTTAATCGTCTATTCAATTCAAGGTAGTGCTTATTTGCTAGAAATATCCTCCTGTTTATTTCATCTATGAAATAGTTTTTATTGGTCAAAAGCGAGTCTAAATATGTAAATTTATCTACTAACTTAAAGATAGAAGTACCGATGTTGAAATTATGACCAATAGGTTATGGCTTGTTATTGAATTGTCTACATTTCTTCTAATATTCGTGTAGAATATTAGGCAGTTCAGTCTAGACCAATTGCGGAAGTCATAATTTACAAAGATATATTAAAAATGATCCCCCTTTGTCTAATTTGACATCTCTTAGTGCTTTCTCCAAGACTATGTTAAAAAGAAGTTATGCCACAGCATCCCCGAACTTTAAAGATAGGTACTTTATTTAAAAAGACAAATTTTTGAATGTCATTAAATATTGGTACTATAAAAATTGTGATCAATAAATACCTGAGTATCCACAACGGTTTCATTAAAGGTACTATCGAAGGTACTGTTCGTTGTACTTGTTTCGGTTTGAGGGGTTTGCACATCCTAAAACCAATTCAAAAGAAAATAATATTATACAATCTATTATATTTCTGTTAATTGTATAATTAAGTCGTTAAATATTGTGAATGAAATTTAATTTAAAATTCTTCAAATATTACGAAATAGATTACAAAATTACTTTAATTTAATATACTTTAATATACTAATATTAATATACTTAAGAAACGCAACGAAAAATTTAAAACTTTACTAATGACAGGAAAACTGGAAATATAAAAAAAAGACCTATAATACAACATAACAACGAAACATAAAGACAAAAAGAGTAATGAAGGGAAAAATAAAATCTATTAATTGAGCTCCAATATGTTAGAACGTTAAAATATTTTAAGATACTAACATCTCAGGCAATATCATGGTATAAGCTCAATTTCTTCGATTAATATGAACATAAGTAAATTTTATTTTAAAAATTGTCTTTTATTTTAAAAGATTGTTACACATCATCTTCATTATGATACGGAATAATTGTCCATAATATTATCAAATGAAAGATTGATTCATTGTCCCCAAATAAAGATTGATCAGTACAAGAAAAAGATACATTCTACCAACAACTGGAAAAGATACTATTAAAAATAGGCAGTGGGCGAGAAATAATAATGATAAGCGATTTGAACGAAAAACTGGAAGATGACAATATAATCCAGTAATAGGTAAATTCGGCAAAGAAGTGACAAATTATAATGGAAATAAATTTATAATCCTATGTACATAATTTGACCTGAAAATTATGGATTCTATCCGCACAAAAATATACATAAATATACTTCGCATCAGGACACAAGACAATTAAATTCATTAATTGACTTTATCATAGTTAGGCAGAAATCTGAAGTAAACATACTAAAAACCCCAAATATACATGAGTATAAAGTGTGGATTGAATTATTACTTACTGAAATCCATAGCTCAACTTTCCTGCAAACATAAAAACTATTAAATCTCAACCGAAAACTACGAAACAACTGAGAAAGCTGAATATAAACGGCTTTTACAATGACAGCACACCAAAACTATACCAGAACAGACTAGACCAGGTACTTAATTGTGCATATGTACACATAAGGGGAGCTACATGTGAACGCTTGGAAATCGAAAAGCGAACCTACTGACGAACAACAAACGGTATACTACGGAGTAATAAACTCGAACAGCAGAAACAGATAAAGCAAGGAGTGAATCACAAATGGCTTATCACTAAAAAGTAGACGATAAAAACCAATATCGTAATCAACAAAGGAGTTTTAAGAGAATAGTTATAAGACATAAAAACCAAACATGGGAACTAAAATGCGAGGAAGTGGAATCCTGTCTAAGTGAAAGCAAGTCCAAGTCTTCGGAGGCTTGGAGATTCATACAAAATCTAAGTACGGAGGGCATAAATACAACAAACCTACAAACCATCAACATCAATGTATTTAAAAGTCACTAGGCAAAAGAACTACAAGAGTCCAGACCTGAATATTTCAAATAAACACCCAGAAGATTCCTTAGTCATAGACCAGAAATTAACATCGCAGACAACCATTGCAACAATTTACGGCAAGTAATTTGGAAGCAAATGCAAACAACACTGCACGCTTTATATAATAATAACACTAACAAGGTTTGGTTTCAACAAGATGGAGCACCGGCTCACAATATTCGAGGAGTCGGCATACTGTTTGATAAAATATTTAGCAATAGAGGGATAATTAATAAAGATCCGTTTTTCGGGTCCCCAAGATCCAGTTGTCACCGTTAGATTACTATATTTGGAGATATATTAAAAAAATAAGGTGTTCTCTGAACCTGTCACTATTGAGGAAGCTATAATAAATAAAGTCCTTAAAGTTCTTAACGAAATAGATGAAGAATCGAAAGTTACTAACGAAAATCTTATTAAAAGAGTTCAAAAATGATTGGATGTTCATGAGTAACATTTTGAACATTTATTATATTAATAAGCTAGTGACTACTTTGATAGCATCTATTTAATTGTTTAATGTTAACTTACAATATGAAAGTTGTTAATTAACACAACATAGTCTACGAAAAAAAAAAATATTTTTGTGACCAAAATTTATTTGTAAACTGCCGAATATAGGTATAGGAAATACTAATACAGATCGATAGTAAAAAACATGTTTTTCTAAAATAATGAATCACATATAGGGTGTCCCATTTGAAAAAAAAAGGAATTTGGCGAAAATTTAGGATGCCGATTTTATGCCAATTTTGACAGCACCCTATATAATGACATAGGCAACTTTACACTGTAAACGATAATGCTGTATCTGGTTAATAAATTCCTAAGGAATTTAAACTTTTATTCAAATTACATTAGAGGATATTGAACTTTATATAAATGGTAGAAAAGTGTAATTTTCATATAAAAAACCATTATAACTCAAAAATGGTTCAAAATAAGTATAGGAAAGTATTAACAAAAAATGTTCACAATAACGTGAATTTTTCTAAAGTTAAAAAATATACAGGGTGTCCTATTAAAAAACGAAGTTACAAGCAACTTAGGTCCCGAAGTAGCAAATAGATGAAAATATTTTTATTAAATAGGCCCCTCTTAAAAACCCCTTCATTCCAGTTTTCATGATACAGTTACCTTAAGTTCTCGAGTTATATCTAATTGGCCGTTTATCTACCGCACCCTGTATAATATAATTTTTTAATACAATCAAACAGGAGTAGTAAGGGTAGAAAGTAGTAAGACAAAACAGACATGAATTCAAAGAGGGGTTAAGCAGGGACATACTATCACCACAATTGTTTATTGAATACTTGCAACTAATATTTCGGGAAGCACTATGGGAAAGAACTAAAGGTATAAGAATTGAAGGAACATCGTTAATAACGTAAGATTTGAAGACGATACAGCAATTGTGGCAGATAATATAGAAGGCCTACAAGTCTTTTTGGAAAATATTAATAATAAAAGCAAGAAATTGAGCCTGATGATGAATATAAATAAAACCAAATATACCGGTGAATCGTCAAACCGGGCCATAGGAAACTCGATGGGAAATTTTAAATTGTTGAATTGCTGTTTCCCTAATTATTTTAGATCAAAAGTCATAAAAAACTATTTGTAGAGGACTAAAATCTGAATTAAAAACAAATGTTAAAACCGTTCTACGAATCAAATGTACTTCAAAATTTTTAAAAATATAATAGATTTTTCAGACCACCCCTAAAAGTTAGGCCACACGTAATACAAGAATATATAACGTGTGTGTTTTATCATATTATTGATGTCAGATGTTTGACAATTTGAATTGTCAATTTTTTTGTTTTATGATTAAATGATAAGCAATGAATTTTACTAAATACTACTACTACTGAACAATATTACTTTGTGAACAATAAATTATATTGTTTACAAATCGATCAATATAATGAAATGTACTCAGTTGACGAAAAATCGCATAATGTTGTATTCAGGCAAGAGCGCGAACCTTTTCCTGTCACTACCGGATCTTTATTTAACGTAAGATATTCTAATACACTAAAATTTAATTCCATGATAAGTTATACAACAATTCAATGAATTCCAATTGTGATCTTTATTCCTAAAAATAATTTATGATAATTTCTAAACATAAAACTATAACAAATGTTATAATAAAACATAAATAAAACATTTTTATTATTGCTCTTTTCTCCTTAACTGAGTACATTTTTTAATCAACTTAATATTTTTTTAAATAATAAATCACAAAATAAAAATATTGGCCATTTAAATCATAGATAAATATAATATAGTTGATTTAAATATTGTCAAATATTAGAAACGTCAATATGACAACACGCAACACGTAATACACATTTTTTTCACGACGCGCGACGTCTGGCCTGACTTTTAGGGGTGGCCTGAAAAACGTATTATATTTTAGCAAAATTTTGGAATACGCTTAAGTCGTAGAACAATTTCAACAATTGTTTTCGATACATATTTGAGTCCTCTACAAATAGTTTCCCATGACTTTTGGTGTAAAATAATTAGGGAAGCAGGAATTCAACAATTTAGAATTTCCCATTGAGTTTCCTATGGTCCGTTTGACGATTCACCACCCTGTATGTCTGATCTCAAAAACCCCTGTCGACAACGTACAACTGACACTGGAAGATAAACAGCTAGGGACAATCGAAAAGTAAAAATACCTAGAAGCAATCATTAACTCCCAATTAGATCAAGATGAATAGATAAAATTCAGAACAGAAATAGCCCGAAAAGGATTTGCAAAATACAACTCAATATTCATAAATAAGAAATTAAGTTTGTCTATTAAATTGCCGTTCGTAGAATGTTTGGTCGCAGCTGCTATATGGGGTAGAAACTTTGAAATCCCAATCCATAAAAAAATTAGACGCATTAGAAATGTGTCTCTACAGATGTATTCTTAAAGCTCTTTAGACGGCTAAAATCACAAATGAAGTATTAGGATGCTATAGATACAATAGAAAATGTCTGAAAACAGTTAAAATAAAAAAAAAACATCATGCTCCAGAGCACATACTTCGAAATCATAAATACTCTCTTTTATATGCAATCATGCAAAAGATGGAAGAAAAGGCGTGGGAAAAAAGGAAATCTTTATTATATGACACGAAAAGAAATTTATTATAACCATTTTTATTCATATTAAGATGAGTATCACAAATAATCGTTTATCTACTTACGGAAGCTTGTGACGTTTCACTAATGTCCGGAGTATCAGGCACCTAAAACATGCAAACGATACATAAAACATATCAATTAAAGAATATCTAAAATTGGTTACCTCTTCTGATTTATTAGTTTTCATTTTCGGAGTACGCTTATGTAAATTTAAACTTAATTTTTTATATCCTGGTTTCACGATTGGTGTTTCCGATTTTTCCACGGACGGTGTTTCTTGTTTTTCAGTCTCCTAAAATAGTACATTATTAAATCGATATGAAAATTTAGAATGAGCAATTACATTAAATAAAACTAATAGCGTCTTCACTTTTTTTTAGTAGCAGATTTAATATATTGTTCAGTTCGCGAATTTTGTTTAACCCTTAATGGGGAGTTATGCCACGTATCTCGTATGCCACGAGATACATTGATTATCTAAAAATTTTCTTCTTTAAGTGCCATCTCCGCGACGAAGGATGGCAATCATCATGCTCTGAACAAGTGCTTTGAGCTGCCACCAAACCACTCTCTCAGGATCTTCAATCAGGGAATGCGTCTTTTTCCTACGCTTCTCCTACCCTCTATTTTTCCTTGAATTATGAGTCTCAAGATGTTGAATCTTTCGCCTATCATTACATGTCCGAGATATTGCAATTTCCTTTCTTTTATTGTATTTTCCATTTCCTTCTCTCTACCTATTCTCCGTAACACTTCTGCATTCGTGACTCTATCTACCCATGGAATCCCTAACAATATTCTAAATATCGACATTTCAAACGCGTTAAGTCGATTTATTGTATTCCGGTTTAATGTCCATGATTCAGCTCCATAGTACACTGTGTACATAGCATTTACCCATTGGCCCTTATTCTGAGGGCCAATGTCAAATCTTTGCTGCATAAAATCTTTTTCATTTTCACGAAGTTAACACGTGCTTTTTCAATTCTGACTCTTATCTCTGCAGTATAATTATTTTCTGTGATTATCGTTCCCAAGTACATCTTTTTACTCTCTCAATCTGCTGGCCGCCTACCGTTAATATTTCATTTGTATTGTCGTTCTTACTAATTTTCATGAATTGTTTTTTTTATGTTAAGAGAGAGTCCGTATTCTCCACTATATCTTAATATTTTGTTCTTTCTAAGTCTTCCAAGTTGTCGGATATTAGGACTGTAACGGCCGCATCCCTAATGTTGTTAATTAAACTCCCGTTCACTTTTATGCCGACTGTCTCGTCTACCAAAGCTTCTTGTATGATTTCTTCAGAATAAGCATTAAACAATAACGGCAACAGTATGCAACCTTGCCTGACCCCTCTCTTTATCTCCACTTCTTCTGAAACTTCTCTTCCAATTTTCACATTTGATCGTTGGCTGTAGTATAAATTTGATATCAATGTTACATCCCTCACATCCAGATTTTTGTTTTTGACTACTTCTATAAGTCGGTCATGTTTTACTTTATCGAATGCCTTGTTGTAGTCTATAAAGCATACATAAAGATCTCGATTAACATCCAAACATCTTTGGGTCAGCACGTTAAAAGAAAATAGTGCCTCTCTTGTGCCCACTCCATTCCGAAATCCAAACTGGGAATCACTAATATCCATCTCCAGCTTAGCGTGTAGTGATATTAGACTGATCGTTCGATAATCACTACATACTTTGGCATTTACTTTTTTTGGTAGACAAATAAATGTTGATGTCAGCATTTCACGTGGAATGATTCTTGTGGAATAGATTGTGTTTAGTAGTTGGACTAAAAATCTATGTTTTTTTCATTGACCAGTTTTAGCAATTCACTTGGTAATTCATCTGGACCAGCAGCTTTATTATTTTTCATGGACTTTACTGCATGCATAACTTCTAACTTTGTTATTTCGGGTCCCTCGTCTTTACGCTGATTATCTTTATATATATTTTCCTGTCTCTGGTCATGGAATAATTCCTCTATATATTCTTTCCATCTTCCTAATTTTTGTTCCGTCTCCACTGAGATGTTTCCTTATTTTTCCAATAGTATGCTTGAGGTTTTTGTGTTGCTACCCCAGCTAATTCTTTAACTTTCTTATGGAGATTGAAGTTATCATATTTGATTTGTAAATCGTCTATTTCTTGGCATTTTCCAGCGAAATAAGTCTCTAGCTTCTCTTATTTTCCTTCTTGGAAGGAAATTTTCCAAGAAGGATAATAAGAGAAAAAAATATTTACGGGAAATTCATTAAATTTGCGGGGCAAATCTAGCAATGTGTACTATAATATAGTGTATACCATTATACCAATATACCATTTACCAAGTAAAAACGTTGCACGTCACAATTTATACAAAGTGACGTCACTTGTATTTACAATTTCCAGAACATCAACCTTGGATTTCATACTTCCCTTACACAGCTGATAATAATACGACACCCATACGGAACTGCTCGATCTTTCATAGGCGTCAACATGGTATAATAGTCAGAAAAATGTAATCATGATTAACATTGGAAATTTTAAAAGTATATTGATTAAATAACCAAAAACATTTGTTATTATTATAATATAAATTTTTGAAAAAATTTGGTTTATGTTTTGATTTCTCACTCAATTTGATTTACACATTTACGTGATTGGTCTACTAGCAGAAAGTTCTGAGGTGAAAATAATTACACACGACCGTAAAAGAATTGAATGGAATTTGCAACCCTCAACTCTAAAAATGAGAACAGGTTTATCAGCAAAAAACATACCAAAGGCTAAAAAATTGAAAGTCAAAAAAACAAGACGTTCATGGAAACCCTTGCATTTTGAAGAAGAGTTGGAAGAGCATTTTAATTTAAAAACAAAAAATAAACTTCAAAATCGTCCTCAAATCATAAACGATATGATCGAGTCAGGAGGTCGTCCAATATTTTTTGTTTTGTTCAAATAGAAGCGATGATCTTGTCACCAAAACAACAACTTATAAACGTTACAGTTATATTCATAAACAAAGGGTAGCTGTTCTGCAGCAATCTTTGATACAGGAATACAATACTGGCATGGTAGGAGTGGATTTGTTTGACCAGTGGCGTTTGACTAGTGGCGTGCTCGTCATCGCACAAATATTAGAAGTCGAAAATGGTATTAACCAATATTCCGATATTGGTTAACACTGATTAACACCTAAACCTCGTACTCTTACACCTCAAAGAACCTCAAATATCCTTGATGAAGTTGGATGTAACAGACTTGATCATTGGCCGATCCAAAATCAAACATAGAGGGGTATTTTCTTTGTAAACATTCGTTAGTTCGTTAGTTTAGTTTCTATTATTGTATAATTTCTAATAATAAAATATGGTTTTGTGAAAGCCTAGCTCGTAAGAATATTTAGACAGCTGTTTGCGGCAACTTAGCTATATTTTAAACAAAAATGCTTGAAGTATATTGTATCTTAACCCATTTTATAGCTAAATTGAAAAGAAAAACATTTTTGAATAATTTTAAAGGGGGTCAGATTTTAAGGGGGTGTTAAATACATAAACACAAAACCAAATCGAATGGAAGGAAATCTCAAAAGAAATTTTGAAGGCTGAAAAACAAGATAAAGCAAAAATATGTGGCAATAGAGAATAAAATATGACAATAATAATGATGCCTGATTGTTGTTGGTTTTCTAAACCAATTTACGCGAAACTGGGAGATATTCATTCTTATAACGTAGAGCAAAACATTGTTACTTACTTTTTCATCAGCATTATTTGATTCTTCGGAAAGTCGAGCTAACAGATCTGTCAACTTTTCTATTAGTCTTCTTCTGTTTAACTTCGAAGCCAATTTTAGAGCAAAAGTTGTTATTTGAGGATTCATAAGAATCTCCATCAATTCTAGAGCTCTTTCCTCCAAATTATTCTTGCAGGCTATCTAAAATAAAAGCTATAAACGTTAATAAAAAACTTAGCACATTTCATTTTAAATAAAAGAATGGAAAAGAAAATAGTCTGTAAATTTTTTTTTAATATTTTTATTTTTACACATATCAAAAATACTTTTCTTTTCCATTCTTTCATTTGTCAGAAGTGTGTACAAAAACACACAGGTCTTTTCAACATTTTATTTTGTTTCACTTACTGCAAATACTTTTATAGCTGTCTCTTTGTACTTCTTGTCAGTGTCGGGTATCTGCAACATCGACCATGTGAATAAGTTCATCTCCATTTGGGTTTTGTCATTGGTGGTTTCCGCAAATGATGGTTCTATGCTTATTTCGCACATTGTTGGACGAGGTGTAAAACCAGGATACATAGTACCTCTGCATTTGATTCCACCCACTGTCTGATTGGATTCGAAGATAGTTGTTACGAAGAAACCATCGCCAGGCCTTTGACGCTAAAAGTAACATTGAGATAATATTTAATGTTTACAAAGTAAATTCAGGAAACACACTATTTTACAATATTCACGAGGTAGAAAGCCAAAGAGATTTAATATCATTAATATAAAAATTCGTTTACATTGTATCCCAAATCTGCAAAAAGTATAAACTACAAACCAGATAGATAAGATATACAAGACAAAGGAACATTTTAAGGGGTTCTTTGACCCAGGCTGAATCATATATAAATCAATACTACAATATGTAATAATAACGTTAGAAACTATACCGTCAAAGTGCAGGTGGCTACACGGTTGAGGTAAAATTATCACCTAAGGCGGGGTAGAGGGGGTATTTTGGTCAAACATTTTTGTATGGCATTTACAACTTAGGTAATATAAAAATATTGACCTGCGACCTAAAGCGGTACAAAATATTGGCACCAGTAGCAGGGACAGACAATCTTTGGTTTTCCGAAAATTTTGACCTCGTTTTCCCCATTTTTGATACAGTACGGCATTCATACACATAGTTTCGGATCGTTATTTATATTAATTTTTTTGCAGTGTCGTACATATCGGCTGGTACAGGGATAAGAAATCTAGGACGCAACCCTTGATTTTTTAGTAGTACAAATAATGTAATTTGAGCAGATATGGAACTTAATGATTTTAATTTAGTTACATAAAATAACATTTTTGGACATGCCGTACATTTTTCATGGCACTTGTGCTTATGAGAGGAAAAATAATTTCCCTCTGATAAGTGGGTTATTACTATCAAAAATTTCTATACGGCATTGATATATATTGAATCATAGATTCATTCTAGATCTTGATAAAAGGCTACCTTAGTGTCTTCTTCCTGTTCATTTGTGGGACAGTGTACATTTATAAGGGTTATGCTAAAGAAATGCGTTTTTATCCTAAGCTTGCAGATTCTTTCATTGATGGCTTGAAAGTCTGTTATCAGGTGTTTCATTTTATTATCTACGATAAAAACTACTCCAAATTCTTTATTTCCTTCATCTTTACCGTTATACAGTATAGTGTGTGTTTTAGTGTCCCGGATACCTTTTCCCAACCATTTAGTGTCTTGTACTGCTGTGATTCCTATTTTATATCTTTTCAGTTCGTGTAGAAGGATCCTCTGTGCTCCTGGTCTATTTCTCTCTATGAATCTATGACTCAATAATAAGAAACGACATGAAAATGGTGATAGGCGACACAAACGCCAAGATCGGAAAAGAAGAAGATTACATAGAGGTAAGAGGGAAACAGTTTGCATAGAGACACAAATTAGAATGGTCAGCTTCTAATAGATTTCGCAGCTGGAAAGAATATGATTATCAGTTCGACATGCTTCCCACATCGGGACATACATAAGGGCACCTAGATATAACCTGACGGAAATACAATCAATCAAATTGACCATATACTGGCTGAAAAAAGAATGGCGACGAGTATATTAGATGTGAAAAGCAGACGTGGCGCAAGCTGTAACTCAGACCATCTACTAGTACAGACACGGTTTAGATGCAAAATCCGTCGACAGGCAAAGGAAAAATATCCAAAACAAGAAAAACTAAACTTAGATAACCTCTGAGGTACAAGAAAGATTTGAAAGAACAGTGGATGAAAAATTACCAGAAGAAAACAGAGCAGACTCCACAATGGAAAACCAATGGAACATCATAATCAGTATAATACTCAACACAGTGAAAGAAGTCCTAGGAACAAAGACACAACGGAGAAAAGAAACATGGTTCGATGAAGAATGCAAACAAGCTATAAGGAAAGAAATGAAGCACATAAGAATTACATACTCAGACGTACTAGAGAAAAAAAAACAGAATTTGAGAACAAAAGACGAAGGGCATATAAACTGTGCAGACAGAAAACGAGAAAGTACGAAAAACAACGGATACTAAACATAGAGAGGGAGTTTAAGGAAAACAAAACACGTAGTGCATACCAATTTATCAAATATTTAAGACAGGGATACAAACCGAAGACTAGTCTATGCAAAAATAAGAAGGGTGAATCATTAGGGATATGGACGAAATTAAGAGAACCTGGATGACATATTTTAAGGACTTACTAAACAAAGGGACACAACCACCATTACAACAACAGAGGCAGTAGCAGGCACGGCATGAGGTACAACAACAAGAGCTGGGGGAAGATGGAGAAGACAATGAATTAACTAGACCCCCAACGCTAGAGGAGGTCCAAACGACAATCCACATACAAAAAAGCCATAAAGCACCGGGAATAAATAAAATACCGACAGAACTACTAGCAAGGAGAAAAGAACTTGACACAACAGATGTACCAGCTAATACGAGAGATATGGATATAAGAAGAAATCTCCTAACAATGGAAGAAAAGAATAATCTGCCCTATTCATAAAAAAGGAGACAAACTGTTGTGTCAGAATTATAGAGGCATCTCTTTACTTTGTTACAAAATACTCATAAACATCATTAATCGAAGACTTCAACCTCTCACGGAAAAAATAATCGGGAATATCAATCAGGGTTTAGGCAAAATAGATCTATCATTGACCAACTATTTACAGTTAAACAAATACTAGCCAGAGCATGGGAATATGACATGGACGTTTACAATCTCTTTGTAGATTTTAGACAGATAGATAGAACAGATAGAACAATTCTACCTAATATATTGGAAGAATTTGGCATACCATCAAAATTAATACTAGTGCAAATGACAATGTCAGAAACAGAAGCACAGGTATGTATTCAAGGACAGATCACTGATGCGTTTACGATAACGCAAGGACTGAAACAAGGCGATGGACTAGCTCCAATGCTCTTTAATCGTGTTCTTGAATATGTAAGGTGTTCTTGGTTGACGGTAAGCGGAAATAACGGGTGACGGTGAGGGGAAAAGGCCTAAAAGAGATGGGAAGACGAAGTCGATGAGAATGCCAGGAACTGGCATCCTTATCGACCCGATTGAGCTTGATTTGGGCTGTAGTGCCATTGGATGGATTAATATATAATGTTAATATTGACATTACAATGCCGTATAAAAAAAATTGTTCAAAATGGCTTTAAAAGTATTATAGTCTAAATTGTAAGGCCGCTCCTGTAGGAAACCTCTATCTGATTCGGTTTCTTCACGGATTCCTGTTCAAAAATGTCCCATTTAAAGAAATCAGAAGGATGCCGGGCAAAATTTTTGTGCAAAAATTGTTTAAACATTTTTTTTAAATTTCTTGGGTCATTCTCATTCAAATAAAAAAGTCTATTGTCATTTTTCTCTAAAACTGATAGTTTTAAAGTTTAAACAATTTAAAATCTCAAAAAAGCGAAAATACGCACTTTCGAAGCTGGAGAACTCATATGAAAATGAAAATTATTATCTTTCAGGTTGCCAAGTGCCTAAATTGAAGAGCAGTTTTGTGAAGGTCTATTAAATGATATGAATAAAAAAATATATAATAGAAAACTAAATCTATGGTTCGTTTTTATCGTATTCTTGCGAGTAATCAAGAACCCGTTCAACTTTGCAGTACTGTAAAACCCAGAAAAACTAATGAAATTATATAAATATCTTTGATTCCTCTCGTTTTTAACAGCTAGTAACACTAATTTGCGACTATTTTTCTCAGTCCCTTATATCATCATATTAAGAAAAAAATTAGCTTCAATTTGGCATAAAAAGCATGCAGTGGAATCATAGACCATAATGGGAATAAAATATCAGCAAAAAGTAAACAAATACATTTCTTCTTGACACAAAAACTAAAGAGGTTGTTATAATATTATACTAATTAAAGAAGGAAAAATTATTTCCTTAATTGAATTCGAGGTTTTCACATGTTAGTCAAAGATGAATCTCATGTATTTTTCTTTTGAGTGAATCACACAAGAGAAGACTAGAAATCATTTTTTTTCTATAATGTAACTTACATGCTTGGTAGTATCACAGAAGGGTATCCAAGTATTTGTATTATGTGGGTACATAGACAACATGCCCAGTGAATCCATCATTGCTGGTGTACCAACATCAGAAAATCCCAACCACATCAATGTCGATTCAGGACCCAAAGCCGAGCCGATGTCTTTACATATAATAGAGGTACCTGAAAATTAAATTAAAATGGAACGTGGTAAAAAACAAGGCGACAACTTCAGTTGATTAAAATTGTAATAAACATAAAAACAATCTGTTAATACAATAATATACGACAAAAAATTGAAAAAACTAAAATTAGTGTGACGATTCAGTACCAATCTCAGCTAATAGAAATAAGATGCAAAGGCTTATTTCACAGCTATTTCATGGCTATATCTACAGAAGAGTATTTTAACAATTCCATGTTCAAAACAGTACTGACAAACAATATCACTTGTGTGTATAATTATAATTAAAATTAAAAAACAAACATAAAAAACCCAAGTATATATTAAACAGACAATAGAAATTGTCAGTTTTATACAAGTTAAAAATATACAGGATGGTTAAAATGTTTTATTGTTTATACAGTAAAATTAATTTAAATTATTTAGAATATTACAGTAAATAGTGCTCAACTGTCCTGTCTGCCTTGTAATTTATTCACGCGTTTTTCTTTATTGATGGGGCACATTTCCAAAAACAATCTTTTTTGTAACTATTTTCTTGCCTTAAGATTCTGGCATTTGATTAGTCAAAATGGTGCCCAGTTTTTAAATGGTGGTCAACTGTCGCACACGTATTTTTCTTTTTTGTACAGTAACTTTTGTGTTGTGCTATTCTCTGTTTGAAGCCACTGTTAAGTTTGACCGACATAACAGCCCTGACAATCCGAATAAGACAAATTGTAGATAACATTAGTTTTATAAAAAGTCGGAGTCTTGTCTTTTACTTTTGAAAACATTTGTCAGTTTAAGTACATTATATTTAACAATTTTTATATTAGTAAATTGTTTACATAATCTAGTCACCGTAGGCGTTAAATGCCTTATCGATGACAGTACAATGCAATATCGAATTGGCTGTACTGCTCCGATACCAGTGGGACCGTCAAAAATGTCCGAGTTAACTAACAGTTTTTTGAGAATATATTTTGGGTATCCATTATTTTCAAAGATGTTTAATAGCTAGTGAAGTTTCTGTTCATAAACTTTTTGTCATTAATATGCCTTACTCTATTTTTCATTGCAGATATTGGCAGATATGTAAAACCCGTAAAAGAAAAATGAGTGGTGACTATTATTACAAAATATCACTCCGACGCTGATTTATTAATGAATATGAATTTGTCAATTGCAAATATCGGCAATTCATCGTGTTTTCGGGATAGTTTAACATACAAATTTAAGTTGCAAAATGATTTACAAATATACATACAGTGGGTGATCAAATTATTATGATCAGTCACAAAAATTTAAGTTTTTCATATTTGTTCAGAAATTTTATAATAAAATTATATGCTGATATACGATTAAAGTATGCCAATATATTTTGTCACTGATAACCTTACTTTTTTGACGTTTACCGCTCTAGAACTGTCATTTGTGTCAAATTACGTGACAACATACACATTGTGGTGAATTTACGCTTGGAGTTTACAACTGAATTTGTATGTTTTTGTATTGTTTTTGAAAGATTAGTATCGTTTTATCTTTGTAGTATGTTTTATTAATTTATTAGTGGTGATTGTGAGTGAAAAAAGAATATCAGTTTTAATTTTAAAGACATTTTCAAAACATTTCGATTTTTGAGAAGAAAATCATAATGGGTAAGGCTAAAGACGTCCCTGTGTCTAAAATGGTGGAAATAAAGACACTTTTATTGAATACAAAGCTTTCCCAACGTCAGATAGCTCAACAATGCCAAGTAGCGCAAGCAACAGTGAGCAATATCAAGAAAAAAATTGAAACCAACAAACCCCTGATTCACCAGCTTGCCCAAAAATGTGGTCGAAAGCGTGTCACTACACCCAGAGACGAAAGAAAAATGAGGGATATATTCGTAAACAATAGAAAGAAGCCAAGAAGAATCCCCACGGGACTTATTCGTGAAGCTGGTATGCCAGTTTCTGACATGACAGTCCGCAGAAGGCTTACTGAGCAAGGTTTCAAATCATGTCGCCCTGCCAAAAAACCAAAGTTGACCATCGTAATGATGAAAAAGAGACTGGAATGGGCCAAAGAACACCAAAATTTGACAATTGAGGATTGGAATAAGGTAAATTACGTCACTACTAAAGTTTAAATCACTATAACCACTGTTTTTTATAACCACCGTTTAACTACTGTTTCTAAAAAAAATATCTTATAGTTTTTTTTATTCACAGGTTTGTTTCTCCGATGAGTCTACAGTGGAGATACTCATGGATAAGTCGGCCTTCGTCCGAAGGCGAGTGGGTGAAAAATATCATAAGGATTGCATAGTGGAGCGAGAAAAGCATCCTCTCAAGATTATGGTATGGTCTGTGATCAGCAGTAAGGGCACAGGGAGGCTGTACATTGTAAATGGAATGATGAATCAACATCAGTATATTGAAGTTCTGGAAAAAAAAAACTCATGCCACAAATCAAAGACTGGTTTGGCGAATCTGAGGATTTTACCTTTATGCACGATTCAGCACCGTGCCATAAGGCAAAAAGAGTAACATCGTACCTGAAAAAAAAAAAAGAAAATTAAAGTACTGAAGTGGCCAGGTAATTCCCCAGACCTCAATCCGATCGAAAATCTATGGGAGCTTATGAAGAGGGGGGTTGCCCAGGAAATTGTCACAAATAAGCAGCAGTTAATTGAGAGACTCATTGCCACCTGGCTCAGAAACGATAAAATAAAAGAAAACTGCCTGAGAAACATTCAAAGCATGCCAAGGAGGATCAAAGCTGTCATCGAAGCTAAAGGAGGTCACACAAAATATTAAAAAAAAATGTTATTTAAGGTCAAAGAAAAAAATATTTTAAAATTTTGTAAAAGAACGTGTTTATGATCTATTTTTATATTATATTCACATTATTAGACACTCATATGTAGTTTTATTCTTTATTAAACAGTAAAATATAAAGTTTTTTGAAGTGATCATAATAATTTGATCACCCACTGTATACCTTACCTTCAAACTTGATTAATCTAATATTTATACACTGATCTCCTTTTCTTACTGACGATGTATGAAAAGCTATCATAAGTAAATCCTTGAATGCTGTCATACATACTACTGGACCAGGTATTGAAACAACACCCCTTTGTGTACCAAAAGCGGATGCTATTCTTACTATGTAGTTAGCCATTGCAAAACAAACAAGATTTTCAGACGCGGCAACAAGAACTATTTCCTCATCATCTTCCATTTTTAACATCCACTCTTTAGAGCTGGCATTTAATGGTACTACATGAATTTGACTGAAAAATGTTAAATATTAACTACAATATTTAATAAATTAATAAATTAATTAATTAATGAACACTCATTTAAAATATTTTGAAAAACTGGATCACAATATAAGAAATTTGTTAAATAAGTAACCGTAGACTTTATGTAATCTAACCTAAGTAATCTCTTTTTTTTAAGTCGGTTTTTTATTTAGATATAATAATGTTCAGTTGTGGATAAATTATTTTATACACACAAGTTTTAAATACATCATTTCATATATTCTTTACGAACAGATATAGTTCTACAAAGTCACAACCTGCCTGAGAACGGATATGTAGCCATTAGTATGTAGAAGGGCACTCTTTTGTTCTGAGATCGAGAAATCGGTCTCGAAGGCGGATGGACCAAGGATGGTCAACAGTGGAAGGATGCAGAATTCAACAGGGAACCACTGCATTAAAGACTCATAGAGTACCTATAGTTAAGTCATTATGGTGTACAACAAAAATACTGGAAACCCTACTGATCATGAGAATAGGATACCAAGATCCGGCAGAGTGAGAAAAACACAAGACTATGCGGCTCACTTGGTCGTAAACATGCGAAATCCTTGTACAAGAGCGCAGAAACCAACAACTTTAAGAGTTGCAACGTGGAATGTTAAAAGTTTGTTCTCTGCAGGAAAACTGGATAATGTTGAACAAGAAATAAATAGACTAAACATCGATGTTTTAGGAATCAGCGATACACAATGGCCAATTTCTGGGAAATGTTCAACACGAAATGATGGCGTATTTTATTACTCCGGAATCGACAATAACACCCATCGTTACGAATCGAATCATCATTTCAAAGAAATGGAAAAATTCTCTGATTACCTGTACTCCTTATTCAGAGCGCGCAATATTAATACGAATTAAATAAAGACATAACTTAATAAATCTTACTCAAGTCTATGCACCAACAGCAGATAAAGATGACAATGAAATAGAACAATTCTACAACGATTTAGAAGAAATGCCGAAAGCAATAAAAAAGCAACACATCAACATAATAATGGGCGATCTTAATGCCAAGGTGGGTCAAGGTAAGGTAGGACAACAAGTAGGAAACTATGGACTTGGAAACAGAAATGACGGAGGAGATCGATTGATTCAATTTTGCCAAAGTGAAGACTTCGTAATAACAAACATCTTTTTCGAATTACCTCCTGGGCGTGGCTATACGTGGACATCTCCACAACATACCAAAAAACAAATAGTGAGAAATCAAATAGACTACATTATGATAGCAAGGAGGTATCGTAAAGCTCTTAAATGTACTAAGACGTACCCAGGAGCTGATATAGGCTCAGATCATAACCCGGTAGTTATTGTGATAGAGGCGAGACCAAAAAAGATTAGAAGACCACACAGAGAGGCACTAGATTTAAATACACTTAGAAACAAAAATATACGACAAGAAACATGAGAAGAAATAAATGAAAATCTCCGTTCAGTGCAGCAACAAATTAATGATACAAATAACGTTAACCAAAAATTAAAGTACATAAATACAGCTGTACAAACACATAAAAAAGAGAATAAAAGCAAAGAGGCGTGGATTAAAGAACAGTGTAAAGAAATGGAAACCTATGAGAAAAAGTACGATGCGTTCAATATGCACAAAAAAGTAAAAGTGATTACAGGAAGCATAAAGAAATGCCAAATAGGTAAACTTAAAGACAAAGATGGAAATCTTATTGTAGATCTAGAGAATAAAATAAAAAGATACATGGACAGAATACATGAATAAATTAATGATGAATAAATTATTTGAAGACGATAGAAACAACTTAACTCAGATAATCAATGCAACTGGGCCAGATATATTGAAAAAAGAAGTAGAATACGCAATAAGAAACGCTAAAAATGGAAAAGCAAATGGACCTGATGGAATTCCTACAGAACTGTTGAAGCTTTTGGATAATAAATCCGTAACCATAATATTACATCTATTCAATACAATATACAGTACTGGCCGTCAAAAATCCAGGCCGTAGAAGAATGTCCTAGGTGAGAAATTTAAGAGAGTGGTTTGGCTGTACCACTAACAAATTATTCGAAAAGGCAGTAAATAAAATTAGAATCGCCCTAATGATATCCAATCTCCGATAGGAGAGGCACTCAAAGAAGAAGATACATATTTTACATACAGATACAGATTTTATACTTTTAGGAATGTAGTTAACAACTCTTGGAGCAATATTCTTGTAACATTTTTTACCAATTGTCGTCGGAAATGGTAATGCTTCATTTTTTTTAATTTTTACTCACTTTTTTGTACATTATTTTGAAGAAAATAATAAATAAATTTTTAAAAGTGCCGGGGATTTGAAGTTCCGATTTTTTTCTCACCGGGCCGACAGAAGAGTTCCCCCTCCCTCCCTCCAACCGCCGAGCCAATATTCGACTAAAAAAAAGTCTCGCCCTACAAAATTTATTTCTATTGGTCGTAGAAACTAGGAAGTGCTGTAGCTTCATTAGCCGCTATTACTTAAAACATAATTGACCAACCAGAGAATCCGTTTAAAATTAGATATTTATCTTTTTAAAATAAGTTCAGGCTCAGTAAAATTTGTAAAAATTTAGGAATTTTTACAAATGTCAATGTTTTTTTTTAATTGAATTAAGAGCGAATTGGAAACGAAGAGATCAGAAACGAAAACAAAATCACAAATGTAATGAAAAGTAAATACATGGACACGCAGAGTAAGAGATTGGAGAGACATCAAGACCAACAAAAATAAATAGAAGTTGGACTCAAAAATGACGTGTAGATAATATTCGAATTACTGCAGTAGAACAGTGAATACACAAAGCATATGATAAAGATCACTGAAAAAACTATGTCCAGGAAGGGACTAATATAGGTTGGGAAAGACTAAAGAGAAGAAAAAGATTGTTCCTTAACTCCTTGTTCTACATTTATTCCGACGCTTAAATATTTTTCGCATTAAAAAAATTACTTTCTGCTTTATGAATTTTTTGTTTTTCGCCTGGATCTGTCTGAAATAACTTACCTAGAATTAGCAACTACGAGAGCACTCCTACTAACGGATCCCAAAGTGTAATCTTGGTAGTTTTGCATCATCATACTATTATGAAAACTAGAATCGTGAAAATCTACTTCAATCGATTTTATAGCTGATTCATCTGAGTTATTTCCATAACATTTAATTATACCCACATCATTCCAGCACATATATCTAGGATCTAAATGCTCTGATGTAGAAGACGGCATAAATGGAGGTTGGAGAGGAATTTCTGGAGTGCGAGGTCTTGGTGTTGGAGCACGAGAAGAACCTGCAAAGTTTTGAATATTTACAAAACTGTCAGATGTCTATTTAATTTTGTTTTTTGTTACCTGCGATAGATTTTAATTCTTGGTCATCATCTCCCATGAACTGCTTCTTCAATTTACTAACAGAGAAGACATTTTCATTATCTTCGTCGTCATCATCATCAAATGGAACATTATCAAAGTTCACATCATCAGCAAAAGCATCATCTTCTAAATTAGTCGGAAGACTTTTTACTGAGCACTCCATAACTCCCAACTGGCCCTCAACATCTGTATATACTACTTGACCATTTCCTAAAATTAAGAAAATGAATTAATGTAAATAAATAATTACATTAAGATCATGAATTATAATAGAAAATAACATGGTCTCCTACTTCTTCTAGGAACTTACAAATCAATAATTCTTCGTATCAAGTGATTGGCGTGTTGACACTGAGTATGCCCGAATCATCTTAACATACGCTCTCTCATTTTGGGATAAATAGGTATGGAGAGGATAAATTTATTACCAAACTTTCCACAATTCAGAGAGGCGTAGTTGAACACCTAATTGCTTCAAAATATTTATTAAGGACCACTGAAGCAATAAAACACTTAAAACATATTTTCCCTGCAATTTATTTATTTACAAGAAAAACATATCGATGAAATAAACATGATATTTACTAAAACTCTGATGAAAGTGAGTAAAGAAATAGCACAGACAACAACAAAAAAAGAAAGTTTCATATCCCAGGAAACAAAGATTCTTATGAACACAAGAAAAACATTACTAGAACAAGGGGACAGAAATAAAATGGAATGCAAAGAAATAAACAAAACTATTAAAAATATATCAAGGAGTGTAAACGGAGAGAACAGGAAGAAAAGATAGAGAAAACAATTGAAAAAAATAGAAACATGAAGTGCTTAAAGCAGAACCTGGGAAACATACAAATGAATAGCATAAAGAACAAAGGAGTGGAGACCAACAATATAAAAGAAATTTTACAGATAACGCACGAATATTATACAAATCTCTATAAAACAGAACAAAAACCAACCCAAGAAATCCATAATCAGTTACAACTGAAAATAAAGAACGTTAACTCTGACATACAACCAGAAATCAGTAAAAATGAAATAACAAAGGTACTCAAAGAAATAAAGAATAATAAATCTCCTGGGAAAGATGGAATAACTGTGAAAATGCTAAGACCCAAAGAGCCATGGAAAGACAAACGCTGAACATCAGGCTATCAGACAAGAAAAGAAATACTTGGATCCGCAACAAAACAAAAGTGAGCGATGTATCAACGCAGATAGCAAAACTTAAGTGGAAGTTCGCTGGACATGGAGACATGGACACTGGAGACCATGTAGTCACAAACGAAAAAGAGGAAGGCCACAAATGAGATGGTCAGATGACTTGAAGAAACACGCAGGCCCGAAGTGGACACAAACTGCCTACAATAGAGAGACGTGAAAGAAGAAAGAGGAGGCCTATGTCCAAAATTGGACAGCAAGGGGTGTATAGATAGATTATTTATAGTGAACTTAAGGGCTGATTCTACATAGATAAATATCGCAATTCTGATAATAATAAAAAGAGTTACAAATATCATTAGCTTTACAGTGCTAGGAGGCAGTAACAGATAGAGTATTAGGAGAAATAAAACTGGTATACGTTTTAACACAAAACACCGGTTGCAAGAAATGTCTGCTAGATGCTAAACAAATAAAAAAAAAACATCCTTCAACAAAAGTTGTATTCATCTATCAAATTTTAGTTTGCTTCAAAGAACTATTTAGAATAATCAAAGTTGTCCTTGGTAGAAAGCATAGCATTAATAAAAGAAATTAGATCAAAATATTAAAGGTGATACTGGAATAGATATTTTAAAAAAACTTGAAACAGTAATTTAAATAAACAATGGATTTCAGAAACTTACTGGGGTAGCTGACCTCCTTGTTGGTAATTTTTTGAAGAAATAGATTTAGAACGAAATATTTTTGTAAATTTAAAATATGCTTCCATTACATCCGTTTATGTGGAAAAACGTTTCTCAATTTACAAATATATGTACACAGATAGAAGCCATAAGTTTTATTGGAAAATTTTGAAAAAAAAATAGGTCATTTATTGTTTCCATAATTCTAAGGAATATTATTTTACTTCTTTAAAACTTTCGTTATAATTAATTTGTACATTATAATTACCTACTTAGTTTTTAAATTGATTTATTAACATTAGTTAATAAATCCATTATTACATATATGATTCGATTGACAGTTTGTATATTTTCTAAAAGAAATGCATATTTTTGGGTAAATTAGTGCATATTTATGCGCATTTTATCATTTTCTTTGCATATTTGCCGAAGTCTAATCATCAGTATACATTAAGCCATAGTATGCGACCTGGTGCTTACTAACACTACAGCCTCTGCTTTAGCTTTTAGTACTGCTAATTTTGCTTCCTTTTTAACGACCTGGACGATCTGTGTCCCACCTATTTTCTTGCTAGTGGTTATATAGTTTTTTCTTTTCCTTTATTTTTTATTACACTTAGTTGGACAACCACCAGGTCTCTTTATTCTCAAACTTCTTTCCTGATGTTTCCTTGGATATTTGAATAGCAGTATCTTTAATAATATTAGCCATATTCCTCAAATTTGTATTAGGACTTTCTTTTATGTTCCGGCTCATGTAGGGGAAGCCGGGGAAAACTGCGCACGGGGAATATCGCGCATCAGTATCTTGGCAACACGGAGTAAGTATTGCAACATTCGACATAGTGCGTCGTCTCGTAGGTATTGGCTAGCCGACCACATGTAGCATGTAATATGACTGCATTCGTAGTATTGGTTTAGACAAGGTCACAGATTGTTTGTTGTTCAAGACTGATATAATTTTCGACTAATCTTTAGCAAGCAGTAAGTGCTTTTGTTATTAATTTTCATTAAAACTATTCAGTGATTTATTTTGCTTTATATGTATAGATATATGTCACGTACAAAAATAATGCATTTTATTTAGTCATTAACGAACAGTGATAAGTTAAGTTAGGTTACTCACATAGGGGAAATACCGCGCAACTGTGTTGGGGTAATTTCGTGTTGCGCAGTATTACCCCGTATAAGAATTTTTGCTGATATAGTGTTTTTATTGCATTTTAGATTCCAAAATCTCCCGTGCTTACGTTCGGAAAACTGAAAGATCAAAATAGACAGAAGATAAACTAAAAGCTGCGATCACTGCTATACGATCTTGGCGAAAAATACGTCGAAGTAGGTCGATCATTCAATATTACAGAATCCACTCTACGTGACAAACTAAAGTCCAATAGCCATAAAAAAAAATAAAACTTGGCAGGAAACCAATGTTTAATGATGAACAGGAATCCACCATAGCCAACCATGTTAAAAAGTTGGCAAATATGTTTTTTGGGGTCACACCATCAGAACTAAGGCGTTTAGCATACCAGTTTGCTGAGGAGAATAAAATAAAACACCGCTTCGACTCAATAAAGAAGATCGCTGGTGAAGATTGGTTAGAACTCTTTTTAAAGCGTCATCCAGACATTAGTGTTAGAAAACCCGAAGGTACCAATCAAAACAGCATTTCTGCATTCGATAAAGATGAGGTTGAACGATTTTTTAACAATCTGCTCACAGTTATAGAAAAGTTCAAATTTCCTGAGAGTCGAATTTTTAATGTAGATGAAATGGGCATTTCTACGGTCCAGAAACCATCAAAAATTTTGGCACCAAAAGGGCAAAAGCAAGTAGGATCCGTAATACCTTGAGAAAGAGGGAAAAATGTTACTATAGTATGCGCTGTAAATGTTTCAGGGCAGTTTGTCCCTCCTATGTTCTTATTCCCTCTAATATGTATGAATCCACAATTAATGAGAGGTGGCCCAATTGGAGCAATCTATAGATGTTCAAAAAACGTTTGGATAGATGATATTTTTCGACTGGATAAAAAATTTTTGGCAGCATGTAAAGGCCTCGAAAGAAGATCCAGTGCTTTTCATATTGGATAACCATGGGAGTCGCATTTCTTTGGAGATTTATACTTACTGCAGATCACACGGAATTGTTATGGTTTCACTTCCCCCTCATACCTCACACAAGTTTCAACCTCTGGACCTAACTTTTTTTGGACCCCTAAAGAATGATTTCAATCGTGAGTGCGACTTCTATCTGAGAAATCATACTCATGAAAAGATCACACATTTTGAACTTGCTTCCATTTTTAATAGAGCATACCTTAAAGTTGGCACGATGGACAAAGGAATATTCGGGTTCCGTGCTACTGGAATATGGCCCATAGATCCTAATAAATTCTCTGAAGATGATTTCAGCTTAGTAGATCACACTTAAGTTTCAGATATGCACGATGTAATGGACTTAGAAACCGACGCTACCAATCATGGCTGGGCCCTTGATCAGTCGAGATGTGACGAAACTCTGCAGAGAATTCCATCTAATAATGCCAAATTGAAATCAAACCAGCAAGCTGCACAACAGCCTGGAACGTGAGGAAATATTAAAACTCAGTTCACTCCAAATTTATAAAGAAAAGTTCCAAATCACGTGCAAAACAAGTCTCAGAAATTTTCACTTCCACGCCACTAAAAACGCAATAAGAAATAAAACAAGAAAAGATAAATATTAAGAAAAAAGCTGAGGAGGCCAAAAAAAAAATGAAACCAAGAAAAAAAACGACAGGAACCGTAGGAAAACCGGCCACTAAAGCAAAGAAACGACCTGTAAGCAAGAAAGCTTGAGTTAGAAACTTATATTTTGATGATTCTGAGTCTGAAAGTTATGATGAGAGTAAGCTTTATTGTGATCATGAATTAGATGATGTAGATCTAACATTAGAAAATGACGAGTGTTTGGTGTGCTGTGAATTCGGACGAGACAAAGAAATTTGGTACCGTTGTGTAATGTGTTCGAATTTGGCTCATTCCGAATGTAGTGGTTGGGACTCAGTACTATATATGTGTGCCAAGGTCGAACGAAAGACAGTCAGAAAGTAAAATTATCTCTTTAATGTTTTTTTTTTAATTTTGTCTTTAACAAATCTGTTTTGTTTACAATATTTGCTTTATTACAATAAATTTTTTTTCGAATAAAGATTTATTTAATGCTGTGCAGAATTACCCCGTACTTAGGGAATACCGCGCAATGACAGTTTTTTAAAGTAAATTTTTTTCTTCAAAATCCGTTAAACTTAATCCTATTTTTTTATGGGAATAACGTTTCCAATAGATACAAGTTTCAGTAGTTAAATTATGGAAGTTTGTTTGCAGATAGGAAACTTTTTGTAAGTATTTTACCTTAGGTGCACAGAATTCCCCCGTTTCCCCTATAGACCTTTTTTCTCATCTTTTAACATTACCTGGCAACCATAATTTGCGACCATTTTTTCTCAGGCAACCTTATATAATCATATTAAACGAAATTAGCTTTAATTTGATATAAAAAAAACATGCATATGAATATCTTAATAATTATATCTTAACTGTATGTAAAAACGCGAGTTTTATTAACTATAACATGAAAGTACTGATCTTGCAGTATGATCTCATACTACAATTAAGAGATCACACTAGATATTATAAAAAAAATTAAAAACATCTATCAAAACAATAAGATGGAAGTCAGAATAGAAGGACAACTTATGGGACCTATAGATATAGGCAATGATAATGGGGATTCACTAAGCCCTATATTATTCAAACTAATTGTAGATGAAGTCATAAAGAGTGTCAACAATGGAAACAGATATATAATGGAGAACAATGAAATTAAAATAATATTGATAGTCCAAAATGAAGATAATTTTCAAAAACTAGTACACAGATTTAACACAAGAGTAAAAGAATTTAATGATGATTTGAACTCAGAAAACTAAAACAATAGTAATCAGTAAAGAACCAATAAGGTGTAACCTGGAAGTCAATGAAGTTAGCATTGAACAAGTAATGGAAATAAAGTACCTAGATATTACACTGTTCAGCTCTGCATACATTAAAAAAAACGAGTAAGAGATCAAGCACAAAGTGAAAATAATTGATGTTGGTTTATAGATCAATCTTGTCTATGTGGATGTTTAAACATCTTTAATTGAACTGCTTTCTATAGCGCGGATTAAATTGAGAATGGAATTTCAATAACTTGTAACTTAAATATGTCGATAGCAATTAAAGTAAACTGTATACCCAAGCTTAATCAAGCCATTCAGAGCGGTGCTGAAAATAATTATATTCCACTATGCACCAACAAGTTACCCATATAAATTACCATCATTATTGTACTCATTGCGTCGAGTAAGGACGATAATATAATTAAATCAAAATGCAACATTCTTCATATAAAATTGTAACTTGTTTTGTATAATGCATCGAGGAAGCTATCATATAATTGTATTGAGAAAAGATAACTTACAGGTTGTCGCCCTCCACACAACACTTTAACTTCTTTTTGTTACAAAAAATGGTAAATTAGAATTATAACTTAAATGAAAACTCAGAGAAATATATCTTTTTTATATTATATTAAAAACTCCCAATTCAATTTTGAAGCAAAGCTTCTATATTGGCATTGTATTACTTTTTTTCTCTACAGTAAAATACTGAGGCAAGTGTCACTGAACTAGAAGTCTACTAGCATCTTTTTTGGGGTCCCAAAATTCACATTCTCAGCAAAATTCAGCTTGTTCATCTGGTTTTTAGAGATGAAATCTGTGACAACTAGACAATATTTAAGAAAAATTGGATTGCAAAGTTTACACTAACAGATCAAAACCTGATACCTACCTGGTGGTGAAACAAGCATACTTTATGTCTGTATAACATCTCCTGCCAACTCCGTTTTAGACTCTCAATTGATATCTTTATTCATGTATGTATAAAATAATATAAGTTTCTTTTTAGAAATATAATGGCAAAATACTAAAATTGTTCTAGATCAATGACACTATGGATGCTACTGCCTCATACATTTCTTACTTTATTACACCATTTCTTCTGCCAACTCCATAAAAAAGTAATGTGCCTTAATTGCCTGTATGGTGGCAGCCATAACTCAGTGACTAGGTACTGGCTTACCAAGCCTGAAGGCTAGGCTCTATCTCAGCAGACACCAGAAAATTTTCAATTTCTAATTTAACTTAACCAGTTGAGTTTGTGTAGTATTTTCAATCTATTTAGCAATAAATTTAACATGTTGCAAGGTTTTTTTCTTTCTTATCTATCCTACTGAGAATGAAGTTAACAGTTTTCCAAATAATTCCATTCTATCCAAAATATTTTTAGACCTCATGCCTATAGCTGTGCAATATAAAAAGGCTTGCAGATCAGTGTACTCTACTACTGTCACATATTTCCATTATGTCTAGACTAGAAAACATTGTAGAAATGGATAAAAATTAAATAAAATATGATTATGTACAAACCTAAAGGATTCCATGTTAAACCACATACAGCTACAGATTTTTCATGTTTACTAAAGTTTAATACTTCTCTAGTAGCTACATTCCAGATTACAAAATCTCCCTCAAGTGAAGAGGACAAAATGTACTTTCCACAAGGAGAAAATGTTACAATAGAATATTGTGAAGACACTTTGTCTGAAGTTAATTTTGCCTTTTCTGACCAGTCTGAAACCTGAAGTACTACAACTGTACTTTTATCAGGGTAGGCTAAATACTTTCCTTCTGTTGGTTCAAAGGCAATTCGACCTAAAAAAACTAAAAATATATTCTGTTCAATTATTTATACTAATTTTTTTACTTACACAGTACTTTAGCATTGGAAAAACTATTAGTTTTTGGGAAACAGCTAATTTCTTTTATTAATTCTTTACTTTCTATATCCCACACTCTCAATTTAGTATCTCCAGACGAAGCTGCAACCTTCTTTATTTTTGATGATACAGAAACACTTAAACAGGGTCCCGACATTCCCTCAAATATTATTACTTCCTTTTCTGTCTTCTCCAAATTAATAAGTTTCACTTCCATATCCTCTCCAGCTAATGCTAACATCTAAAAATGATAATGAATGTAATTATTATATGTAATACTACAAAATTAAACTAGCAACTTTATGTTAAGAGTTTTACATTAGCAAATCAAAAATACCTTGCTGTGTCTGTCTACTGCTATATGATTTACAGGTGCAACATATCGTTCTAAAACTCCATTTCTATCACCATCAGTTAAAGAGAGGATTTGAATATCATTACTCCCAGTAGCCACATATATGCTGTCACCCTTTTGTGCAACAGATAAGGCCCATTCCCCAACACAGTTATGGATTGGGTCTTCCCCTTCATCTGTAGACCATATTCGAATGTCTCCATCAGCTCCACATGTAACAAATTTACTGAAAGGTAAACATGTTATTAAATATTTTTCTTACCTTCACTAAAAATATAATTAGGGAAGTTTTGATAGATTTATATCATGCCTCATAGAATATGAGAGCTTCAGAATAAATATGTGACCAAGGAAAGATACAACAACTGTAATACTTTTTTAAAATAAGAGCAACAAAAATTATTAATTTGAACTTTATTGAGATAATGTTAATTTTTGGCCAGTCTAAGGGTTTCATTTAAAAATTTACCTTCCATCTTCAGAAAAACAGACGTCGGTGTGACCTTCATCATGAGCATATCTTAGTTCCTCGTGTTTCATTGTCATTTTTATATTTTTTTACAGCTATCGAATAATAATTTTGAATATATATACCTTCTTCAAAACAATAAGTTAAAAACTTTCATTACACTTGTTTTTGACTTTGACAATAAAAAACCCGCGAAAATAATTTAGGGTAAACTAGGAACTTTTTTCTCTATTTTTCAGCCAAAATTTTTATGATTTAGTGCTAGCCTTATCTGATCAGTACGGATAAACGAAGTCAAACGCGTATGATTTCGTGTCCAAAATTGAACAGAGTACACTTATGTTTCTCACTTACTCACTTTAGTAAGGTATATGACTCTTTCTCTTCAATGCTTTTTTTAATCTAGTATTACACTGATGTAATACATGTTCAAATTTCCTAAAATTTAGATTATTTGTAAATGAAATGTATTGAATTATAGAAGTAACGTTAGCACTTTAATTTAGGATTTATGTGTAAAATTGGTAGGTTTGTTTAAAATTTAATTTAAAATTGTTTAAAATGTCTTATTTTTATTATTTTTTTCTGTTTAACAACATTTAGAAAATTATATTAACGTAAAACAAGAGATTTAATTGATACTTTTATTTAAAAAATTTCTAAAGAGCGAAATATTTTATATTAACAAAGTTAGTAATTCGCTAAACGAACAGAGGCAAGATCATTGAAACGAACGGAGCGATACTCTGCTAGTTTCTTATGACCGGACCGCCATTTTACATTGCCGAGGTGGGGATACGGTAACTAGCGTTCTTATTGAAAGAAATTTACGAAAGTGGCGTTTTATTTGAATATATTTTTAATAAATTAGTGTAAATTACAGACATAAACATAAAATTTAGTTGCTCGGACCTTTAACAAAAAGTGATAGTGTTTTGTGATTTTGGAGTAAAGAAAGCTTGCTGCATTGGGAATCTAACAGCGTGGCTCCATTGGCTTCTCTTTGTTTCTGTACTTTCTGTCAGGGAAAGTGTAAGGTACGCATTATGATAATACATTTCTTATTGTTTAATAGCGCGCTTAGGCCGAAAAATAATCAAATGCCGCGTCAAGATCATGAAGTAGCGGCTGCCGCTTGCCCGTGTTTTTATTCCTCGTGTCTGACGGATTGAGCTGTTAGTACCTAATCTCGCCCAGATATGCCAATCATGTTTACATTTACTATTCAAATAGATACTTGCCGGACATTTGCAAAATGTTTGTACGACTTTTTGTAATAAAGTCGAAACGATCAAATACTCACAAATGCCTGATTGCGGCTTTGGTTTTTATAAAATTAAGTGATTTTCTATTTGGCTACTCCGAGGTATGGCAATGACCCGCATTTCACTTGAAGTACTATCACTTTTGCACATCTATAAATTATAATTGCTAGCTTTAGGCTTTTACTTTTCGTTTGAATTATATAGTTACTAAATTTGTTTACTCTAATAAACGAACAAGCTCGTTATCTATTTAAAATTATTTAGTAAACACATTAGTGTAAAAAGCTTTGTATAGTTTTTGAATATGTTTGGTATAGTTTATTTTTTCATATGAATTGATTAATATACATGATAACCACTTTTGTGCCTATTATGGTAATGAGTTAGACGGGTAAACTAACATTCCTATTTTATATTAAAAATTCAGAAATTTCCATTAGTCCTAATAAGTTTTATACAAAATAAGTGAAGAGTTTAAACAACTAATTAAAGCAGTGAACTAAAATCAATTAGAGCTTTAGAATGAATAATTAAAGGGGTATTGGGGTGAAAATAAAATTTGCAATATTTATATGCTACAGTAATTAATAATATTTGTCAATTATGTATCTTTATTGTGTAGACATTCTGCATTTATTACTTTCCTATTCCTATTAGGGGTGGAAAAACAAAATATTGCAAGGGTATCCATAATGTCCTGTTCACCATTTCTATTATCTTGTTCAGGTCAATGGATATTAACAGTACCATTTTTTAAATTATAAGTTTGTATAATAAATAGTGTATAATTTAAATTGACTCTGTTTTAACATTGAGAATGATGGCAGGCAATTTATTGGACTTAATAATTAGAATTTAGTAATAAATTCATCAATAGTCCTTTACTGTCATCATTCCTAAGATGATCTTAATCAATGTCTTTCTTTCAAGGTTTTATGTTATATTTGTATTGTATTACTTTTTCATTAATGTGAGTTTCAGATCTACATGTAAGGGTTTGGTTTTTTATAAACCAATATGTTTTTCACACATGTTAAATCTTTAAGAGAAACATTCTGATGTAGGATTTTTTTATAACCCCTTAACTGCCATATGCCTAAATTGGCAATATATTTTTATTGGTGAGGCAGAGATAATTCAGACATCCTGTCAATACTTTAGGACACATATTTAAGAGGGTATCTTTTTAGTTTGACCAAAGTTTACTAATTTTGAAAAATAAATTGCCAGCTACAGACGTTACTCCCATTTTAAACAAACTGTGGAAACATGCTCTGCTATCATATTAAAAGTTTCTATATAGATACTATATGCTTTAAAATGATGATTTCATTTAATTTGGTTTGACAACTACACATGTCACCTCAAAAATATCAAACAATTTAGGAGACTCTAACACAAAAAAAGATACAAACATCAAGTAGATAATTATGAAGAACATTTACAATGTAAATAAGCAGATCTGAAATCACCATAAAATCTATACTAAAAACTAAGGTTGAGTTTCACATGAATAAATATCATTTTAATTCCCAATTCTATTGGTATTTTGGAAGCTAAATTGACTTCTCCCGTTCTTAACTTTACATGCTGATGGCATACTTATGAGCTATATAGTACCTCCACCAATATGCCATTGGATATATGCACTTCTAGGTTGTTCTGTTCTTCAGCAGTTAAAGAACATACCATATTAGAAGAAAAATCAATACTTGTAAAAATTCTGCTCAGTTTTAAGTTAGCAGGATGCAATGCAGTTATAGATCTAACAGAAATGACAAGGTTTACTGCTGCAAGAGATATTTTGCATTTTTTTTTAAATATTGATAGGTTGACAATGAAATGTAAACCTGTTGTACTAAGTAAGCAAAGATATGTTTTAAAACATCTTTATGTATAATATTTTACTGCTCTGTTGTGTCAATCAGTGCTGCTCAACAAGTTTTTGATTTATTTTATTGAAATAAGACCTATGGAATATCATATTTATACAGCGAATTTATTATCAAATATGTTTAATGATTTTTGTTAAATTTTTTGTCATATAATATAGGTATATAGATAATATAGGTTCACCAAATAATCAAACTTATGCCTTTGCAAGCTTTGTTATTAAAAACATAAGGTTTCATCCACACATCTCTCCAATGGCACTAAAGCCAAAATCACCTTAGCCTCCTCCAACCTCACTGGTCTTGCGCTGATAGTCTCTAGGTTCTCACTTCTAGCAAATTTTGTGTGCCTGTTGCCACTTCATCCTCCCACCTTTTCTGTTTTCTTCATTTTGTGGATCTATCCACACAAATGATATCATTAGAATGATTCATGTTATCTAAACACTGTTATGGAAAAAGAGATATGTAATCTGGCAGGTATATCTGTGAAGATTGTATTACTATCAAATTTATACTTGTGATCATATACCTCTTACATTTTTGTTGATGGTTAAAAATTAAATGATCTGGTATTATTTAATATCTTAGTGAGAATTACATTTAGATAAATGGTCAATCATCAAAAATGTTATTAAAAACATGTGAACAGTTTTTGCAATCTCAGTGTTTAACTTATTGTTGGTCTGTTTATTACTCGTTTACAGTTGGCTATCTTCCTAATTATTGCATCATTTTTTTATATGTGTCCAAACCATCTTGGCCTTTGTGCTTTAATAAATTTTACTATGTCTTCCCCTTACATTATATTTCTTATTTCATGGTTAATTAGTCTTCTCATAATTTTTCTTTCAATTATTCTTAGGTTTCTTCATCTTTTTTCAAAGACTCATTACTTCTGCTCTGTATGTTATCACAGGTCTAATTACCCCCTGACAAACCTAAGCAACCTTACCAGAGATTGTACCAGAATATCACCCTGGATACCCAGACTCCTCAACTTGAGGAGTCTGGGTATCCAGGGTCAACTTTTAGAATGGTTGTTATCCTACCTAACTGAAAGAATACAAATAGTATGTGTTCAGAGTTTTCAATCGTTCGAGGTTAAGATACTTTAGGAGTACCACAAGTATCATACCTAGGATGTCTTCTATTCAATAACCATGTTAATGACATTGCCTCTTGTTTCCTATTTGCTTCTTTCCTAATGTTTGCTGAAGATTTAAAATTATATTTGAAAATTCACCATGATTGTGACTATCAAAAACTACAGTCTAATTTGAATTGGTTGAGCTATTGGTGTGACAGCAACAGAATGGAACTTAATGTTAAAAAGTGTCATTTAATGGTTTTTGGTCAGAATAAAACTCCTACAAATCATATCTATACTATTAATGGTTGCCCTTTAGACTCTGTATCTCAGATAAAAGACCAGTTGTGCTCTATTCCAGCTTATACTACATCCCCATATCTCATTTGTTGTCTCAAAATCACTTCAACTTTTAGGGTTTATCAAACATTGTGCTAAGACTTTCTAAATATCCCATCCATAAAAATTTTGTATTGTTCACTTGTGAGACCCCAACTAGATTACTGTTACATTTGTTTGGTCTCTTCACTATAACATCCATATTCAAGCTATTGAGAGAGTTCAACATAAATGATTTGTTACATTTAAACAAAACCAGAGGATTGAAGAAATTAACTAGTCAAATATGGAAAGATCCCTCAACATAACTTCTCTCCAAATCCGACACATGCACAAAGATCTCACTATGTTCTATAGGATACTGCACTCTATTATTTTTGGTCTTCAACTATTGGAAAAAGTTAATCTCCATGTTCCCAGTAGACAAACAAGGCTAATTTAACCCATCTAGAACACCAAAGTTCGCTAATCAATATTCCCAAAGGTTGGATTGTTATAGTATTCCAAAAGAATTTAAAGCTCAGCTTAAGACCTGTGTGTGATAGTTTGATGTCCTTGTGTTTTCTACGTTCTTTGTTAAGGTTTGTTATTTACTGTTCCTACTATTATTTTCTGTATGATTAAAATTTTTAAATTTAATTTAAGTAGGTTACCTTAAGAATCTTCTGTAATTTATTAATAATGTTTACATTGTATTTTAATTGGGTGATTGCCCCTTGATAAATAAATAAATAAAATGTACATTTAAAACACTTATTTGTTTTTTTTTAAGTTGTCATAGATACTTAAAATTTTAATATTTTGTAGCTATCAATTAACTAAATTGTCTTGAGATTGTAGAATTAAAAGTCATGATTAAAATTGATTTATAATAAAATTTTAAAATATTGTATGTAAAAATGTATTTTACTGAGATTTTTTTGGGAATTAATAAACCAAGAACAGCCTGTTCCTTCTTCGTGTACCATGCCCTTTCAGAATGTTGATTACCATCATACCTATCTTAATTTTATTATCTTAATAATTTTAATATGCTTGCGAATGTTTAAAGCCAGATACAGACATGAAATGTTTGTAGCAACTAGGGTATATGGGTTACTCAAAATGAATAATCACTATTTAGTGTTTCCCATGCTGTCAGTATTTTAATCTGAATCAAAGAAAACAACTAGGCTGTATGTATGTATACTTTGTTGCCAAATACAAATTATTAGCAGCTAATAAAGAATAATTGTGACTCAACTAACCATATTTATGTTCCTGGCTTAAGTATGTACCTGCACTTTATTGTATTTTTGAAGAAGTCCTTCATCTTTTAATTTTTTAATTTCATAGTGTTTTGCTGCAGCTTAGTTTTCTCTGACTGTTTCATGAACCATAAGACAAACCTACCTACAAATAATAAAAATATTACAAGAAACCATATAATTTGCTTTAAAATGTACTGCTGT